ACCACTCATGCCCACGGAGCTTTGTATAAAGAAAGAGGACTATTGAATTCAGAAGGCAAAGAAATCAAATACGCAGCTGAGATCCTACAACTATTGGAAGCAGTGTGGGAGCCGAAAGAAGTCGGTATTATACATTGTCGGGCGCATCTGAGAGGAGATGGTGATGTAACCAAAGGGAATCGGATGGCAGATAGTGCAGCTAAGCGTGCTGCTGAATCAGGAAGACAGGAATATGTGGGGCATATAGCTGCTCTTATACCAACTCCACTGTCTCAATGGACTCCAATTTATACAGCTCAAGAAGAGGAGTGGTTAAGGACTGAACCTGGAAAGTATTTGGAGAACAAATGGTATCAGTTAGAAGATGGAAGAATAGTTATTCCAGCATCACTAGCGGTAGAAATTGTCCAAAACTATCATAACGGGACACATTCTGGGAGAGACAGTACAGAAGAATCTCTCAGAAAACATTTCTACATACCAAGATTGTCCAACTTGACTCAGGCCATTGTACGTAGATGTGTAACGTGTGCTAAAAATAATGCAAGACAAGGACCAGTAAAGCCACCAGGAGTCCAGTTTATGGGGGGACTTCCCATATCCGATTTACAAATTGACTATACAGTGATGCCTAAATCGGGTGGACATCGCTACCTGCTGGTAGTGGTGTGCACCTATTCAGGCTGGGTAGAAGCATGTCCTACTCGTACAGAGAAAGCAGGAGAAGTCGTGAGATTCCTGCTACGAGAAATAATACCCGATATGGACTACCCTGCTCTATAGGATCGGACAATGGTCCAGCTTTTGTTCATCAGTGCCTACAACAATTGACTCATATGCTTGGTATAAAGTGGAGGCTTCATACGGCATATAGACCCCAGAGTTCTGGTAAGGTAGAGAGAATGAATAGAACTATTAAGAATCAGTTGGCTAAAATGTGTCAGGAAACCCAACTTAAGTGGAACGTTCTCTTGCCCATAGCTCTATTGCGAATCCGTAGTACACCTACCAGAAGGATGGGCCTCTCTCCTTTTGAAATCATGTACGGGCGACCACCTCCCGTGCTTGGTAACTTAAGGGGGGATTTGAGTCAGTTGGGAGAAGGAATTACCCGGCAGCAGGTTGTAGAGTTGGGTAAGACTATGGAGGAGGTACAGAAATGGGTACAAGATAGATTACCTGTGAATATTTATCCCCCAATTCATAGTTACCACCCAGGCGACCAAGTGTGGATTAAAGAGTGGAATAATGTGCCGTTAGGGCCCAAGTGGAGAGGTCCTTATGTTGTTCTTTTGTCTACCCCTACAGCGATAAAAGTAGCCGAAGTGACTCCGTGGATACATCACTCCAGGGTTAAACCAGCAGCAGCCGATTCCTGGCAAGTTACAGCAAATCCAGAGAATCCCTGCAAGATCCGGTTAAAACGCACGACTCAGTCGGAGTGATGAGGAACCTTGTGGATTACAAATTTTATTGTTTCAGAGACTTGGTAAGTGAGTGAGAAGGCCATAATAAAGCCTGTCCACTCACCAACGAGTGTATAAGTCAGGGAAAGTCTTGAGGGGACCCCTGTGAAGGCGAGCAGAACTCCATTCCCTGCAGTCCTTACATCCTGGAAGCTGAGGTGCCTTCACACGGACGAAGACTGAGGATGACGACGAAAGATGTATTTTTAATAATGTTTATTTATGTGTATTTTTATATTCAGGAAGGTAGAGGTACCAACACTCCTAGCTGTGAGGTATGCATTAAGACTACAAGAACAGGTAACCATATATCCCAGACCCTAATTTGGCATTCGCAATATGAGTGTAAAGGAGATGTATCAAGATGTAGATACTTAAATATAGAATATAGTGTGTGTCATTTAGGAGTAGGAGAACTTAAGTGCTTCAGTCCTGAGTATCAACCCCGTACAATTTGGTTGACTCTCAGAAATGGAGATCCTCAGGGGACCCTAATTAATAAGACGGTATTAAAATCCGTATATTTTTTAGGTGCTCTGCTATTTGATGCGTGTAAAGCAATTTCAAGTGGTAGAAAGCCGTGGAATGTATGTGGGGATCTTAGATGGGAGAGGACGTATGGGTCTAACGATAAATATATTTGTCCCAGTAGTAAAAATAAATATGTAAGTCCAAGATGCCCAAATAGGGATTATAACTTCTGCCCATATTGGTCTTGTGTGGGGTGGGCGACTTGGGGACAGACAGCAGACAAGGACATGATTGTGACTAAGTTGCCTACTGATCCATATTGTAAGTCTATGGAATGCAATCCAATCCATATACTTATAAATAACCCTGACAAGTTCTTAGATAAATATGGTAATTTATTTGGGTTTCAAATATATGGGACGGGTTTAGACCCTGGGACAATATTGTTTATAGGGATAGAGACTGATACGGTAACCTCCCAAACTCATCAAGTATACCATTCCTTTTATGAAGAGATGAGCATAGATAATAAGATCCCCATAATGCTAAAAACTTGTTCATTGATTTAGCCGAGAGTATTGCCGGTAGTCTTAATGTTACCAACTGCTATGTGTGTGGAGGTACTAACATGGGAGACCAATGGCCTTGGGAAGCAAAGGAGGTAATGTCCGGTTCTGAGGCAGTTGACCAATTAATATCTACACAAGCCGACTATCATATGAGTGTTAGAGGTAAATCTGAGTGGAGATTGAAGACCTCCATCATAGGTTATGTTTGCATAGCGAGGAAAGGAATGATGTATAATACTTCTGTAGGAGAATTAACTTGTCTAGGGCAAAAAGCTTATGATGATGATACAAAGAATACAACTTGGTGGTCGGCTTCAAATGTCTCAGAACCATCTAACCCGTTTGCAAGATATGCCAATTTAAAGGACGTATGGTTTGATCTATCCATCACATCTAACTGGAGAGCCCCAGCGAATTTGTACTGGATCTGTGGTAAGAAGGCCTATTCGGAGTTACCACAGGACTGGGAAGGGGCATGTGTGTTGGGTATGTTAAAACCATCCTTCTTCTTGTTGCCTATTGAAACAGGTGAGACTTTAGGTGTTAAAGTGTATGATGTGAATCATAGGAAGAAAAGGGGACCCATAGAGATAGGTGCCTGGGAAGATAATGAATGGCCTCCCCAGCGTATTATAGATTATTATGGGCCAGCCACGTGGGCAGAGGATGGTACCTTTGGTTATAGAACCCCTATTTATATGCTCAACCGCATTATAAGGTTACAGGCGGTGGTTGAGATCATTACTAACGAGACATCACAAGCGCTCAATCTTCTAGCGAAGCATAATACCAGGATGAGGACAGCAGTTTACCAAAATAGATTAGCCTTGGATTATCTTTTGGCAGTAGAGGGAGGTGTATGTGGGAAGTTTAACCTGAGCAATTGCTGTCTTCAAATAGATGACGAAGGGCAAGCAATAGCTGAGCTTACTAGCCATATGGTTAAACTAGCGCATGTGCCTACTCAGGTATGGAAAGGGTACAATCCAAGTAGTTGGTTTGGTAGCTGGTATGAGTGGTTTGGAGGGCTTAAGGCAGTGGTAGGTGGAGTCCTACTGATTTTAATGTTGTGTCTACTCCTGCCGTGTCTTATACCCTTAGTAGTTAGGTCTGTGCAAAGCCTGATAGAAAATATAGCAGAGAGGAAGGCTGCTGCACAGATCAATGGCAATTTATAAATATAAGGCTCTAGATCAGGGAGAACCAATGCAGGAAGATGAGTGTTGAAGATTCACATCATAGGATAAGTCTGGTCTGGTTCAAAGGTAACTTGTGGTGTATGCAAACCAAGGTTAAGTGATGCCTCAAGTAATTGTAAAATATCAAGAGGCATCAAAGGGGGGAATGTGGTGGAATCTCGGTAAAAATAAATTTAGTAGGCCGAGATTACCACGTGGCATGTGTACGTGCATATGCTGACGTATCGATCAGTTGGTTGCACGAGGCAAGATACGATCAGTAGTGTACGGAGCATGTGCAAGAATACAGGATGTAGTATTCCCCTCCTCCATTGTGCTGGACAAGCCATGCGGTCAAGCAGGAAGTTAATTCTTATTTGTAATGATTGGTCAAGAGAATGTGCGGGTGGAGCTTAATATGGGAGGAGTTATGTGCCTATATAGGGAGCCTGCACTATTGTTCAGGGCTCATAACTTGCTGTATTTTTGGTGACATTAGTCCCTCTGAGTCCCGATCGGTGATCCAATAAAGAATCTCTTCCTTCCTGAAGAAACCTGTGTCCATCTCTCTGTGCTTTGCTTCCGTCAGTTTCTCCGGTATCAACGCTAACTTTGGCCAGTGTTTGTGACCAAATGGCTACTAAAAAAGACTGGACATACCCCATTTGCAATACCTTGGGTTGTCTACTATTGCAAATGGTATGCCATTATGGGTGTAAATTTCATTCCCGGGCTACTATACAGTCTCAAAGGCAACGTAACCAATCTGGCGAATTTCAATTTCAAATGTAACTTGCTATATTTGACCCTGTAACTTCCCAAAACGCCATAAAACCTGTACATAGGGGGTACTGTCTTACACTTGAGACTTTACTGAATACAAATATGTGTATTTTATTGCAGTAAAAGCAAACAGTATTATGACACTGACCGTTAAAATGTCATGTAGAACTAAAAAAATTAAAAAAATCGTATTTTCTCCCATTTTTTTCATATTAAATTATGTGTCATAGATAAATATTTGATATTAAATGAAAGCCCTGTTTCCCCTGAATAAAATGATATATAATAAGGGTGGGTGCATTTACTATGAAAGAGGTGTATTACGGCTGGACAGACATGTAGCGCAAAAGCCAGGCTTTGTTTACATTTTGTTTTGTTAACAACGTGTACATTTGGCTCCGTCCTTAAGGGGTTAATAGCTCTGGCGGAATAGACAAGACACGTGACTAGTCGTCAATGCGCATAGACATGTAGTATATGCCTATGTTACTGCGCGATGCTATTGGGTACACTCTACCCCGCCGGAAGTTCTACTCTATGGTAGCGGAAGTGACGCAGTGTGCATGGGCTCCGATCTCCAACGCTGAAGGTAGTATCGCCTGATATTGTATTAAACAGCAGTGATAGCATTGTTACCATTCCACCGTATATCGGGCAGCGTTACACACCGGGGGCTCTGTAATAGGTGGGAGGGCGAGGGGCTTACCTAGCTGAGCCTAACGGAGGCCTTATGTCTGCAGCAGCCGGAGTGCCCGGGTAGCCATGGCTGCTGTATTGTGAGACAGTCCGGGATCAAACTCCCTTATAGCTTTATAATGAGGGAGCTGGATTATTATTGTTACAGGGTACAGAGAGCTGGATTATTAATGTCACAGGGTAAGGTCAGAGAGCTGGATTATTAATGTCACAGGGTACAGAGAGCTGGATTATTAATGTCACAGGCTACAGAGAGCTGGATTATTAAGGTCACATGATACAGAGAGCTGGATTATTAATGTCACAGGGTACAGAGAGCTGGATTATTAATGTCACAGGGTACAGAGAGCTGTATTATTAATATCACAGGCTACAGAGAGCTGGATTATTAATGTCATAGGGTACAGAGAGCTGGATTATTAATGTCACAGGGTACAGAGAGCTGGATTATTAATGTCACAGGGTACAGAGAGCTGGATTATTAATGTCACAGGGTACAGAGAGCTGGATTATTAATGTCACAGGGTACAGAGAGCTGGATTATTAATGTCACAGGGTACAGAGAGCTGGATTATTATTATTGTTACAGGGTACAGAGAGCTGGATTATTAATGTCACAGGGTACAGAGAGCTGGATTATTAATGTCACAGGGTACAGAGAGCTGGATTATTAATATCACAGGCTACAGAGAGCTGTATTATTAATGTCATAGGGTACAGAGAGCTGGATTATTAACCCCTTAAGGACACACGACGGATATATTCCGTCATGATTCCCTTTTATTTCAGAAGTTGTGTCCTTAAGGGGTTAATGTCACAGGGTACAGAGAGCTGGATTATTAATGTCACAGGGTACAGAGAGCTGGATTATTAAGGTCACATGATACAGAGAGCTGGATTATTAATGTCACAGGGTACAGAGAGCTGGATTATTAATGTCACAGGGTACAGAGAGCTGGATTATTAATATCACAGGGTACAGAGAGCTGGATTATTAAGGTCACATGTCACAGGGTACAGAGAGCTGGATTATTAATGTCACAGGGTACAGAGAGCTGGATTATTAATGTCACAGGGTACAGAGAGCTGGATTATTAATATCACAGGCTACAGAGAGCTGGATTATTAAGGTCACATGATACAGAGAGCTGGATTATTAATGTCACAGGGTACAGAGAGCTGGATTATTAATGTCACATGGTACAGAGAGCTTGATTACTAATATCACAGGGTTCAGAGAGCTGGATTATTAAGGTCACAGGGTACAGAGAGCTGGATTATTAATGTCACAGGGTACAGAGAGCTGGATTATTAAGGTTACAGGGTACAGAGAGCTGGATTATTAATGTCACAGGGTACAGAGAGCTGGATTATTAATGTCACAGGGTACAGAGAGCTGGATTATTAAGGTCACAGGGTGCGTAGAGCTGGATTATTAATGTCATAGGGTACAGAGAGCTGGATTATTATTATTGTTACAGGGTACAGAGAGCTGGATTATTAATGTCACTGGGTACAGAGAGCTGGATTATTAATGTCACAGGGTACAGAGAGCCGGATTATTAAGGTCACAGGGTACAGAGAGCTGGATTATTAATGTCACATGATACAGAGAGCTGGATTATTAATGTCACATGATACAGAGAGCTGGATTATTAATGTCACAGGGTACAGAGAGCTGGAATATGAATGTCACAGGGTACAGAGAGCTGGATTATTAATATCACAGGGTACAGAGGGAAACTGCTATGTTTAGAATATGGTTAATGCAGCCTCTAGTGGCTGTCCCTTGCGTGCTTGTCACTGTGAAAATCACAGTGAGAAGACGCCAGTGTCCATAGGAAAGCATTGTAAATGCGCATTCAGCCGATGACGTCGCTATAGTGTTTTCCTGACACTATAGTGATCCTCTATGTCTAGGATAGCCTTATGCCTATCCCACGCATGCTTAAACTCCTTTACTGTGTTAACCTCTACCACTTCAGCTGGAAGGCTATTCCACGCATGTAAAGTAATACTTCCTAATATTATTTTTAAACCTGTGCCCCTCTAATTTAAGACTGCCCTCTTGTTGTGGTAGTTTTTCTTCTTTTAAATATAGTCTCCTCCATTACTGTGTTGATTCCCTTTATGTTTTTAAATGTTTCTATCATATCCCCCCTCTCTCGTCTTTCCTCCAAGATATACATGTTAAGTTCCTTTAACCTTTCCTTGTAAGTTTTATCCTGCAATTCATCAACCAGTTTAGAAGCCCTTCTCTGAACTCTCTCTACAGTATCAATATCCTTTTGGAGATACGGTCTCCAGTACTGTGTACACTACTCCAAGTGAGGTCTCACTAGTGTTCTGTACAATGGCATGAACACTTTCCTCTTTGTAATGTTAATACCTATCCCTATGCAAACAAGCATTGTGCTTGCATTTCCTGCTGCTCTTTTACATTGTCTGCCTACCTTTTAAGTCATCAAAAATAATCACCCCTAAATCCCTTTCCTCACATGTTGAGGTTAGGACTCTATCAAATATTCTGTACTCTGCCCTTGGGTTTTTACATCCAAGATGCATGGTCTTGCACTTATCCATATTAAATGTCAGCTGAAGTAAGGCTTACTGGCCTATAGTTGCCCAACTCCTCCCTACTACCTTTCTTGTGAATGCTCACAACATTCGCCAACTTCCAATCTTCTGGGATTACGCCTGTTAACAATGATTGGTTAAAAAAATCTGTTAATGGTTTTGCTAGTACACCACTAAGCTATTTTAATAACTTTGGGTTGACAGTGGCGCTTTACATGCAAAAAGTGTCTGCTCTAACTAGTAATAAGACTACTGATTATAGCATGTGGATCAACTTTTGGGTGCCAACACCTGGTCAGGTGGTTGAATTATTGCTAGAAATGCTTTGGAATATCCTTCTGCTAAAATTACTTTTGTAACTTTTTGTTTATTTTTATCTTTGCAGTACTTCATCATGAATCTGCCACCCAACTTCGCTTTACACGGAATTCCTGAGCAACTGGTATGAAAATTATTTAAGCTTTTTTCATATTTGATATAAATCTATTTTATCAACATGTAAAGTATTAAGCAATTATTTAATGCATTATTTGAATATTGTGGAATACAATTTAAGTTTTATATAAGGAAAAGTATACACAAGGGTGTCATTGTTTTGTAGCTTATTATTACCCCACTGAAGGCTTACACTGGTGTTATGAACTATAGTCTTATCTGTGTCCTTAGTCTGCGTCAATAGACCCTAGGTTCATTTCTCCGTTGACTTTGTAAATGTAATTGCATCTCCACCCTCTACAACCTGAAAATTATGTTGCACTTCACACTCAAATAATGGACCAGTTGTTCTGAGATGGTATGAGTGAATTGTGGTGCCTCATCTTTTTCTGCATTGGTATTTTAAATTTCCAAATATACGGCCCCGCTGAAGAACACATTTTAAATGTTCCATAACAGAACAGCTTACAATGTAAATATCATACAGTGTACTTCACTGCTAATTGTTAGAAAGACATGCCATCTTATCTATCATTGGCTTTTGAACTAAGGAATATTTATTTAAAAAAAAAAAAAAAGTATGTCTATATTCTCATTTATGTACAACATGAACAGTGTTGAATGTTGTGGTTATATCTTTAATTATACCTCTGTGCACTTTGGTTTTTCAGATAAGACAAAATGCTTTGAATCCAGGTTTTCTGCCCGCAAGCAATTTCCAAATTGAGAAACAGCATTTTACATGTCCTGTAAGTTTTTTTCCATCTAAATTTTATTTTCCAGATTTTTTGTTAAATGGTTAACAGCTTGTGCATCTGAATCTGCATCAATATTTATTAGAGATTTAGTGAAGTCATATTTAAGTCGCATGTTCTCCCCGATAACAACTTAAGGGAAAATTGGAGGCATCCAGACCACTTCATGTCATTGCAGTGGTCTGAGTGCACTGTTCCTATATTATTAACCTGGCAAGTGAAAACATTATAGTTTCAGAGAAACTGTAATGTTCAGCTTGCAGAGTCCAGACTGCCTCTAGTGGCTGTCTACTAGCAAGCCACTAGAGGTGCTTCCTGCTGTTTCACTGAGTTTAAGTCTGTGAAAAAATGCTGCACATCCTCAAACTTTGCATGAGGACATTCAGCGTCTTCAAATCCCCCATGTGAAAGCATTGATTCAGTACTTTCCTATGGGGAAGGCCTAATGTGCACACGGCACTCGACACTCAATGCGCGTTAGGTTCCCTCTCAGCATTGATGTTGGTGGTGGCGTAGACGGAGATGAGTACTTAAAGGAGTTTTTTTATTTTATTTATATTTTAACCCTTAAACTGACAGGTAAGAGGCACTAGTTCAGATAGGCACTAGTCGTTAGTCCACTGTGCCGAGGTACTATAGGGACAGAAGTTTTGGTTACTGGGGTATAGCCCCTCCACCCTCTTCCCTATTTTTGTGCCTCCTGTTATACCTGTTTTTTGTATATATGACAAGGATGTTCTAAAAAAGTGGTTCCGATACTCCAGCTGATTTTTTTTGACACCTAATGTGGTTATGCTGTGGGACCCAGGGGCGATTAGACATCCCAAATAGCATTTTGTTTCTCCCTATAAACTGATTTTAATTTTACCTTTATTTTGTAATCCTTAGAACCAATAAAGGTAGGGCCTCCTTTCCATTCATTTTGTCGCTCTCCCATCTAGGACTTTTCCTCAAGGCCGATGCTTTTTTTTACATATTTTACTGAGAGTTAGTCCACTTTCTCTCGGAGACCAACAGTGGACACTTTTTGGAACTAATCCACCAGCTCCTGTGTATATTTTTCTCTGCTGATTGAGTCATACCCTTGACTTTTGTCTACTTATGTTTCAAATTGTAAAAAAACAAAACAATGCTACAGTTTTTTACTTTGGTGAAGTTTGACATATTTAATACATAATGCTGGTCAGTATTTGGCATTCTGTCATGACATGTATTTTCTGAAGTTCCATAAATCAAATATTGGTGATGCCTTGATTCAAAAAATTAGAAATGTTGGAAACCTTTCATTTCTTCTGTGTGTAATATTGCCTCAAGCAAATTAATCTGTTATGACCAGAAATAATGTAAGATGGATTTTTTTTCATGTTAAATGAATGTCTATTCAATGTGTATGATACATTTGCCATGGAAATTATTCATAAATATATTGTTTTTCTCCTCAGGTTTGCTTGTTTACCTGTGATACATGTAGTAGACTCCAGGCTCACTTCCAAGAGACTGGACATAAACCGACCACTGAGGAAGTGCTTGAGAAAGTGCAGGTATTGTGATTTTGTTTTTCTACTTTATTTAATGTATTACCTTTCTTAAATGTTTATAGATTTGTAAAAATAGCTAGTTATTTTAAAACTGTGTCCAAAAAATTACCACCTTTCCTCCCTCTAAAAGAAAAAAAAGTGCAAAAAAACATAAGCAGGTCCTATTTATACCACACATGATGATAGAAAACTGGAAAGGTCCTCTGCCCGCTTTTCATGAAGCACATATTTTAATAAAGGGGAAAATCTCTATGCTAGCAGTAATTTTTTTTTTTTTTTTTTATTCATTGTTATGATGCTTTGCTGGGATTTTATCACTAAACATTTCTTTTTATTATTATTATTATTGTTTGCATATGTTTAACAGACAATATTTCAATGCCCCAACAGCACTGGCAAGACAGTTAATTGGACAACACATATTAGCTACAAGGCATTCGAGTATACTGAACATTTTTTTTAATTTAGTGTAAATTACAGACTAGGCAGAACATGTCTAGGTTAACTATTAAGCGAGAGAAACTAGGCTGTACAAAATCCTAGGCATATTGATAGAGGTATGAAAATAAAATGAGTAAGACAGGCTAACAAAGTATGTCTGATGTGCTGGGTTGACTTAAAACTGAATTATATTCATAAATAATATGAAATAAAACAGAATAACAGTTTGGTTGCACTTCTGCAGCAAATCAGTTAGATGGAGACTCCAGGCTATTAATGCTTTTGCCTACAATGGTGCAGCACATCAGTCCCAGTGAGCACCACAAGTGAGCATTGTATTAGAGGGCCTGCATGGAGACGCTTAGCCGATGCCTGTGAATGGCAGACGGGCAACACTGAGACATGAGTCTACGTAGGCTTGCGAGCCCTTCCTCTGATGTCCCTGGATCCGTGCTGGTGCTGGAGCTGCCATTTTGAGCAGTTAGGAGACCGAGTGTCCCTGATCGTTGGGCTTTGAGTCGGCCCAGTTCTGTCGCTGGTTCTTGTGGTGAGTGTGGGAGAGTTCAATATGAATCTGTGGACCTGAAAGGGAGCTCTTCCGGGGTGGGTCATGCCAGGGGTGCGTGGCCCTCCGGCATGGTGCCATCTCCTAGATGGGGGAAGTATGCAGGCGAGAGGGGGTAGCCCCAGGGTGAGTCTATGTTAAGGCTGTGGGCGACTCACCATTGTTCAAAGCTTTCGTCGGGTCTTCCGCCTCCCTCTCCCTGCTATCCAGGTCACTCTCTGGGCGCGTACCAGTGCTGCTGGCTGTTGAGTATCTTGGGACTGATGTCGGTGGAACTTTTTCCGTAGTTCCCCCGCAGTCGGAGATCTTGGCCTAGAAGTTGGCGAATAGACGGTCTAGCTGCCCCGACTGTGGGTGCCGACAGGGTGGGGGGAGAGAAAGAGGAACAGGGTGTTCCAGGGAAACCTCCAGTAAAGTAGGCTGCTGGCGGATGAGGGATAGGCCGCCTACCCCGTACCCTCTGAGTAGGCCTCAGGTCTAGCCCAGAGCTCGTCTGAAGTGCGCCCGCTCAGCTTGGCTGCCAGGCTTCACCCACCACTAAACATTTTTGAGCTTTGTTAATCTTTTAGATATTCCTATTAAAGTCCATTTAAATAAACTACAAATAACCAAAAATATTTTTGTTCCTCCATTGGAAGTTTAATTTTATGTCTGCATTGCATATTGTTATATGGTGTGGGTGTTTTTTCCTTCTCTCTCTCTCTCTTTTTTTTTTTTTCCCTCAACATTTGCAGATGTGAAATATCTGGCAGAACATTCCAGCTGTTCAAGAAATGATCTAATCAGGGGAACACATCTCTTTGGTTTGTTGCTTGAAGAATCTTTGGATCTTCCAATGAAGCGCGCTAACAAATAAAGTTATAAAACATTGTGACTGCAAATTGCAGATAAAATGTTTCTGTTCAGTTTTTTGTTTTATACTTTTTGGTTAGTGTCATGTACAGGTCAGGCACAAAGCTTCAAATTATCAGCAATGCCATTGAGCTTCATTTTTTACTAACTGGATATTTAAAAAAACAACAACAAATTAATGAGAAAAGAAAATAAAAGCTGATTGGAAGAACTCTCCATACCTCACAACTCAACCCATATTCGTCCCTCCAAGCAAAGCAAGCCCATTCACCCTCTCATACAGAGTAACATTCCAACAAGGACGACCAAATGTTTTGAAAAGATGCAGTGGATTCTCTAGCCATTAAACCGGTTCTCTCTTTGCTTACGAAGAAACAATAGCTACGTGGGAATTACCTGGTACCGCCACCCCTCTGTCACTGCGCTCTGCTCAGCCAGAGTATATCTAGCAATAAATTTAGTTTATATAAGAGATGTACTTCTCCATTCGTTTTGATTGTAGCTGATTCCACCGGTTTCGTGCGTAAAACTAAAGATTGTTTTCAGAGTTCCGTGCTGCTAATTCTCACATATAACTGTTTAACTGGCAAATCCTATCTCATCGGCGTCTTATAGCACTGCTCTTGCAGGGTTTAGAAAAATCAAGACTATCAATTTTCTTTTTAAACTATGGCTAAAAATTCCAGAGTACTGTTCTAGTGTTATTGAAATGAATATATCCAGGGGATCTATGTACTGAAATACAGCAGAATTCCTTCTTTATATGTACAGGGGGGGAAAAAAAGCATACAAATCTCATGCTAAGTGGAAGTTCAATATTGCGATCTGTTGAAAGCTGATCATGGAAGATATGTTGGATTTGAAACCTTGTACGTGGACAACTGAAGATAATGTGCATTTTAAGTTGTGGCCCAGAAGATCCTGCTTAACTATTCCTTTTTATAAAGCTTTTTCTCTCTTGCAAATGGAATCACTCTCCTTAAATTCTGCAGCTGACAAATAGGCACCTTTGGTTCTGTTTTCTTTGTCTTTGTAAGAGTAAAAGGCGAAGTTGGGGTTGATGCCAGGTGAATTTGCAAATCCAAAAGTTTTACAGCTTGGCTCTTTTACGGAGCTATCTAGCCAAGCAAAAGCATATTTCACCATGCCTCCAAATGCATCTTGACGATCGTGTGAACTGCTAGCTAATTCTCAAAGTTGATTTGGCAATGCACTTTAAAAGTATGGGAAATACAAGGTTCAAAAGCATCTGTTGCATTTATGCAGCATAATCAAAATTAATGCAACTTGTCATTAATTGACATAAAATGGCGGTTAAATTCCAGTGCTGAGGTAGTCAAGCACTGATGGTGTTCATGTGTCTAACAATTGAGAAAATGCTGCTTTGAAATGTAATGTTTAACATGTAAACAAGCTTCCATTCAACATAATCTTAAAGTGATCTGAAAAATTCAGTGTTCCTCACCAGATCTTTACACCTCACATCTGAAACTCAGAAACGGTTAGCTGGATTCAGACGTTGCAACACTAGTAGTGAGCATATCCTTTGGGTTCCATGATGCGATAATGAAGACAAAACAGATGATCATTTCATTCTCTTTTTCTGCATACTGAAGTATGTTGAAGTCACCAGCCTCGAAGTTATTGCATTGATATCTTCATGGGTTTCCGATGAAATTATAAGCACTTTTGCTTATAGTTTCTTTCTACGGTAATAGAATTTACTTACACATCGGAGAGACATAAATTGTAATCATCTGATATTGTTAAAAATATTCAATGTAGTGTGGTAACATGTAAGAATACCTCTTAGGTTTATGTTTTTATACACAATGTCAGTGTATGTATTACAACAACTGTTTAAATCCATTATATTTTAAGCAAATAAATATTGGAACTTCCTTAGCTTTCTCTCACCCCCACCATCGCTCATTAACTTCTCAGAAATGCATGTGTCTGCAGCAGTCGTAATGCAAATCTGTGGCCAAAATAATTGACTTAATATCAGGAACTTGATTAATATGAAGATTGATGGCCGGCAATTTGAGGTTTTAAATAATGCTAACAGGTCCACTTTAAGGAGTCCTGTGAGTATATTTTTGCCTCTCTCATCATGATTGAGCTTTATTTTCTCGCTGTCGAAGATATTTAAAAAAAAAAAAAAAAAGCGCCCCAAGCAATGTCCCTCAAGGCTTAAAGTTGCCTTTTCTTCACTTAAAGCTTTCCTTTTAATGTGTGTGCTTGTTTGTTTGTGCTACACAATCTTTGTAGCCTCATGCATTTCTATATATTTGTTAGACTCTTACTTGAAAATGATCGTCATAATGAAAAATGGAATGTTTCTTCCTATCTTCCCTCTTTATCCCACTTTAACCCCTTAAGGACACATGACATGTCATGATTCCCTTTTATTCCAGAAGTTTGGTCCTTAAGGGGTTAAGGACACATGACGTGTGACATGTCATGATTCCCTTTTATTCCAAAAGCTTTGGTCCTTAACGGTTTAAAAAGTACTCTGCTTTCGGACAAATGACTGACCCTCCACCATTATGACATTTGCTACTTGACACTCAGTGGAATCCTAAAATAATCCTACAGTATACATGCAGGTAGGGATAAGCGGATGTAATTTCTTGTCAGGTTGGCAAACTGACTATGCTATACATACTAACTTGATAATAAACACTCAAAATAAGTGATAAAATAGACATTTGTAATAACAGGCTTAGAAAATGTATTGTTTGTTTATGTATGTAACTAGAAGATTTCTATTTTCAATACTTTTTCTTTGAACATTTACAAACTTGCGTCTGACGAATTTTACCTTTTACTTCAATAAACAGTGTAAAGGCTTCAATTTCAGTCTGGTCTGAAAAGTCTGGCCTTTATGCTATAATACCACAAATAATAATGTTATTGGTTGTCACTTCCATAAAATTAACAAATTCTTCTCTTTTGTTTTGGGATTGACTTGCATCTTCACAATAAAAGAATGACCCTCCACAGTTCAGGTCAGGTAAGAGTGAACTATTTGTATATCTTTTAAAGTTATTCTTCATATCTGTGCACCTACTAAGTTTTAGAGTGCTGTTTTTAATGGCCACTTAGGTTACAAGATGCATTGCCGTTTTTGAGAAGCTTCTGTTCTGCAAACTGGAAAAAAAACCAATTTAAATGGCTTGGATTTGCTATTGCGTTATACTAAATGAATTTATAATTCAAGTTTCCATATTTCTTTACATATACAGTTCTGGGTTTTAGCCATTTTTTTTTTTATTTTTTTATTCTTTAGTTTGGTTCACACTGCATGGGAAGTGTACAATACATATCAAAATGAAAATATCACAGAGAAATGCCATTTAGGGCCACATATCATCAAACAATCAGCAACATGCAGTGTGTGTTTTTATATATATGAAAGAAAAACTGGTGTAATATTGGTGTTACAAAAGGAAAGCTAAACATATGCCTGGGGTAACAATCTGATCTAGGCAGTAGTAGGTTACATGGCATAGTTTAGTTGTTTCATAATAGGTTAGATGTACAAGAGTATGGTACCATTGGGTCCTCACAATATAGAGTTGCAACATATAAAAAATAAAATAACGTTTGCACAACAAGTTATAATCTGTGTGAGCATTATAGAGCAAGTACACAGATATAAAGGATGTCAATGGCATTCTGCAGGCTGGTTAGTGAGAAAACAATGCTTATGTCTGGGGTTATCTAGTCTAGGCAATGGTAGATTAGCTGGCATATTATAGGTGCAGTTTATCAGCCGATGTTATCACATTGCAACAGAATAAAAAACAAGTGTTGGCACAAAAAGATAATAGTGAAATAAAATATAATTCAGATCAGTGTGAGTATTAGGCTGGATGATTTAAATACACTGCTGTAGGCAGACATGTAGGCTATTATTATAATTGCCATTTATATAGCGCCAACAGATTTCGTAGTGCTTTACAACAGGGGGGATTTAACTATAAATAGGACAATTGCAACAAAACTTACAGGAACGATAGGTTGAAGAGGACCCTGCTCAAATGAACTTACAGTCTATAGGAGGTGGGGTATAAAATACATTAGGACAGGAAATGGCAATCAAAGGTGGAGAAAGTAAAGTGCTGCCCTTTAGGAGAGAACAAGAGACAGGTATGTGAGGTAGAAGTTACTTTGGGGAGGCCATAAGCTTTCCCAAGAGATGGGTTTTAAGGCACTTCTTAAACGATTGAAGACTAAGGGAGAGTCTGATGGCGGTAGGCAGGCTATTCCATAGGAAGGGAGCTGCCTGCAGGAATTACTTCAAGCGTGAGTTGGCCGTACAGACATAAGGTCACGGGCAGACCAGAGAGACAGAGAAGGGGCATACGTATGGATCTGTGAAGAGATATGAGAGGCTAGAATTGTTCAGTGCTAAGTGATAGTCGGATTTCTGAATAGCAAGGAGCCTGTGGTGTTAAGTCGTAAGTCAACCAATGCCTTGGCTTGGGGGTAGGTGATGGTAATTGAGCGGTTTTATGAGGCAGGATCCAAGCCTGACAACACCCAGGGCTGCATCCTAAATCCACGAATTCGGGATCTCGGTACTGAGTCCAAGTTCTTCAATTTCGGCAGTTCTTCAAGTTCTGCGGTGATGGATCATCTGTCAGTGGTCGATGCGCTGGGATATTATTCCTACTGGCTTTCAGCCAAGGTAGGTCATGGTAGGAAGACTAAAACACTGAAATGGAATTTGCACACATGGGGGGGTCCGCTCACCTCCCTCCTCTCCTCTCTCCCAATTCAAATGGAGTCGGTGCTGCCTCAAGACAGGCTGATAATTTGGCCTAGAAGCTATGGAAGATCTCGGTCAGACGCTGCAGTATATGCTCAGTTGCGCCTTGTGGGATTGTTATAGGCTTTTGCCCACGAGTTGGCAGTGTGTCCACCAGCTTGAGGGGATCTACAATGCCCAAGATTTGTGTCAGTGCAGATGCTCAGAGTCAGTAGAAGTCAGTGAGGCTCACCAGTGGGGACCAGAATAACCCCTGCCAGTCGCGGGGGAAAGACAGCTCTGCACAAATTTCACCGCGAAGGTCAGAGAACTGGGAGAGCGGCCGCCTCTCCTCAACTTAAACTTGAGTGGCCCGCAAGCCTCTGTCCGGGTAATCTGGCGCTAAACAAACTCAAATAGGGTATCCCAGATGCACCGAAGTCAGCTTAGCAGGGTGAGTGCTGAATGGGGTCAGTATGAACATGTGGCACGCAGTTACACACAGCTTTTCGGTACCTGATGCAGGAGTTCTCACAAAGCACGTCTGGTCTGCTCAGCAGTCAGGCTGCACCCCAGCTATTTTTAAACAATATTAATTTGTATTCAAAATAAGGAGTTTGTAAGCACATGTATTACAGACTCTCTATTTTGAATACAAATTAATATTGTATAAAAATAGCTAAAACCAAGAACTGTATATGTAGAGAAATATGGAAACTGAAATTATACATTAATTTAATATAAAGGAATAGCAAATCAAAACCTTTATGTTAATATTTCATTAATGGCTGAAATTAATAAGTCTGCTAATGTATCAAGAACATAATTGTCAAGGTAAGTTGTATCCATTGAGTTTTAAGTTTATCTGTTTATCGTGTAGTTTGGGCGTGTTTGTTTTTTAAATCAGTTTTTATTCTATATCTATTGTAAATGCATACTTAATGCAAAAATCATCTAGTTTGTTTAGGTTCAGATTTACATATTCAATCCATTTTCTCTCAATCCCTCCCTTCCTCCCTTTGCATTTTTCCTAACTATTTTCTTTTTAATAGTTGTATTACGACATTTTGCCTCTAGCAGCTGCCAATCTTTTCAGTGGAATAGTCTTAGCATGTAGTTTTTGTTACTTTTGTAACTGTAATACCTCGATGTAATACTTTTTATATCCACTTTTTACATATGGATAACGGCAGCTCAGTTTTATCTCCACTCTTCTGTGCGGACAGGCAGCACTTTTCCGAATTTCATTTTTTTAAAATTTTCTTTAGAAATAGGTTCATTCCACCCTTCATTCATTTTCTCCATGGGTATGCAGTGTTTGATTCAACCAAAAATACCCCAGTCTCTTTCTGTTACTTTAAGTACTGATGCATTAATTCTTATCCACTGTCTCTTTTTTTTTTTAAATAAGTGTTTACTCCTTTATAAAATACTTATTTTATATTCGTCATGAATGATTATTTTTTCTTCAATAACTAAGAGTAGTATTTGTTTGTTGTCTGTAAAAGATATATTAACATTCATTGATATAGGACCTATACTGTTTGTGGAAAATAAGATCTGGTGATGGCTTAGCCCTTATTAACATATGCTGTATGATAAAAGTGTGTGTTCAACTTAAAAGGGACATTCAAGTTGGAGATGAAGCCATTTTGATAAATCATTAAAGAATACATCTTCCTCTTTTATTCCTTTTGCAGAATTTCTCTAGGCTTAAATCCAATTCCTCCTTAGTCAACAAGGATTGTTGTCTGATACATTTCATACAATACCTGCCTATTCAATGAAACCATGAAGTATGTGAAACTGGAACGCTCATGCATGAGCATTAGATCTGTTTATCCACATGCATGGGTGCTAGCCTCACCTGTAGTGCATAATCAACTCCCATTGAATCTAGTGTGGTTATGCACGTGTTTAAGGATTTAGCTGTGTGTTCTTTGACATCATTCTTGACACAGCTATGAGTAATATTATACTAAGAATAATCTTAAGTCACTGGTCACTTCACTTGAAATTGCACCATTAAACTCTCCTGTAACTTTTGATACTCAAAGCGACCACTAACAACATTGGCTTAATGAAGTCGTTTTAGTGTATAGATAGTGCTTCTCCAGTGTCATAGTTCAATTCTCTTCGGTTTAGAAGTTAAATCACTTTGTTTATGTTTTAGTTCACCACTCCTGTCTTCGACTGTTGGGATACAGTATAGTAGATGAAACCCACAATATAGAAAAGGGCCGTAAGCACAAAATCAGGTTTGCAAATAAGGTGAAATGTAGAATAGTCAGAAAAGCCAAAGGTCAGGCAGCACAGGATCGTTGACAGGAAACAGGCAAGGATAAAATACCAGGAATATAATATACCAGTCACTGAAGGGGTTAACACAACAAGAGCACAGAATAACTGAGCAACGAGTCCCAAGAGCATAGCTGTTTAAATCGGTTCGCCTCCTTTACATGATTCTTTAATCAGTCCCGACCTCTTCTCCTTTAAGAAGGCGTCGCTTCGCTGTAGTGCACCTAATGTCCTTCCTGTTGCTCCACAAATTCGCCATGTGGAAGTGAAGGTCGCCTTCCGGCTATGTGGTGCAATAAATGGGGAGACATTCTGTCAGTCGGCAGTGGCGGCAAATAGGTCGACTTCAATGAACAGGAGAAAGATGTGCTGCGGCGCCTCCTCGAACAGAGAGTTTGATGCTGAGCGGGGTAATGAGACTGAGCAGCTGGGCCTGACAGCCTCCCTTCGCAATTCTTGTTTCATGTCTTTCCAGCATATTCTGTCGTTCAAGCTTAAGATTTCATAATATTTGTTAAAACTGGCTCCTTACTAGCCCTGCAATTCTCCAACTGACTTTCTATTGTCATTGTCTCAATTATGCAAACATTCTACAATATGCATACCTGGTGATCACCCCAGTTAACCAACATTCTTTACTTCTACACTATGCTCTGTTTGGTGTTTGTATGAATTGGGAAGAGCTGTCTTCCAGACAGTATAGAACAACTGTTACTAGACAAGTACGCTGAAGAAGTCTTCTTGTGGATCCATGATCGTCTGTGGTGGTGCTTTGAGAAAGTGGATGTTGTAGAGGGACATGGTCTGGATCCCAAGCAAGGTACGAGTCACTCTGTTCCCATTACAATTTTCCCTCATCTGCCCACCTTATGCATGATGCCTTACAGAGAATCTTGAATTTAATTCCTCAACTTGACAATAATGAAGTTGAGGGTGTGCGCGGTTTAAACTAAACTAGAATATTCTATTAGTTTCATGTGTATTTTGTGTAAATACATTTAAAAAAGCAAAGCGAAGAATGTTCCTGAAGAATAATGCTATTTTTAAGCATTATTTACTAAACTACTTCTTGCAGACATGATATTGGTAGGTTGGGTAAACCCTAGATCCAGTCTGGCTGCCAGCAGATTGATGTTCATCAAATAATCATTAAAGTCTATTGATGAGTGTCATGCCACCAACTTCCAAGTAGTAGCTGGTTAAAAATTTAAGGTCGCACACTATTTGGAGTGCATTAGAGTGCATTTTTCCCACTTTTGGATTCCGCTGAACTGTTCATTTTTGAGAAACCTTTAAATGCATTCTTCACGACTCTAAGGCACTAAGGTCTCATTCAGCATTTCTTTCTGAGTCGGTACCTAAAGCATCTGCAAATGCTGGGATTTGTAAGCATTTAACTGTTGTGAAATTTTCACTCAGACTTTCTGTGAATGTTTCATTTTCAAATTGGGAAATTCAACACACACTGGTGTGCTTTGTATGCTGTATTTCATATGAAAACACAATAGTCATCTTCTACTGCAAAAAAAGAGCACATTTGTTTAAGGATAATTCTTAATTTCTTTAAAGAATTTACTTCAATGTTCAACTACTATGCTGAAGCCAGATGAAGATTTTTCAGTTGTTTTTAAGGTGTAATGCATCATTTTGAGGATGTGCAAAAATAACTTAGATGTTCATTGTACCAAATGCATACATTTGCATGGAAACTATCTGAAATTTCCATCGTTCATCGGGACTTGCCATGAACCTGTGGGCTATTGTTCTGTTCTTAGTTACAAGTCAAGTATTTACTCTTGCACAGCTCTACTTGTAAATGTTTAATTATGGGTTAAATTGCCTTTTTTACCTTGCGCTGTTCCCATGTCTCTCCCTCCCCACAGGAACAGAAAGTGAGAAATCTTCAGAGTCCTTAACCTGCAGTGTTCTAGGTATGCACTAAGAACATGTGAAGAGATGTTCCTACACAAATGTATGCTACCACACTCTACTGCTACTGGAAGAGCGACTGGCTACAAGTCTGACTAGATGCTTTGTTCTTCCAGACATCAGACATTTTTAAAATGCACATTTTGTTTGCTGGCAAATTTGGAGAACACAGTCAAAAGATCAGCATAACTTGAAAACCATTCAACAAGTGAGTAATCTCACTTGAACATAATGAGTTTGCTTGTTTCACTGCTGTTACTTTGGAGTTTTGCCATACTGGACATTCTCTGTCAGACTCAGAAATACCATGGTCTTTTGCTGTGCAAGTCTCTCTGTTTTTCATAGGTTGCTGAAGAAATATGTTGCACGATCTACAAATGTAAACATATTCCCTTTGTTGGGTTTATTTTTACAATGGTGGATTATTTTGAATTCCTGGCTTTGCCACAAATTTTTTTCACATAGTCTCCTCTGCAGGCATTATAAATAGCACTGGGCATTCTATGCCTTCAGTCAGACGGACTCTGAGATCTTTCTTCCCATGATGGTGATATCTGCTGTGTGAAAACGTGGAAATTGTTCCCAAAGGATGGATCAGCCTAACATTTTTTCCAACGGAAGGTCTCATTCCTTTTTAAATATGATTTGATTTCAAGGGACTGTTCTTATTCTCCCAGTGGTTCCTGTTTTTGTTAATTAACCATAACAACATTCCAGTATCCGAAGTAATGCAGCTGTGAGAAGTTTTGGAGTCTATTGGACTTTGTTTACATATACAAATGCTTTAATACATCCAGTAGAAAACAGAACTCTTTCATGAGCCGAGACTGATTCCCTCTCTCTATAGAAGGTGAAGATGTCAATTATTGTTCGCAAATTTTTCAGCAAAAAAAAGTAGATGAACATGACAATGTGAATACTTTATGCACTTTTCAAAGCATCCATTTATCATTGAAAATAACACAACTGCACGTCTATTAGTCTTTTTAACAAACTTAATCATTATTAGCAGAGCTTTCCATACTGCATTTCCTGCTGACACCCTGCCCTGGGCATTTAAACCGAGGCCGTAAAAAAGAATAGTTAATAAACAATTCTGTCTGATGTAAAAGTTGAAGGTTCTGAATGTGTAAATTAAAATGTCTTGTTGGGCCGGTGTGTTTACCTAAGCCATTTTTTGCTGCAAAATAGTGGCATGTAAGAAATGGTTTGTGGAGTGCTGATTGTATCCTTAAACAGTAGCTGACTCTCCGTACCTTCCTTAAAGCGTGACAAAGGTAATGTTTCAGCAGTTAAAGGTGTTGTGTTTTGTTTTTTCTTGTTGATTGTTCTGCTTCCCATTCTAATGTTTTTCTCCCATGCAGCATTATACCATCCTTTTACAGCACTCTCCCCTAGCTTCCCATAAATGATTGTTGGGGGAAATCTGTCTCATGATGTAATTTTGTGTAGTGTAATACATTTAGTCCATTGCTGGAGGTACATTGTCTTTACTTAAAAAAAATAAAATAAAATAAAAATAAAAAAAACACCCAAAATGTTTACATGGATGAATGTACTTTATAGATGCAAAATTGCAAATGTTAACATTGTAATGTTGTTTTATTTTTAATTCTGACTTATTTTGCTCTTTAGTGTGAACATAAGGATACACTAAGCACTATAACCACAAAAGCTGATTGTAATGATTATGATTTAAAGAGTCATGGGGTGTGTTCCCTGGGTTGTTTCAAACTTTTTGAGCAGTTGACAAAAGCTGTGTCCAGCCCTGGCAGCCAAGTATAGCTTACGAGTGTTTGGGTGGTAGCTCAATGCACTGTCTATTCCAGAAGTTCAAGTTGGATAGACAATGTGGGATCAAGCAGCTTAACCCCTTCCCGACCGTGGACGGAAATTTTCCGTCAACCTTGTCCTTCAGTTAAGGACCGTTGACGGAAAATTTCCGTCATTTTCTTAAGTTAATCCCAGATCGCCGCGATCGCGGCAATCGCGGGGTTAACGGTGCTCCGGTCTGCCTCTGCATTAGAGGCAGACCGGGAGCACCCGATCGGGCTGCCCCAGCACCGGTGCTCGCTCTGACAGCATGTCAGAGCGAGCACATGTGCTCCACATACTCACCTTCCGCCTCCCTGCACTTCCGGGTTCTGTGTGAAGTGCAGGGAGACGGATCAGTGCTGATCTGCTTCCCTGTGTAAAAAAAAAAAAAATTAAAGTTAAATCCCAGCCCCCCTGCCCCTGTTTTAATAAAATTAACCCCTTCCCTGCCAATTGATCACTGACTACAGTGATCAATTGGCAGGGTATACATTTTAATGTCATCTGATTTTTTTTTTTTAACCCCTGAGGGTTAATTATTTTTTTTTTAACCCTCAGGGGTTAAATTTATTTTATTAATTAATTTAAATATTAAAAAATTATATATTTAGCTAGCTGGGATGGGTGGAAGTTAGTGGGGAATTGGGGAATTTGGTGTTAGGCTAACTAGGGGTTAACGTTAAAAAAAGTTTTAAAATAAGCTTTAAAAAGGTAAAAAAAAATTTTTTTTTAAATGTTTTAGTAACGTTTAAGTAAAAAAAAAAAAAATACCACCCCCTTTACCCAGTCTAAATAAAAATTAACCCCTTCCCTGCCAGCTGATCACTGCCTACAGTGATCAAAATACAGATCACAGTATTATACTGTGATCTAATTTTTTTAACCCCTGAGGATTAACTTTTATTTATTTTTTTTAACCCTCAGGGGTTCCATTTATTTAATTAATTAATTTAAATATTTTATAATTAAATATTTTGCTAGCTGGGGTGGGTGGGAGTTATGGGAAAATGGGGAATTTACGGTTAGTGCTGCTTACTGCTAGTTAGGGGTTAACGGTAAAAGAAAAGTTTAGAAAAAAAATTAAAAGTGTAAAAAAAGTTAAGATAGTGTAAAACATTTAATAAGTAAAAAAAAAAGTTTAAAAATGGGTTTTACAAAGTAAAAAAAGTTTTACAAAGTAAAAAAATACATTTAAAAATGCTCATTACCACTACACTTGGTACAAGCTAGCGGAAATATTATCCCACGCTAAGGTTCAAAATATGCCTTTTGAATTACCCTGGGATGTCTTCTTTAAGAAATGATATGCCTTTATGGTGTAATTGGATGATATAGCCTTGTAAAATACTCTAAAATGGGACATGGACACAGCGTAAAAATTCAAAGTTTGGAAAAAACTGGAATGGCTGTGTCTCAAATGTGCCCCTTCAATGTCCACATATACCTGGCAAAGGTACATACGGGGGTATTGATGTACTCAGCCGACATAGCTGAGCAACATATGAAGTAGTATACAGTCGTAGTACACATAAGGTTTGCAAAATATACTGCGCAAACTCACTTTGTGTGTCAAAAAGGCAGAAAAAATGCTTATTACCACTACACTTGGTACAAGCTAGCGGAAAAATTATCCCACGCTAAGGTTCAAAATATGCCTTTTGAATTACCCCGGGATGTCTTCTTTAAGAAATGGTATGCCTTTATGGTGTAATTGGATTATATAGCCTGGTAAAATACTCTAAAATGGGACATGGGAACAGTGTAAAAATTTAAAGTTTGAAATGAACTGGAATGGCTGTGTCCCAAATGTGCCCCTCCGATGTCCACATATACCTGGCAAAGGTACATACGGGGGTATTGATGTACTCAGCCGACATAGCTGAGCAACATATGAAGTATTATACAGTCGTAGCACACATAAGATTTGCAAAATGTACTGCGCAAATTTACTTTGTGTGTCAAAAAGGCAAAAAAACGCTTATTACCATTACACTTGGTACAAGCTAGCGGAAAAATTATCCCACGCTAAGGTTCAAAATATGCCTTTTGAAATACCCTGGGATGTGTTCTTTAAGAAATGGTATGCCTTTATGGTGTAGTTGTAATATGTAGCCTGCTCAAGTGCTCCAAAGTGGGCACGGACGCATCAAAACCCTCCATGAAAATTCACACTTAAAAACCTTAACTTGTTACGTCTCTTTTATAGCAGTGTAACTTCACAAAATAGTGTCTAGGTCATACATTGGGCATATTGTTTTACTCAGAAGACTTAGCTGAGCATAATTTGGGGGTTTGAACTTAGTGGCACATATGAAATGTACAAAATGCCCAGCAAAAATGTAATCCGTATGTAAAAAATGCCCAAAATTATTTTTTACCACATACTTTGGCATATATTGGTGAAAAAATGGGGGCATGTTAAGGCACAATATGCACCATATGAGATACCCTGGAGTGTCTACTTTTATAAATGGTAGGCCTTTGTGGGTTTTTTTGAACAGTCAAACTGCTATAATACCCCAAATTGAAGCATAGGCCCATTAAATCCGCCTCTCAAAATTCTACTGTAAATGTTGAAACGGACAGGTCTCCTATATGGCACTGTAGCTTCACGAAATAGTGCCAAAGACATACAATGGGGGTATCGTTGTACTCAGCAGAAGTAACTGAACACAAAATAAAACTTTGTACAGGAATAGCACACACCAACTTTACAAAATATACATGGGAAGTTCTTTGTTATAAGTTTGTGTGCCAAAAACTCCAAAAAACTAAATTTTACTCCAATATTTAGCAGAGATTGGCGGTGAAATGGCTACTTAGAAAGTGTCAAAAAAACCTTAGGACAATAGCCTGTGATGTCTACTTTATATAAATATATACTTTTGTGTGGCAATTTTGTTTTCTTTTATGGCTATTAAGCTTACAAGACAAACATACAAAATTCTAAAATCGCTCTACATTAAAAGTTTATTTTACTCCTTGTGCTTTATGACCTGTAACTACCAAAAAAAACTTTAAATCCCAGACACATTATATATTTTGTAAATCAGAACAACTAAATAAATTTATTTTTAATTACTTTCTTTAACCTGCACTAATTAGGCACACATTATTATTGCAAAAACTGTACAAAAAACACAAAATTTTTCTTTTTTTTGCATTTTTCTGTATTTTTTAAATAATAAATAAGCATTTATATATATATATGTTACATCAAATTAAAGCCCTTTATGTCCTTTAAAAAACAGTATATAATATGTGTCGGTGCAATAAACGAGAGAGATGCAAATTGCAGTTGAACGCATACAGCAAGAAAATGCAAAAATTGCTTGTGTCATTAAGCGTAAGACAAGCTTCTGAAGCTGTGTCCTTAAGGGGTTAATACAAGCTAGTGTGGTGCCACCTAAAGACTCTTTGTGCAGTAAACACTACAATGGCCAATAATGTTGTTTGATCTGTACTTTTTAATGAATGAAAAAATTAAAATATCTTGTACTGTTGTGGGTGCAATACTCTTGTATGCAAAGTTTTATTTGTTCCTGCTATAAAACGTTTTTTGTTTTTTTTTTCCATACCTGCTGTGTCAATAAAGTAAAGAGAGTTTTGTACCTGTCCCCTGGGAAGGCCTGTCAGTACCTAGAGACTTTTTACAGGGCATCGCTCATGCCCCAAATAACTTATGTTCATTAGATTGAGTGTAAAATTCTATCTCTACATTGTACTTGTAGTTTTGCTTGTAAATATATAGATTAGAAGAAAAACCTATTTAAAAATATGCTTTTTTTCGAGCGGTTAGTCAATGCCATGGCATGGCAAGTCATTGACTGAAAAGGGAGAGCAATAAAAACCTCCCACAGGGATTGTTTGGCTCTCCCAGGCATAACAACCACAGCACATGTGATTGCTATAGAAACTCCCTAGCCAATGCTTCTAGCACCGTCTAGGAAGTATAGGAATGGAGGGATGTGATGTCACTCTGTTCATACATCATGTATCTTTGTGATGTGATATATATGGGAGTGATTTAAGGTAAGTTTTTTTTTATTTTTTTTTGTCAACAGGTTCAATGCATAAAATACATAGTATAGAAAACCTCTGCTTTCCCCAGTATCTGCATGTCTTTCATAGTTAAAGAATAGGCAGGAACTCACATTTTTGTCTTCATTATGAGCAGAAAATGAAAAGACAGAGGCTTTTGTTCTCAGGGCTCTGCACCCGTTCTTTGCCCACCTTGGTTTGGTTATTTAAATGATTTGGCTGTCTTCCTCGGTTCTGCATGCTAGACAGTGTTTCCGTCTTCATTGCGTAGCCAAGAAGGCTTAATGTAGTAGTTGTTCTGGTGTCTATAGCTTGTCCCTGAAGGCATTTCAATGTAAACACTGCCTTTTCAGATAAAATGCTTAGGGCAATTCTTTAAGGCTTTCTCCAGAATGAGACTAAGAATCCATGATCCTCCTTGAGACTTAAACTTGGTACTACTTGCAGTAACACAACCACTGTTTGAACCTATGGATGCACATGTATTTACTAGGAATCTTTCTCTCAGGAATCATTATTTAGGCGCAAAGTTCTTAAAGCTGTTGTATTAGTACTCTCTCTCTTGTTCTTACTGCTGCTATCTTATGGAAAAATTAATTTTACTTGAATTAAAATTGCTTTTGTATAGGATTATCAGCAGTATTGGTTTGTTTATTAATTAAAGTTGTTTTGTAGTTTTTCATAAATTCTCATGCCGTCATCTCTGGGTAAGGCTTAGTGGTTTGCTGTTTATTTAAAAAGCATGGGAGTTGGATTTAGGGGATGTGCTCTCTATTATGTATTTAAAATGTATCTAGTTTCTGCTTTTCTTTCACAGGGTGATACAGACTAAGCAACAGTGTGCGTAAAAATCAATTTTTACATTTTATAAGGCTACTTAAAATCGCCTATCTCCGCAAACCAATATGGGCATTCAGTTACACCATATGGCCATATTGTGTTAAGCCCACCACTACATCACAGTACCACAAAATTGGTAGGTCCTACAATGTTCTTCCCGGGTGTTTGCACAACCCTCTTGTTCTTACTGCCAAAAATCATATGCAAAAGCAAATTTATGGCAAGTAAAGTAAATCAAGTTAATGGTAAATTTGGGTATGGTTTGACATGCCATTCATTTGAAACTACCAGGGCAGTCAGATTGACAGGATAGGTTAAATTTCTAACTGCTCATCTTTTACACTGAACTGAGAGAATTCTGATTTTGTTGAGCAGTTATATTAATTGTTTTTTGTTTTCCTTTCCCTTACTATAACTTTATCCTTATAACATTGTCTACTTTTCCTCATGACTACCAGTACAGTGTTTAAATGAAAACATCCTATGTCACATATGAAACAGGAAAGAAAATAATTATTTTTTGCCCTTCTCCATATTTACCTACTACATTATACTTCTTTTGGAATGTTCTCCATATATATATTTGGAAACTTTTCAAATGTTTGAAAATAGTGCAAACTTCTTTGTTGGCCAAGGTTATGCTACCGAAGTAAGAAAAGTTCTATCTGTTCTAAGTTCCAAGTTCTAGGTCTATAGTCATTGTTTTTTTTGTTTTTTTTTCCTTTTCCTGCTCTCTTACTATACCTTTCTCAATATGTTATTCAAGGCCTGATGTTTACCATCTCTTAATTTTTCTAGGCCTCCTACAGGTCCCATTCAACCCTACAACCACCCACCCCACCTCCACCATTTTGTATTTATCTATGACTTGTATCTTAGTAGTCTGTTTTATATTTGCAGGCTGGGTGAAAAGCAAGCCACCAAAGCGTATACAGTTCTTGAAAGATTATATGAAACAAGCCGACAGAGAGCCTATCATTGGTATGTTTTTGTTTTGTTTTAAACGTTTGAAAAAAATCAGTTGTGTGAGTAGGTGCTTATTTACTTATTTACCAGTGGTTCCCAAACTTTTTAGGTTCAAGACGCCCTTAATATGTTTCCAAACGCCTCAAGTCAAATAATTTCTAGGTTGAATATATGTACAGCGATGCGGCTTATACTGGGCCCCTGTTCAGCAGAAATGTTTCCTGGTCAGCGGCAGATCCGGAACCTAATCTTGGGAGGGGCACTGGTAGATTATTTAAAGAAACAATCCAGGCACAATAACCACTTTTTTTTTAATTTCCTTTTAATTAAAAATTATTTTCATGAAGTCCCGGTGGTCCAAGTGGTGAGAGTGCACTCTAGCTAGGATAGAGTTTATTCTAGAGAGATTCAGAGTGTTGCCGTGGTAACCGCGGCAATGCTCAATGCTCGCATGAGGAGAACCCGGGGGAGCTGCATGTTAGAGCTCCCCCTGGTCCTCTCTTTCACCCCTGACAGCTACAGCATTTCAGTGCTTGTGGGCCGGTGAGGGAGATCTCTGATCTCCCCTCTGGTCCTGCAGATCCGGCAGGGAAGAGCTGGGCACGGTAAGATTCCCAGTGCTATGATTATAGCACCATGTAAACATTTAACGGCACATAGTTTGTGAACCGTTGTACTAGACAGATGATAACAGTTAAAAAAAAAAAAAAAAAAGTGTATTGTGAGTTTATTGCTCCCCTTTTTTCACCACACATAAAATCAGGAGGGTGTCTTCATGTGAGTGTTCCAAATTAAAACATTATGGCTTTTTTTTTCAGTCTAAAATATCACCTATTTCAATATTCTAAGTGTTTATATGTGCTGTTACACATCTGTGTAAACACATACACATTATCAAAGGGTTCTTTTTAAGTGAAGTTTCATTAAAATTTGATTTCAACAGTCTTTCAATTTCGATGCCATTATAATAACTCAAGTTTAAAGCAACAGATTTTCCATTTTCCCCTTTATTGTTGTTAAGGATCGGAATACGTGACAGAATACAGAGTTCAAACTAAACCAGATAAGTTTGAGACGAAGTACAAATGTGAAATCTGCGATTTGGAAACAGATTTACTTCCCCTGATAGAACATCTTACGGGCTTCAGACACAGACGGCTCTATGTGGTAAGTGTGACAAGCTGTTATTGTAATCAGCAGGTTTGTACACCATGTAATTACACAAAGTGATTCCGAATGATTTAGTTGGATATGTAGTTTTAAATACCATTGTATGTGATACATATACAAAAGTAGTCTGTTTTGTTTCAGTAGCTTAGTACCAAATCAATGAAATATTTGTATGGTTTTATAAAAAATAAAAGAAAAATGCAATAGTTAATGAACAAAACAGGATTTGCAATAGCTTACAGTGTAAGGAATGGAAGTGATTTGTTATTGTTCTTACATACCGAACATGTTGACATTGATTTTGTTACTGTAATAAAAGCTTGAGGAAAGTTCTCACTTTTTAACTAGTTTCATTAAACAGGCCAAAGAATATCCATATGTATTGAAAGCACAATTCCCCTCTAAAGATCGAGCTCAGTTTCTGAAAAGAATGGCTTTGGAAATAGAGCGGGAAGAGGGGACAAAGATGTATAAGGTAATTTGTTTTGTTTAATGATTTATGTAAATGATTATGAACATCAATTATTACAAAGAACCCAAACTACTTCAACATGCTACAGATGTTTTGATGCTTTCCCTGTAAAAATGCTGGGATAAAAAGTTTATTATAATTAATGTTGATCTTGTACATCCATTGGTTTTATTGTTGTGGTGACCACATGGAATAGCTATATAAAATGTTAACTGCATGCTTTTCATTTTGCACTCAGCCAAAACAGAAAAAATAGAGACAATTGTTTACTCAGTACTACAATTAAAGTTCTTCAGTTTAGAAAACGGATTGCTTGTATGATTTTTGTACTTCTGTTTCTTAGCATTAACTGTTGGGGTTTTTGTGGGGGTGGTTTTTGGTCAGTCTGCGAGACAATCCCATACTGAGAATGTTTTTCTTTTCAGATTGATCCAGCAACAAAGCTGGAGTCATTGTTGACATTACAAATACCTGAAAAGGGTAAGTTTATCTGGTATAACAGACCTTAATTTACCATGTATGTGTATGCATTAATATTAGATTTGTTTTAAATAAAACTCTTATAAATTACCTTTATGTTTAATAAAAAGAATATTATAACAAAAATAAATGGTTAACCCTTTACTGACTGAGCGTTGAGGGTTTGTAACTGAGGCACATTTTGCTATATGTTTCACTGTAATTAAGGCTTTCTCTCAAGGTGAACCCATGCATAGGACATATTGTTGGGTGTTTTTTTATTTTCTCTAAGATAACCAGGGCGGCCGGCTACATGCTCCCTAAGCCGGTTGCCTCCCTACAGCCCAAGGCGTCTGTCTATAAAGTTTCCTAAGCCGGCCACCCTGGGCTGTATGGAGGCGGCCGGCTTAGGAAACTACAACGCTTCCTGAGCCGGCCACCTCTATGCTCCCGCAGGCGGGCAACCGGCCAGCTTAATTGTTTTTTGCCCAGCCGGGCACTTTGGGTAAAAGGCTGACATCTCAGATGCCAGGACAAAATTTGTAGTCGTCATATCAGCCTGGCGCCTGGGATTTGTCACACCCTGCTGTAACCTGAATAATCCAGTGACACTTGCCTAGAGCCAAGACACCGGTTCCTGTGAACACTTGAGATCCTAGGCTATAGTAGTTCTGCTCTATCTATTATAGTGCACTCGAATTGACACCCCTGCTAGCATATGACTTGGTTGTACGGTTCAGATATATGAGTACCAATCTAGCCACCATTTACTGCTTTGCCACAATATTGTTATTGTTGTTACTGGTGTTTGTGTGACGCCAGCGTATTCCGTGGCACTTTACTATAGTCTCCCTACTAATGCCTGTAGCGCCTGTCGCACCATGCAATTGTTGATGTTTTGCTATGTCTTAATTTTCTTTACCTTTAAACCTTTAGTTACATATATTGAATAAGATGTGCACCTCTGTACAAATTCAAAAAAACTAAAAATGTCTCACGTCTAGGAAGGAATTAATTTTTGGAAGTTGTAGGCCAAATATTGGAGAATATGAATGATATATTTAAAATCTAAGCCTTTGCTAAAATTTCTACACTTGTACATTCGTTTTCAGATAATTGCAAATTCCTGCAAATTTTTGATGAGCCATAACACAAATTAGCAAATCACTTCAATACCAAAAACAAAGAATAGATTCATGATTGAAATGCAATTTATTATTTTAATTACAAGGAGGGAGCACAATTAAAAAAAGAAAAAAACAGTGCTGCTTCCAACCATATCCCTGATCTTTGGAATGAGGTGTAAATTAGTTCACAATCATTGGGGTGGACAAGGGGTTAAAAAGGAGCAAAGCTCCCTGCTGCTTCCTTCTCCTATCTCTTGGGCTGTGAGAAGAGAGGTGAGTAACTTATCCAATTGTCCACTCCCACGTGAAGAGTGAGAGGGCTGCTTGCTTTTCGCCCCTCCTAGAGTGGCAGATGGGATGGGGATTAGATAGAGAAGCACATAGCAGCCAGTTCATGACGCTTTTTTAATTTTAAATGTCATTGTCACGCAGTAGAATAGAGCTAAAAGAAGAAAGAGGGCAGACAACCATCTCGCACCTCACATGACCATTTTTTGGTCATACCATATTCCAGAAGATAGTAGGAAAATAAATGTTTAGCTCGTCAAGCGACAACAGCGAGAGGGATGGGGTGTTGACACTGCATCAGTTCTGTCCCTAAAATGTAAACTCACACCCCAATTCTAGTGTTCATGTGTTAGGAGGTGTAAAGAGCAGCAGGGAATCATGGGATTAAATGGCTCCTCAAACAAAAAAATTAATTTATCCTAAATATAAACCTAACACTGCTGCTTCAGTTCTGAGAGCCAAACAGACCTGAAGCCGCAGTGACCACATGGCCTAACTACAGGCTAAAGCGAGTGGTTACTAGGATTGGCATCACATGGCAACCACACAGCCTCGGAAAAGAAATCTGGCATTGTTAACATGCTATCTCATTAGTTAGACAGCCAGCAATATCATTGTACACTCTGATCTTGGCATAGAGACTGCCAGGCTGCTAAAATCTGATGTCTTCTGCAAAGTGATTGGATGCCTTAGATGCCTTAGACATTTACCAAGATTTTGTTGCTGAATGGCAGTTGATGAATCTCACATTTAATCCCTTAAGGACGTGTCATTGTTTTAACAATCTGGGCTTTAATGCCTTCAGAATGTAATGACACGTCCTGCAGATTTGGTGCGTTCAAGGTTAAATCCCTGTTCACACCAGGGAGTCCCATGTGTCAATGGATACCTGGGGCTCCCCTCTGTCAGCTGAGAGCTGAGGCCATTTATAGTTGACCCACACTTTTCGTTTGCAGCAGTGGAAGTCAATATCAGTACTGATATTTACAAAGGGAAACCTTTGTGATTAGGACTAAGATTAGGTTTAGAATAAGTATTGGGATTATATTTAAGGTAGGTTTAGAATTATATTTCGCATTGGGATTAGGTTTTAGATTAAAGTATGGATTGGGATTAGGGCCAGCAAGGGAATCCTGCTGATATCAGCAGAGAGAATACTTCTAACACTATAGGGTTGAGATTAGGATTAAGGGGTCCTAATTAGGGTCAGGTAAGAATTATATCATGGGTTAGGATTAGGGTGAGGTTTAGATTAGATTAGATTTGGGATTCAGATTTTGTTTAGGATTAAGGATTTAGACTGGGATTACGTTTAAAATTGTTTCTTTGCAGAGGCATACAAATGGGGTATTTTATTCTGGAGATGTTGCTGAGTATATTTAAAATCATTTTATTACAGTGGGACACATGAGATTTAAATAATGAGCATAAAAAAATCAATGTGTATGTAAAAATTGTAAAATAAAAAAAGAATTCCACAAATTTTAAAGGGACACTATAGTGACCCAGACCACTTCACCTCAATGAAGTGGTCTGGGTGCCAGGTCCCTCAGGTTTTAACCCTTCAGATGCAAACAGAGAAACTGCTATGTTTGGGGTAAATCCAGCCCCTAGTGGCTGTCTTCCGGACAGCCACTAGAGGCGCATCTGCGAACTGGGGCGCATTCCGCCTCCATCACGCAGAGCGTCCATAGGAAAGCATTGAGAAATGCTTTCCTATGTGTTTTAGACCAAACCAAGTGTTTGCTTGAATATCTTCCCCTGTCCAGATTTTAAAGTGAAAATGCATGCACGCTGAAGAAATCACGCTTACAACAAGGTTAGATAAATGAAAACTTCAAAGTGTTTATTGGGGGCGGACAAAGCCCCTTAAAAATGCCGAAAAATGCATTGTGTGCAAATATTAAGCATAAACGTTTTTTAATTGGCCATGTGTAAGTGTTTTATCTTGATGTACTTCCTCCAAGGTGTGATGTCGTCATCATCTTGGGTGCTACTCCGGATGGAGGCGCCATCTTGTTACACAAGGTGTTTTGGTCGATGGGAGGGGGTGCTCTAGTGGCCATTTTGAGTAATGAATAAGCACAATGAATAAGCACAGGTACACATAGTAAATAGCAATTTTATCTACATTAATTTCTATCCATCACAGTCCCCCCTTAAAATGACTATTTACATCTATTTCTAGCAGCTATATCTGTCCCTAATTGCCTAACTCATCTGTCCCAAAGGCCTCGGAACTCTTCTCGTACTGCACATAAGACTAGTGGTGGCTTGTCCACCACCCCCCTCGCTACAGACTGTGCCTAGAGGGAAGTCAGATGCTATCCCTAAAATACTGTAGCCTTGAAAGTGGCGGGGAGGGACTACAACGGAGTGTAGGGTTTATCATAATCCTCCTCATCTATTTCTTGATGAATGAAAGTAGGTGTGGCTTGATCTGCTGTGTTCTGAAGACACTTTTTAATGCAAGGGGAGAACACAACATACAATGAGGGCAAGGATAATTAGAATTACCAAGACTGCTACACCTATTTGGGCCAAAACGTTCTGCCAGCCGCTCATCCACCCAAGCCATCTATCCCATGGGTCTGTTACCCCAGAGTTCCTTTTCAATTCTTCAGAGAGACACTCCAATTTCTCTATTGCCACGGTAACCTTACCATTAGGGCCTGTATTATCTGGGATGAAGGTACAACATGACATGGTGTCCGGGAGCATTTTACACACTCCTCCTCTTTCTGCTAGGATCATATCTAGGGCCATCCTGTTCTGGAAGGTCATCTGAGATGTGGCTTGTAATTGCTCGGCTATCCCCTGAAGGGCATCCCTTGTATAATTTACAAGCCGTTGCTGGTTATAATAAATGTAATTAATCCAGACGTATGACGTGATGACGTTGACGTCGTGAGGCGGGATCAGGAAAAGTCCGCGAGTGAGGGGTAGACAACGCGGCTAGAACGTGGCTCGAGTGAGACGACTAAGCGACGACCCACACATGGGGTTCTAAAAGTCTGCCGGGCTGCTGCTCAAAACGGCTAAATAATAAGCAGTGGAGATCGAGCACAAGCAGGAGGAGAAGCCGGGAGAGAGACCTGGGACCAGCATTTAAGATAAGTGTTGCAAAGGGAGGAGGAAAGAGGAGGAAGGAAAGTCGCTCAGAGAATCATACTACCAAAGGGATCAACAAAATGAAGGTACAATGTGTGAAACTGATTTAAGAGGGGGGGCCTTTGAAAGACTAAAGACTAAAGCACTAAAGCGGCTGAAGGATTAAAGTGATTACCAGCAACTATGCAATGAACAGCAATGAATATTTAGCCGTGTTAAAGATTTAAAATTTGAAGGAAAAAAAAAAGTATAAAAAAAAAGAGAAAAGAAAATGGATATAAAATAAAATTATTTATCTCTGCCCGCATTAAAAAATAGGAAAAAAAAATATACTAAGGGCCTTTGAAGTTGAAAATTTATTATTCAGCATTAAAATAAGGTCTGAGGTCTCCCAATTGGCACAGATGGAAAAGTAAATATTTACAAAATATAAATTTCTGACCGGGATTTGTGCTTTCTTTTTTCTCTCCTCGTTAAATTTTGCCACAACAACCCCTTCTCCTCCACTAATATACGCAAAACATATATGTATTAACATCAAAAAACCTAAAAACCTAAGTTAAAGGAGAAACTAAGAAAATTAAGAAAAGATATGGCTACAAAAAAAATTCAAGAAGATAGGAAAAAAAAAAGAAAAGAAAGACCCACAGTCTGATAAAAGACTTTCGGGGTATTTTTCACCTGCACCTTCTCAACAGAAGGCTCAAAGTAATCCAGAGGACTCTGAAGAGAATCTGGAAACAAATTACAGCTCAATTAAAGAGGTACATTTAAACACACCTATGACAGAAGATATACTTACAAAAAATCTGGATAAATTCTATAGAGCTATAGGAGAAGATATGATGGCTAATACGAGAGAATTAAAGCAGGAATTTAAAATGATTCAGGTTAAATTAATAGAAATGGAGGAAAACTTCATAAAATTAGAAAAAAAATACATCACAAGTCAAGAAATAATTGTTGGTCTCACAAATAAAATAGGAGTACTTGAAACAAAAATCTGGGATATGGAAGATAGATCCAGGAGAGCAAACATCAGAATAAGAAATATCCCAGAAGAAGTATCCAAGGAAAAACTTGAAGACTTTCTCCTGGAATTCTTCAAGAATTTGTTATTGGATGGGGACCCTCATGATTATTTAATAGACCGGTGTCATCGATTACCAAAACCGTATAATGTTTCGGAGAATTTAGCAAGGGATGTAATGGTGAAATTTCACTCCTACAAAACTAAAGTATGAATAATGGCAGCCATGAGGAACAAGCCGACAGTGGAGGAAAAGTTTAAGAACTTAAATATATTTCAAGATCTATCATTTACAACAAGATCGTGGCGAAAAACTTTTAAGGATTTACTGTTAATCTTGAGACAGAAGAACATCAATTATAGATGGGGCTTTCCTTCATCATTGAGAGTGTCTTGGAATGGAAAAACTGAAAAGTTCGACTCTAAAGAATCATTGAACAGTTGGATGGAACAAGCAAAGATTAAGTGATAAGTGAAAAACTTCTTTGTTTCTTTTTTTATTTTTTTTTCTGATATCGGATAAGGATTATGATTATAAAACACAATAGAGTGAAGAAGATAAAAACACTTAAAATAATATTAAGCTTAAAATCACTAGTACACGAGATTAAAGGGGTAGAATAATTAATGTTAAAATGAACAGGTAGAAACAGATATGTAATAGATAGGAAGATGAATGTATAGTTCAAAATAAAAGGAGTAGGACTTATAAAATATAATAAAGATGAAGAAGATATGAACACTTTAAAAGATTTGAAACACAAAACTATTAGAAAATGGTAAAATTGTTAATGATAAGAACACAAGGAAGAAATTGAAGTCACGTAATAGAAGTACAGGTTTTTTTTTTGTTTTTTTTTCTGATATCGGATAAGGATTATGATTATAAAACACAACTGAGTGAAGAAGATAAAAATACTTAAAATAATATTAAGCTTAAAATCACTAGTACACGAGATTAAAGGGGTAGAATAACTAATGTTAAAATGAACAGGTAGAAACAGATATGTAATAGATAGGAAGGTGAATGTATAGTTCAAAATAAAAGGAGTAGGACTTATAAAATAAATAAAATAAAGATGAAGAAGATATGAACACTTTAAAAGATTTGAAACACAAAACTATTAGAAAATGGTAAAATTGTTAATGATAAGAACACAAGGAAGAAATTGAAGTCACGTAATAGAAGTACAGTTTTTTTTGTTTTTTTTAAAAAAAATATCTCAATCTCAATCTCAGGTCTATAATAGAAATAGGCACCTCCTCCTCAAGGATAATTTCTTTTCCCAGCCATGTGTCCGTGGTTGAGACACAATAACCGATATGACGAGAATGCGATTCTCGCAAATCGAGAAAATGGCTCTCCCATTTTTGATGGATGAGAGGCCATTTTTTCCTATCTGGTTTATAACCAGAAAGGAAGGGTATGAATGTTTTAATATATGTGTTGTGTTATTGTTGTGGTTGAACATGCCGTCGGGGATACTGGGAGGTTTTTGCGGGGAAAATGGTTAAAATGTTATCAGCTAACACTCAGGGCCTGAACTCTCACTCTAAAAGAGCATTAGTATACGACTCTATGGTTAATCAAAAGATAGAGATTGGTTTCCTGCAAGAGACACATTGGAGACTGATCGATAAGGTAAAATGGGGAGGAGAAAGATTCCCACATTTGTTCCAGGCTTCGCTCAACGATTGTAAAAAAAGGGGGGTTGCTATATTGGTGGCAAATACGGTGAAATTCGAACTAATATATCAATATGCGGATAGGGAAGGTAGATTTTTAATTGTTATTTGTAAAATAAATGAAATTAAATATACTCTAGTCAATATATACCTGCCAAATTCTTTCCCTGTGGTTACTTTAAGAAAGATTTTGGAACAAGTGGAAATGATTAAGACTGGAGTATGTTTGATTGCAGGAGATTTCAATTGTGTGTTGGATCCAGTTTTAGATAAGAAACTTAGCATTAAGACCTCAGTGAACAGCTCAGTAGCTAAAATGGCAAAAAGCCTTAGAAATATAAAAAACGAGTTTGATTTTTTTGACTTATGGAGATCTTCTTACCCAGAGAAACTGGATTATACTTTTTTCTCTAGAGTCCATTATTCATATTCACGTATTGATATGATTTGGGGGGATATGAATGCTTTAGAAAATGTAGAGAAAATTGACATCAGGAATAATACATGGTCGGATCATAGTATTAATATATGGACTATGAAAGACCAGTGGAACATTAAAAATAGAACGACATGGAGAATAAACGATTATATACTACATAATAAAAAAAATCAAGAGGTTCTTAGAACCCAGATAGATAGATTCTTTAAAGATAATAAACCTAATGAAACTACACATTCCAATAACTGGTGTACCTTTAAAGCTACAATAAGAGGCAGCTTAATAAGTATGGAAGCGTACTCTAAAAAATCTAAGAGAGAAGAACTAATTCCCTTACTTGATAAATTAGAGGAAAAATCTAAAGAGAATAAAAAAACTCCTTCTAGAGAGAACTCGGAGGTTATTGTTGAGATCCAAAATCAAATTAACCAAATAAAAATTGAGAAAAATACAAAGATAATGGGGAAATTGAAGTTGAAAGAATACAGTACAGGTAACAGATAAACTTTTAACTAAGAAGTTGAGAGAAAAAACTGCCTCAAAAAAAATCACTAGAATAAAGAGGAATGAAGAGACATATATTTCCCCCAAATGCATTGGTCAATGTTTTAACTCATATTACAGTGAATTATATTCCCTTTCAACCCAGGATAAGGAGATAGATAAATATCTAGAGGGTATTAATACTCCAGTAATATCAGAGGAGCAAAAAACAAGTCTCAATACTCTAATAACGGCACAAGAGGTGGAAGAAGTTATTAAAAAACTGGAGAATAACAAGACCCCCGGCCCAGACGGATTTTCAAACTTATTTTATAAAGCCTTTGGAGATTTACTTATAAAACTGGTAGATCTATTCAATAATATTGTAGATAGAGGACAATTTCCAAAGGAAATGTTGAGAGCAAACATATTACCAATTCCAAAGCAGAATAAAGACCAGGGGGAAGTGGAAAACTATAGGCCAATTTCTCTTATAAATACCGATGTAAAGATTTTTTCTGCAATAATAGCAAATAGATTAAAACCCACTTTAAACAATATAATTGACCCTGATCAAATAGGGTTTGTTCCGGGAAGAATTTCTTCAGATAATACAAGGTGCATAATAGACATTATAGATTTAGCGAATAGAACAGAAATACCTATGACAATTTTAACAGTTGACTCAGAAAAGGCTTTTGATAGGGTTGACTGGGAATTTATGAGTAAGTCTTTGCTGAAATTTGGTTATCAGGGTTGGATCCATAGAGCTATAATGTCCTTATATTTTGGTCCTTCGGCTAGGACAGTAGGACCTAATATATGTGCTGATTGGTTTAATCTCCACAATGGGACAAGACAAGGATGTCCGCTGTCTCCAATTTTATATATTATAACTATGGAGATTTTGGCGATAAATATAAGAACAAATAATCTAATAAGCGGAATTACAACGAATCAAAGAGAGCTGAAATTAAAACTATATGCAGATGATTTGATATTAACCCTAACTAAGCCAACTACATCTATTGCTGCTTTTATGGAAGTAGTTAAGAAGTTTAGTGAAGCTTCGAATTATAAATTAAATGAAAATAAATCTATAATTCTAGATATTAACTTGGATACATTAAGCAGAAATAATATAAAGGATAATTATAAATTTAATTGGGCCAGTATTAGTATTCCATATTTGGGAATATTGTTGACAAAGAAAGCTTCTGATCTAGTGCAGGTTAATTTTTTAAGCTGTTTTAGAAACATGAGGAATGCATTGAATAAATGGAAAAAAATTGAAATCACATGGTGGGGAAGAATGAACCTTATAAAACCCTACCTTTTACCCAAATGGGCCTATATGTTTCGGATGATTCCGTTAAAAATTCCTAAACCTTGGTTGAATATGATTCAAAGAATGATTAATAATTTCATCTGGAAGAATAAAAGACCGAGAATTAGCAAAGGGCTCTTGGCTCAAAAAATAAGACGGAGGCCTGGGTTTTCCAGGTATAGAGGGTATTTATCTTGCCAATGAATTTTTCCATATATATAGAACCCAATTGGATAGTGTAAAAAGGGAGGGATGGTATATTTTGGAAAGTGAGAGGTGTCAAGTAAGAGATTTGAGTTCAATTTTTTTGGTATAGATATGCAGATCCGAAATTGTGTATTATTGGACATTCTAACTTATGTATAGACTCCATATTGGATTTTTGGAAAGTAATATGAAGAAAAGCTAATTTGGAGAACAATATTTCAACTAATCTTAAATTGGAATTACTTCCATACTATATTAAGGATTTAAACATTAGAAGCTGGGTCCAAAGAGGGATAACTCAAATAGAATATCTATACAAAAATGAAAAAATTAAAACCTTCTCACAATTAACGCAAGAATTCCAACTATCAAATAAGGAATTATTTACATATTTGAGAGTGAAAAACTATTTAACTCAAAATACTATAAGACACCCCCTAGTAGGAACTAAATTGATTTGTGCACTTCTTAATCACAAAAAGGTAGACAGGGTCTCTTCCAAGGCAATGAGTGCTATATTGAAATTGGAGGCTCCTCAGGTTATCATCGCAAAGCAAAAATGGGAGAAAGATCTAAATATTACAATAGATAAGGAAAAGTGGTGCGTAATAATGCCCTGAGCTTGTGAAACTATTCATTGTCTGAACATATTGGAAACCTTGTTTAAAGTCATCAACAGATGGTATCTCACGCCCACAAGAATGGCTAAAATGTATAGCTCAGGTTCACCAATATGTTGGAGATGTAAGAAGTACTTGGGTTCATTCTTGCATATTTGGTGGGAATGTGAGATCGTAGCAAAATTGTGGTATGAAATATTCAATTACCTAGAGGGAATGCTTTGTGTGTCTATTCCAAAATTACCAGAAAATTTTTTATTACATCTTAACATTGACCCTCTTTTACAAAAAGATAAAGTAATTTATACTCATTTTATGATAGCGGCTAAGACGATTATAGCACGCAATTGGAAGAGTTCTTCCCTATTTGCCCTAGATAGGGTAATAATTCAAGTTAAGTTCCAACTTGGAATGGAAAGTCAGCTGGATAGGATACACGGAAGAGACCCAAAGAAGGTACATAATGCCTTTTGGTTGGGGAAAATGTAAAGAGAAGGTCAGGCAGATCCTGAGGGAACAGATGAGATAACCCTTATGAGGGAGTCTCATCCATATATAAAAAAACAAATAACATTTGTGGAAAACTAAGAGTGAAATGAAGGGTCCCCCAGTATTCCCGACGGCATGGGAATAGTTATGTGTTTTATTGAGTAAAATATTGTAGTAAATAGAGGAGTCTTTAACATAAAGCAGATGACCAGAGAGGTCAAAACATGAAATACTCCTCTACAAATGTCTGAGAAATAAACAGAGTTAATCTTAGATAATGCTGCATTGTATTATACGGTATTTACTGCTGTATACAAACTTATTTTAATGACATTTTTTTGAATGTTTAAATTTGTCTGTCTGATGTTGTGATGTGACAAAAGAATAAATTCAAAAAATAAATTAAAAAATAAATAAATGTAATTAATCCAATTCACATTCTTATTGGCAGTGATGATCGGAAAAATGCATTCAAAGCCCGCTGCAACTTCGTTACTTGCTTTAAATTCATCTGGCACCCCAATGGCACATATAAATATATATATATATATATATATATATATATATATATATATATATATATATATATATATATATATATATATATATATATACTTTACCACTGCTCTGGGGGTGATCAGGTGTGTGGAATGCAAGGGTTACCCCTAGGGCTGCCCAGATTTCTTTGGTTACTGATGCAGTGAAGGCCGGTCCCTGATCACTTTGTTACCTCGGGGACCCTATATCTGCATATCACTTCGGTGAGCAGACGTTTGACTGTGGTTTTGGCTGTCATATTTGTGACTGGGTAGGCCTCTGGCCATCCTGAGAACATGTCTACTATGACTAGTGCATATTCAAACCGACCACTCTTTGGCATTTGGATGTGGTCAATCTGGATTCTTTGGAAGGGATGTTGGGGTTTGGCCAGGTGCTTCAGGGGGGATTTTTTCCATGCTGCCTGGGTTGCATTTGGCACAGATTTTGTTTGTCAAGGAAGTAATCCCTGGTGCTTCGGTACATGTCTCTGTGTGGAATTGGGGAAAGCCAATTACACTCCAATACAGGGTTTGCTTGGTGACACCCTCTTCATAGAGTTGGGTCTGGTCCTCAGTGCTCCATGATTTGGCCATTGGGCCGAGTTCTTTCCATGAGGTCTGAGGGGACTTGGTTAAGATGTGTGGGACAGCTAAGTCCCAGTGATGATATAGGTGAGTTACCTCAGAGGGCAGGAGGGCTAGGGCCATGCTGTTCCCTTTAGAATCACAGAACAGGACTGTTATGGTGAGTTTCACATCCACCAACTGAAAGTTATTCTTCATAGTGGGGGTCGGGCCCTGGGATGGTTTTATACCACAGGGTGCAGTGAGGGACCAGGAAGGTCTGAGTATCGTGTGGAGGGAAAGCCTGAGTGCCACATGGGATGACTTGAGTTAGAAGAAAAAACATGTATCCTAGGTCTATGTCTAGGTTGTACCAATAGTGGGTGGATCCACCCTTGGGAAGAGGCAGAAGAGTGGACAGGTTAAGGGAGTAGCACCTCTGCAAGGACATGTTGTCTGGAAGCAGAAGAGAACATTGTAAGCGGAGGTGGCGGGTAGCAGAGAGGTGTTTGGGCTGAACTTGGTTAAGGATTGGCGCAATGTCATGAGGGGCAAGAATGACAAGCTGATGGCCAAGTACCAAATCATTAGTCTTGTCAATGAGGGCATGTGCAGAAAATACTGCTCTAAGGCAGGAGGATCCTCCCCTTGCCACAGGGTCAAGTTGGCATGAGTAAAAGCCAGTGGGGTGCTGGCGTGAGCCATGAGACTGTGTGAGGACCTCAGAGGCATGACCCTGTCTCTCTGACACGAACAACTTAAAGGGTTTCTGGTAGTCGGGGAGGCCCAGGGCCGGGGCAGTGGAGATGGCATGTCTCAAGGCAAAGAAGCTGGAGAGGGCCTCTGGGGACAGGGAAAATGGTTAAGTTTTGAGGGCGTCATAGAGGGGTTGCATAAGGAAGGAGGCCTCCGGGATCCAGGCCCTGCAGTAGGAGATTAGGCCCAGGAAGGCATGGAGGGATTTATGTGCTGTAGGAGGAGCAATGGCTGTGATAGCTCTCACCCGGTCACGAGTGAACTGGCGGGTACCATATGAGAGGCAGTGACCCAGGAAAACCATGGATGGCAGGCACCACTGTAGTTTCTGTTTAGAGGCCTTGCATTCTTGCTCCTCAAGATAGCATAGAAGATCTTCAGAAGTACGCTCAGCAGTAGGGAGGTCATCAGCACAGAGGAGGAGGTCATCCACATATTGAAGCAGGACCACATCAGTGTGGGCATTTTGCCATGAGTTCAGAATTGAAGCCATTGCTTTTGCAAACTGACTGTGAGAAATTTGTGCTCCTTGAGGCATGACAGTCCAGGTGTATTGCCGGTGTTCATGGGTGAAATCGAACAGATATTGACATGGAGGATCCAGGCGTACACTGAAGAATGCGTTAGCCAGATCCACCACTGTGAAATACCTGGAGGTAGGTGGGACCCCTAAAAGCAAGGGCTTGGGCAGGCTTCAGAGGGTATTGTGGCATACGGGGCAGGCTGGCCCCTGGGATTTACTTCACTAGAACTGGAGGGACATGGAGGCATCCAATGTCTTCTGGGCCTATGGACCACAGCTTGGGATGTATTCTGGTGAAGGCGTCGGGGGAAGTGTCCAGTACCCTTGCATTCTTGACAGGTTCTTCCATGTGGTGTTAGAGGGGTAGCGAGCAGAAGGATGATGTCAGCAGCAGATCGGGGAGAAGACATTTGAATCTGGCCATCTGGGGTAAAGGTGATAGATGCCTGCAAGCGGGAGAGAACATCTGCACCTAGCAGATTCATAAGGCAGGTTGCGGATACCACAAAGCGGGCTAGGAGGTCAGAGAAGGTGCCAACTTTCAAGGGCTGGGTTAGAAGGCTGGATCGAGGAGTGCCATCTACCCCTATGCAGGAGACATCAATATTAGACAGGAATGAGGAGCCAGGCAGCTCTTGTTTCCGAAGGACGCTCCTGGCTGCGCTTGTGTCAACTAAGAAGGTGGTGGGGTGGCCTTCTACAGGCAGGGCCACCATAGCTTCCCAAAACGTAGACTAGTCCCCTGAAGACACTGCCATGACAGGGGTAGGTGACACAGGTTTGCCAGTTACCTAGCGCAGGAGATCTAGATGAGCTTGGTCAGGGCCAGCGGAGGGGTAACTGGCAGCGGGGTAACAGTTTACGGGGCGACCGGCAGCGGGGTAACTGTTTACAGTGTAACCGGCTGCAGGGTAGGACGCTCTCCCATCCTGTGGGGGAGCCGGTCTAGGGACCCAGTTGCCCGCAGTTAAAGCATCTTCCAAGTTGTGGCATAGGGGGCGAACATGAGAGGGGCTGGCTTCCTGGGAAGCTGGAATTGGGAGGATTCCAGGCCCTTAGCAACCAATAGGAGGGTATCCAGGGGAAGCACCCTATACTCGGAGTTGGATAGAAGCAGGCCATTGCGTATGAATTCTTTAAGGCCTGTTACAAAGGCCGCAGACAACATTTGGGTATGGGCCTTATTATACATGCTGAAACCCAAATCGGAGAAGACTTGGGACAACCTAGTGTGGTATTTCTCCACAGATTCCGTCTTATCTTTGGTGATATTGTTAATACAGGTAGCCTGATCCACTAATTTATCTTTGGCCCACTCTATGAGCTGGTCACAGAACTCCGTACCGGAGGCAAAATCGGTATCGCTAGTGAGGCGAGCATTGGAGAGACTTTTCTTAATAATAGGTCAATAAGCATCTCCTGCCTTTATTTTGCAGAGACTAAGTAAGTCATGCCATGCAGCAGAATAGGTCTTTTGGATTTGGACAATTCTCCAGTAAAAGGGCATGGGTTGTTTTTCTGGGTCAGGCAAAGTGCTCACCAGGTTTGTGACTTGGGACAGAGTGAATATGACATACATTAAGGGGGCCCCTTCTGTGAGGAACTGGACTTGACTTTGGGGTTCTCAACACGAAGTTGTGGAGGATCGCCCCCAAATAGGCTACCATCGTCATCAGGGGGAATCTGGTACCCATGGGAACTGGCGTCTTCGAAGGAGTGTGAAGCCTGTAGGCCTCCGTTGGTGCTGTACATAAGGAGAGGGCGTAGGGGTTGGAGTGGGGTGGGTAGGGCTTTGGGGCGTGAGAGTGGGTGGATCATCTATGGTGACTTGGGGTCTGTCTACGAAGGGCATTACAGAGGCTAATACAATAGTGGCGAGAAGAGAAGGCAGAACAGGGGCGTGGAGGGTAGGCAGAACAGGGGCAGAGGTAACAGGGGCAGGCATAACAGGGGCAGAGGTAACAGGGGCGGGCATAACAGGGGCAGAGGTAACAGGGGTGGGAATAGCCGTGGCAGAGGTAACAGGGAAGGGAAAGCCTAACAGGGGCGGGGGAATAAAATTATCCATCTGCCCTGAGAATGGGGCAGACTGGGGCAGGGACCAGAGGGGCAGTGGTTGTTGATACTGGTAATAGGGTGGAGGTCACAGGGGCTAACCTTCTCTTTGTGCCAGGCGCCATCATAGGGAGGTGGCTGACATGGGACTTCAGTATCTTCAGCATTACAAGTACCTTCATGATATACATACATCCTCTGTCCCCCTAGGTCTAGTTCTTCCTCCACCCACCCCTCCTGGTGAACAGCTCTAGCAACTCTAAACCAGGCTTCTGCTGTCTCTACTTGCTTATTGTCCTGTAACAATCCCCTCTTCTCTTTTAGCAGCTTGGGCCAGCCTTCTGGCTGTAACCGCCCACTGGCACACATTAATGCCACATATCTTAGCTACCCTCTTCATCTTCCCCACTGCCTCCTCGCCCTCTCTCTCTCACTCTATCACAGGCTAACCAACCCTTACTGGGTTTCGCAAGCTTCTGACCCATCCTCTCTAAACAGGACGTCACAAGATGGAGACAAACAGGAAAGAGAACGTCTACAGTGCTCGACTGCCACGGCGGATAACCTGTGTGCGTCTTCCCAAAACGAGGTGGCCGCAGACTGGAGCGGGGCAAGTAGTGTGTGACCAAGCACTCCTCTCAACAAAGTATACAAGAGGAAAAAAACAAAACATAAACTTACACTGATTGCAATCAAAAACCAAGTAACATGTACAATTAAACCAAATTACCCTTCATGTATTTATTTAAAAAAAGGCAAGGATAGACCCGCGATATAATAAACCCTCCCAGACCCCGCAATAAGTGTGACCCTGATGCCGTCTGCAATGTCATGTGCTTTACCTCGCTACGGCTGTACCTTGCAGAACCCTCCCAGATCCCGCACCAAGTGCGTCCCTGACGCCCTCTGCAATGCCGTGTGCTTTATCGTGCTACGGCTGTACCTTGCAGAAGTTTAACCACGTCAATATATCCCTGTGAAATTCCCTCCCGTACTCTATCCAGCCCTCATGCAAAATACATCCACACCCAGGTGGCAGTTAATATACAGGTTCTATACAAAAATTATTTACCTGTCTTTGGTGCCCTGCGGCAGCCGACAAAGACTCGGAGATAGGCCAATCACAGAGACAGCATATATAGGCAAGGTACTAACACAGTCATTACCCTATATCAGGGGTGATCAGTCTCCGTCCCATCACTGCAGGTCTGCCCCCGGCGTCTTCGAGGTCGGCTATCCGCAGGGACACAACCCGGAGCCCCACGTTGGGCGCCAATTGTTTTAGACCAAACCAAGTGTTTGCTTGAATATCTGCCCCTGTCCAGATTTTAAAGTGAAAATGCGTGCACGCTGAAGAAATCACACTGACAACAAGTTCAGATGAATGAAAACTTTGAAGTGTTTATTGGGGGTGGACAAAGCCCCTTAAAATGGCAGAAAAATGCATTGTGTGCAAATATTAAGCATAAACTTTTTAATTGGCCAAGTGTAAGTGTTTTATTTTGATGTACTTCCTCCAAGCTGTGATGTCATCATAATCTTGGGTGCTACTCCGGATGGAGGCGCCATCTTGTTACACGAGGTGTTATGGTCGATGGGAGGGGCTGCTCTAGCGGCCATTTTGAGTAATGAATAAGCACAATGAATAAGCACAGGTACACATAGTAAATAGAAATTGTATTTACATTAATTTCTATTGATCACATATGGACACTTTGAATGTGCGCGCCGCGCGTGCGCATTCGGCTCCGCTGGCGGGGGGGGGGGGACCTCAGGGCACTATAGTGTCAGGAAAACCACTTTGTTTTCCTGACACTATAGTGATCCTTTAAGAAAAAATGCCACCTCCAAAACTTTTTTACTCAAATATTTTTGTGAATGGTCCTAAAATATCCTGCAATTTATCGTGTCAGGATCTCATTCATCTGTCTAATCCTTTCTTGGGATTCTTCCCTGAATTACTTAGAAATTGGACAATAACGGTACAAATCAGGGGCCATATATACGTTGTTAGGGAAAAATTGTCTTGGACATTCTCTCAGAAGTTTGTTTCTTGTAGACTAATCTAAAGGCTTTCTTATCCAGATTTTCAGGCATTGTGAAGTATGGGCAGCAGGAACCAGCTCAATGGCCTGGGATTTTTAATATGTCCTGATTGAAAAAAGGGTTTACCTTTAGCATCTAAAAGAAAAAATTCAGATTTATTAGGAATAGTACACTCCTCATCTTAAACTGATTTTTTAATCATAAGAGTCTGAATAAGATGATTCATTAGATGAAGTGTAATACGAATCTGGTTTGCTTCAGGATGATTTCCATAACTGTTTTACTTCCTCGTGGTTAGAGGGTCTATTGTGTGCTTTAGACACACATTTCTTAATGTAATGGTGAGTGGTTCTTTGATTTATTTTGTTCCTTATTTATCATGAGGCTTTTCAAAACCCTGTTTCAATAGGACCGTCTAAACAGTGTTTTCTTTTGTGTCGTCAACCCAGGTTGAAAAAAAAAAAAAAAAAAGATTTTAGCCTGGTTACGAGAGGGTTCCTCAGCTAACCAAAAAAAGATCACACGGTGTAATGGGATCATCAGAATTTTTTTCTCTATTAAAAGTATGAAATAAAGCCATATCCATGGATTTAGAGCCTTTAGACAATGATTCTGGCATCGAATTTATGGCATTTGATAACGTTTTATTTACAGATTGATCTAATTTTACCTGCCTGCTCTGAAAGAGTGGCATCAGTAATGGCCTTCTTGGCTTGTTTTTTATTAACCACAAGATATAAAAGTAAAAGCTGATAAAGGTTGTAGTAATATTACCTGATGTGGATGGAAACAATTAGAATTGATATAATGTAAAACAATGTTTCCTATTGAATTAATCTGAGGGACAAGCTGAAGCACAGTTATTCAGCTGAGGTAAAAACCATTGTGAGAATGTAATGGAGACCAGAACGAAGGGCTGAACTCCAAAATTGCTGCAACAACTGTGACTCAGCCAAGATAAAAATTGCCATGGCAAATAAAGACCCAGTCCCCCTGCAGTAGTCACAGGGGGTGAATGCAGTGCACCCCAACTCTAAGAGGGTCAGAAATAGTAATATCTGGTGGACTCCGACGTGGCATTCGCTTCCAAGTTGGCCATCACAATTGAAGCTCAATCAGTGAAGAGCTTGGTATGTAAATTTCAAAAGAAATAGTCAACCACAATTAATATATCACTGTAGCAACCCCAATAGGATGTGTGTGTATATATGTGTATATATATATATATATATATATATATATATATATATATATATATATATATATATATATATATATATATATATATATAATATAATATATATGCATCCTATTGGGGTTGCTACAGTGATATATATATCCACAAAAAATACCATATAAACCAGATTCCTGCACTCCAACCAAACGAAAAAAAATACCTGGTGCTCTGGTCGCTATAGTAATATATCCAAAAAAATACCGGTACTCAAAGAGTTTCCAATCTTAAATTTTCTTTTATTCCAAAGTCAACCTTTCAGCTCCCTGATGAAAGCTCCATGGGGAGCCAAAACGTTGACGTCGTTCTTGGAATAAAAGAAAATTTAAGATTGGAAACTCCTTGAGTGCTGGTATTTTTTGTGGATATATATATATATATATATATATATATATATATATATATATATATATATATATATATATATATATATATATATATATATATATATATACACACACACACACACCCACCCCCACCCCTTAAAGGCACAGTGGGAAAAAAAACATTCAAGCAAAATCAAATTTATTCATAATTGGGACTTATGCTAGAATAAATCATGTAGAATACGTACCTGTCCGAAAAAGGAGCAAAGAAAGAGAAGGAACATCCACAGGCTTCCTGTTATATAGACTATACTTGATGCTGATTGGTCAAGGAGCTTACCTGTTCGTGCTTGGTTGTGATCTTTGATTCTTTTTTAGTTCTACCTATCTTGTTGTTACACTTTGTTGCTTTGAGTAGTAAGGAAAGTTCTAAGCATAACATGAGCCTCCTGTCTGCGATAGAATTTATCTATCAAAATTGTAACCGTCAGGTCTCTTATATGATGCTGTAACTTCACAGGACAGTGGCAAATCATACATAGGGGGTTTCCTTATACTCATATGTAGCTGAACACGTTATGGGGTTTGGCACAGTAGTAGCCAATATCAGGTTTATGAAATACACATTAAAAAACGAGAATAAGAGAACTCTGAGAATCGACAAATCGAACTCAGTAGCTTGCCCTTCAGTAAATATGTGCACTGGTCTCAAAATAGTGCTCACTTGTGCCATTACAGAGAGAACCTATTCCAAAGTATTTCAGACTAGACTACCCATATGGGCAGTCTAGAACCGAAATGCCAGTAACTTCTCTCTGCATGAGGGATACAGCAACCCAGACAATCGTTTAGTCCTTCCTTAGGCTTCGTTTAGCTGATACCCCTCTAGGCACAGTGAGCACGGGGTCCACGTCTGGATTATTCTTTTGAACTTGGGTAGAGCCAAGTTAATGCATTGCAACTTAAACAGAGAATATGAGAAACATTAAAATAAACCTTGTTCTATTTGTGATGGTTAATAATCAGAAAAAAAAACTATTTTACTACAACATTTTGCAGAGATCGGCTGTTAAATGTAAAAAGTTTCAAAATATGCTTAGATAAATAGCTTGTGATGTCTGCTTTTTTAAAAATATTTACTATTGTGTGGCACCTGTGTTTTCTGTGACTATCAAAGGGACACTATAGTCACCTGAACAACTTCAGTTTAATGAGGTTGTTCAGGTGAGAACTATACCTCCCTGCAGCCTTTCTCATGTAAACACTGTATTTTCTGAGAAAATACAGTGTTAACTTTGAAAGCTAGGAACACCTCTAGTTGCAGTCACTCAGAGTGAACCAGAGGGACTTCGGAGTTGATGGAGGCATAATATGCATCCATCCACTCAGATCTGCTGTCGGCAGAGCACAGGGCAGCACTGTGCACAGCATCCTGTGATTCAGTATCTCCTCCCTCTGCATGTTGACACTGAACTTTCCTCATAGAGATTCATTGATTCAATACATCTCTATGAGGAGATGCTGATTGGCCAGGGCTGTGTTTGAATCATGCTGGCTCTGCCTCTGCTCTGCCTCTGCCTCTGCTCTGCCTCTTTGTCAGTCTCAGACAATCTTATGGGGAAGCACTGTGATTGGATCAGGCTACCACATGTCAGCAGACTGCTTGTTTTTCTGAGTCTAACAGCATGCAGATTTACAGCTTCCGGCTTGAATACAGTAAGATTTTTACTGTATTTATGGAGGCGTGAGGGGTCCAGGGGCGCTAGATGGTGGTGTTAACACTATAGGGTCAGGAATACATGTTTGTTTTCCTGTCCCTATTAGTGATCCTTTAAGCTTACAAGGCAAACACACTAAGTTCTAAAATCACTCCACATTAAAATTGTATTTTACTCTTTGCATTTTGTGGCCTACAAGTACCAAAAATTTACTTAAATTCCAAACTTAGTATATAATCAGTAAATCAGGACAAATAAATGAATTTATTTTGTTTCACATTTCATAATTATACACGTATTAGAATTGCCAAAACTGTAAAAGTTTTTTTGTGTTATAAATGAGATTTTATATATGTTACATCATCAAATGAAAGCCCTTTCTGTCCTTTAACAAATGATAGCTTATGTGTATGGTGCCTATACCTATATACCTAAACCTATAGCTAAAATGGAAGGTTTTGTTTTGGTTCAGAACGTGGACAATTACCTCCGTCCTTAAGGGGTTAAACGGCAGTCATACAGTGTACATTTGCTCTTGCCATGTGCATAGGTCTTGGATATAAATGAGATCACCACTGTCACCAAGGAGTTAATAAAATGGCGCAGACTTTTAGCAGTGAAGCATGAATATTTGCTCAATGGAAGGTGGTGAAATGACATGTCATACCTATGTTTTCTCTGTATGTTAGCATTTTTGTTCTGGAATATATTTTTATTTATATTTACATTTTCCTTCCACAGAAGCAGAAAAAAAATCCAGGTAGGAAAGTCTTATTTATTTTGTTTTAAAGATTTTGTTTAAAGATCTGTTTGTAGAGAAACTTGCTTTATTATATTGAACACTGTTTGAGATTAACTGCACAGCATTTTTTATTTTTTTATTCCGTTAAAGACAAGTGTTTTTTGTTTTAGTTTTTATCTAACCCCTTCAATCCCAGAATTGAGTAAAACCCATTTTATTGTCATGTATTTTGGACGTATGAAATCTAGCCCATAACATATCACTCACCCTTATTTTATACTCTGTGATTAGTAGCTTGTAGAGAAACTAATTTCTCTGTGTGAAGCCAATGGTTACTGATATAATACCTGTAAAGTTGCTGAAAATGTAAGCTCACATTCTGCTTTCAGGTAGTACATGGAGTTTTACTGGGTGACACCATTCTTACTGTCAGGAAGTGAGGGGGAGGGAGTGGATGGACTCTACCATTTCACTGTCAGCATTACATTAGCAGTTCAGATGATAAAGATTGCTATAGCCGTTTTAAATACCTTTATTTTAGAAATATGATTTAACTGTACTTACTGTATGTGGGCATTATGCTCAAATGCAGACTGCTAGTAATGCCTTCAGGGTCCTTACATATACTTATAAGCAAGGATTTTTACCATTTTTACTTATAGATTTTTGTCACAGCTACGATATGTGAGAAAAATTGCATGTATTTTTTTTCTATATATACGAACATTTCAGACCCTGTGTGAAATATTGTAAGATAAAAGTGCACTGTGCACGGTCTAAAGCTTTTAATTTCACAAATATGTTTTATAAAGGATGAATGAATAAGTGAAAAGCAAAAGTTATTTGACATTTTTCATTTTTACGTTTGTCTGCAGATCAATCAATACACAGAATTCCTGTGTTGTGTTTATATGTGAGCTATGCATTCCTTGCTTTAAACAAATATTATGCTAATATTTTTTTCAATCAAAATGTGCTTGGTAGTGAAGGGGTTACAATAAAAATTAGGTAAGGGTTTCTTCAGTACCCAGAAGTTTCCAAAAATTACAAACAAACCTTGCTATTGTGGGGCTGCCACCTCCCTCTGCAGCTCCAAGTAGGGTTTAACAACTCACAAAATAAAATTAAAATTAGGGCAGCGCTACCAATTGCAAATATGCACACCAAGTGATACCTACACACAGATTTATTTGAAGGACAGCAAATAAAAATGTTTCAGGTTCTCCCCTTTCTCAATGCATGTCATGATGAACGTGTACATGATGACATGCATTGAGAAAGGGGAGAACCTGAAACATTTAAATTTGTTGTCCTTTGCATAAATCTGTATGTAGCTTGTGGTGTGCACATGTGCAATTGGTAGTGAAGGGTTTTAAAGAGGAAGTGTTACTTGTGATATAATTTCATAACAGAATACCTACTGTGCTTTATTCAAAATTATGTTTGTATGTTTTTTTTATTTATTTTTTTATTTGCCACACAGGGCCAGGCAGGTAATTTTTACCGTTGCATGCCCATGTACAGCATTTAAGTGTAGTGTATGCATTGCTCCTAAAGCATTTCTTTGTAGATGGCCAAGCATTCGTAAACCCACATTACAGAAGTGTGGACAATTTATGTATGTGTTTTTTTTTCTTTTCTTCTTTAAAACTCTGCTGCTTTATTCACCCTGGTAAACAATGCAACAGAATTTGCGGAGAGACATTATCCATAGCAGCATAGGTTACAGCCATGCCAATCCAAGAGTTGTACATTCAGGACTGTAATTAGGCCCCAAATGGACAATGTTGGAAACATCCCAGGCTCTGGTTGCTGATGTTTTTTAGCAGTTATATCAGAAAACCAAATAGACATTTAATGTCTGTCTATTGCATTCCATTTTAATATTGTGGTATTCACTTAATACAATAGTGAATAGTTCAATAGTTCTCTTTGACTCTGACCTCTCCTTACCCCCTCATGTCCAATCAATCCCCAAATCCTGCCGCTTCCATCTCAAAAACATTGCGCACATCCGACCCTATTTAACGCCTGATACGGCAGAGGTACTTGTCCATGCCGCTGTCCTCTCTCGCCTTGACTACTGTAATCCGCTTCTCAGTAGTCTTGCGTGTTTTCCACCAATCTCAACTCCTTCAAAAAAATCTGTGAAAACGTACTTCTTTAGGAAAGCATATGAATTAAACTGTGAACAGCTTTCCCTCCCCGCACCCTGATTCCTCTCCTGAAACTGTCATCAAAACAAAACACTAAGCCCTCAATGAATACTATCCTAGCAACCTACTTTTCTACCCTTACCTTTTGTCACTATATCCTACTCCCTCTAGCATGTAAGCTCATTGAGCAAGGTCCTCTATACCTCTCTTCCTTTGTGTCCAACTTGTTTGGTTACAACTACTTGTCTGATAGTACACCCATTATACAGCGCTACAGTACTTGTTGGCGCTTTATAAATAATAAAAAACATAGCATAACGTTTTATTATCTATAGTGATAAGTGACTCCTGCATAACCCTACGATGCTTCGTAACATACCCCATTGATTGTGATCCAATCCAGAGTAGTTTTGAAGACCTTTAAAAATGACAAGTTGAGTGTTTATAACATATTCATCCTCACCTTGCGTTTAGTGGCCATTCATTTGCATGATTGACACTTGCGGCATGTTAATGGACAGCAGCCGCTGCGGATCCAAGGCTAATTATACCCCCACGCTCGCTCACGTGATTGACGACGGCGTGCATGCTATGTCGTGCATGCACAGCGCGCGGACGTTTTAGGATAAAAGAGCGATCCTGGACAATCAGAAAGGTAAAGCAGGTATAAAAGCCTAGAATTACCTTTCCTCGTTGCCCTGTCGTGGTTTCCCTAGTGGTTGTCCGATAGCGCGTTTACCTAGATTTCAGTAAGGCTTTTGACACTGTTGCACATAGAAGGCTTATCAATAAACTGTTTCCAATATTGTTGAATGGGTAAGGCAGTGGCTGAGTGACAGGCAACAGAGGGTTGTAGTTAATGGAATATATTCGAAGCTTGGACTTGTCACCAGTGGGGTACCTCAGGGATCTGTACTTGGACCCATTCTGGACCCATTCTCTTTAATATTTTTATTAGTGATATTGCAGAAGGTCTTGATGGTAAGGTATGTCTTTTTGCTGATGATACTAAGATATGTAACAGGGTTGATGTTCCAGGAGGGATAAGCCAAATAACAAATGATTTAGGTAAACTAGAAAAATGGTCAGAATTGTGGCAACTGACATTTAATGTGGATAAGTGCAAGATAATGCATCTTGGACGTAAAAACCCAAGGGCAGAGTACAGAATATTTGATAGAGTCCTAACCTCAACATATGAGGAAAGGGATTTAGGGGTGATTATTTCTGATGACTTAAAGGTAGGCAGACAATGTAATAGAGCAGCAGGAAATGCTAGCAGAATGCTTGGTTGTATAGGGAGAGGTATTGGCAGTAGAAAGAGGGAAGTGCTCATGCCATTGTACAGAACACTGGTGAGACCTCACTTGGAGTATTGTACACAGTACTGGAGACCGTATCTTCAGAAGGATATTGATACCTTAGAGAGGGTTCAGAGAAGGGCTACTAAACTGGTTCATGGATTGCGGGATAAAACTTACCAGGAAAGGTTAAAGGATCTTAACATGTATAGCTTGGAGGAAAGACGAGAGGGGGGGGATATGATAGAAACCTTTAAATACATAAAGGGAATCAACTCAGTAAAGGAGGAGACTAGATTTAAAAGAAGAAAAACTACCACAAAAAGAGGACATAGTCTTAAATTAGAGGGACAAAGGTTTAAAAATAATATCAGGAAGTATTACTTTACTGAGAGGGTAGTGGATGCATGGAATAGCCTTCCAGCTGAAGTGGTAGAAGTTAACACAGTAAATGAGTTTAAGCATGCGTGGGATAGGCATAAGGCTATCCTAACTATAAGATAGGGCTAGGGACTAATGAAAGTATTTAGAAAATTGGGCAGACTAGATGGGCCGAATGGTTCTTATCTGCCGTCACATTCTATGTTTCTTATTATAGTAATTTCGGTTCTTTGGCTTTGATTTTGACTTCTCTGTATTCTGGCATCCCTGACCTCTGGCATTCCTTTATTGTTGTGTCCCCTGACCTCGGCTATTTCTCTGACTATTCTTTGGTGTGTTAGTCCGGCCATTCTAAGGTGCGTTAATACGTTGCCTATTAGTCTCCTGTGTTACACAATTCTACGTGCTGGATCATACTGTAATCCTGACAGTGTTTCAGATTCAAATTACAGCTTCCTTTTCACAGCTTTTATTATGCATCTTTTATTGATATATGTCTGGCAAAGGATGATAACGTTCCTAGGCATAGAACCAGGAGCCCTTGATAAACAGTTTGTTCTGCATACGCAATCCAGCACTGTAGGTTTGGCCTATTTTGGTGGGAGTTCTTCAATCGTGACAGGTTCTTGAATTCTTATTTTAATAATTATTTTCTCCTTCCCTGGTCATTGACCATATCTACTTTAGGGCCTAGATTAGAAGGAAAGGCCAGTAGGTGAAGAAATTCAGTATCTATATTCAGCATGTTATAACAGGAGTTGGCCAGGATCTCTTCATTAGCATTTATGTGGTTTGTTAGGGTGTGCATTTCCTCTCTTGGCTTCCAGGTCTGCCAAGATTACTTATGCCAACTGGTGGCTTTAATATCATGATTCCTAATTAAGTCTGGTCTTGTAGAAATGTCCTGCTTTCTGCAGTCCAAGGACAAGGTGTGCAGCTCGGCAGTAGATGCCATTTTGGGCTTAGTCCTCCTAGATATATGAGTGTATATTGTGGGAGCCAAATTACTGTAAAGCCCAGTGTTAGTGAGAATTCCTAATGGCTATTGGTTATCTAAGTATGTATAGGGATTTGGGCTGATGTGTACTATGGTCATTCCTGCCGCACAGGAGTAGTGGGAGTCTAAATGCAGGACTAATTTTTGTGTATTTGTTAGTGAGCATTCCTCCTTGTTATTTTCCATTGATCTGGTAGGTATTTTGTAGAAAATAGCACTTGAAAAATCACCTTGTAATTGGTACATTGCAGCACAGAGCTGTGTTCAGGCCTGGCTGCTCTGCTCACAGGTGACTTTGTATAATGCATTTACAATTATAAAATGTATCAAAACTATACATGAAAACCTACTGATCAATATACATATGTATTACATCTGTAACTTGTAATAATTCTGTGTCATCTTTTTCAGATGGGATGTTGTGGAAAAAAATGTAAGTTGTGATCTATTTTGCCAGTTATTGAACGTGTACCAAAAGACACTGGAGTAGTGACTGGAACAACATACCGTAAACATTTAACCACCTGCAAAGAAGTTAACAGTTTGCCTAACTTAGTGCTAGTAACATACAATCCACATACTACAAAAAGTAACTCTGATGTAAAGTGGTATTGCTGATGCACTAGTGCTACCAGAACGTGAATCCAGGGATAAATACCACAGATGTTTTGTCACACAGCCCTTTATCACATTTTTTTTTTAAAAGACTCTGAGTGTATCTTACCATTGGGTTTTTTTCTCTATAATGTTGAGTATTGTAGGCAAGTTTTTTTTTTTTTTTTTAGATATAATGACCAGATTACCTTCAGGATAATTTTCTAGCATGTTTAATTGTACTTCTGTATATGACTTGCCTGCTCACTTTGCTGTGTCAGGAAATCACTTGTTCGGGATAGGCATTGGGAGAGTAGGAATTTAAAGAATGAGGGAGCTTTAGCAAAATGTTCTCGTTCAAAAAGTGGTGCAAATATATAAAGGTTAGGAGTAGCCAAAGTAATTTGAATGCTAGTTCCCATGGTCACTGCCCCACTTTTAGTACTTATGTCCCTTTTCAGAACAGAACACTTTAATAAATCTCCCCCTGTTGTCTCTGATTCTCTACCTCCACATACTATGTACAGTGAATGGAAAAACCAAAGCTTATGACGATTAACAAGCAGCCAGTAGGGAGACACTCAGTTTTCCATTCCAGAATTGATTAATTCCTACAGGTAATAAGATTTTTAAGGCCTTCAAACACACACATATTAAATCTAGGATAAGCAAATATTAAAAGTCGTGGGAGATGTAGGTTCTCCTTTAAACTAAATGGATATAAATTAACTATCTGTTTTGTATTTGTGAATGTCATTTACCTTCCTTTTTTTAAATTCTTTATTTATGAAACTGTTTGAGTTAAATAGGAATAAGCTTGCGCTATATAAATACCAATAATAAGTAGAGGAACAGTGCAAAGTAGGGGTAAATAATCTGTGTCTAGATTTCATGATCAATCTTGTCTCCAGTAGCAAGGGAGCCTAATGCACGTCCGCTAGTCGTGAGGCTAACATAATTGTCCTTCCTTAACCCTGTACATCACAGTTTAGTTTGACTGTGCCATTAAAGGACCACTATAGTGCCAGGAAAACAAACTCATTTTCCTGGCACTATAGTGCCCTGAGGGTGAAGTTGAAGGAAGGGGGTTAAACACTCACATTTCTCCAGTGCCGGGCTCCCTCCCTCTCCTCCTCCTATGGGAGTCACTGACTGAATGCGCATGGGCGACTAGAGCCGCGCGCACATTCAGTCAGTCCATAGGGACGCATTCTCAATGCTTTCCTATGGACGCTGGCGTCTTCTCACTGTGAAAATCAGAGAGAAGCGCGGAAGCACCTCTAGCGGCTGTCAATGAGATTAACCCATATGTAAACATAGCAGTTTCTCTGAAACTATGTTTACAGCAGGCAGGGTTAATCCTAGCTGGACCTGGCACCCAGACCACTTAATTAAGCTGGAGTGGTCTGGGTGCCTATAGTGGACCTTTAAGCCCTTTGCTAAATGTTACTGTGTGGTTTGCCAGCCCAGTCGCGTATCATGCGCAATATCTGACTGTAATGTGTTCTAAACTAGTATTGCAGAAGGTAGTGTTAACCCCAGTTCTATTTTTTGGAAAATAATTTTCTGTAATCTATATTGTACTCCTATTGACATTTTATTGATCTATATTAATATATTTCTTTATTTAACAGCGTGAACAAAGAATTAAGAAAGCTCTAGAATATCTGGTATGTAGCAATTACTTTGTGACTACTTTCAACAATGTGCTACCAAACTTCTAGATCAGTGGTTTATATTTTACTGTATAACTTTTTTATTGTTTTCAATTGACACATTACAATGCAAGGACTTAACGTGTCCAGACATACAATACATGTTACAATCGAAATGTTCTGCAAAGAATTGGATTGTAACAAACACAAAAACAGTGGAGCCTAGAATAATCTCTTCATGGCACCATTCCAGCTAATAAATAAAATAACATGTCTGGACACAGTGTTACATTCAGCACAAATAAAATAAACACATCAGATTAATGAACGTATGTTAAAAGAAGAACATAGCATAAAATGAGTATTGTCCCAGAGTCTTTGATGTAATTAAATAATTTCACAAGTATAGCTTCAAACTTTTGGTAGTAGAAGTTGGAAACTCCGTCAGGGCTTTGTTTTTGGCTAGTCACTGAATTGTCACTGCTATTTCCTTCTCTGTGAAGGGGGCTGTCAAAACTGCGGAAGGGCTACAACCTCCAGAAATATATTGTCCAGGGTCAGCTGGGCTGTTGTGGGATCAGCGTGTAAATTATACAATGCTTTATGATACGTGGCTAGTTGATTTACAATATGAGTTGAGTTCATGAGTTTATATTAGTAGAGTCATAGAAACAAAAAAATTTTTTCCTTCAATTCTTTATTTTATTTGTGCATAGAGTTAACAAGCAGTTTTGCACTGCCACAACAGCTGGTGCAATCATAAAGGTAAACATGCGATAACAGTAGTATAGCATCAAAATCATTGCACATTTTTATATATAAACAGGATTAAGTCATTATTAGGTGAGTCGTGCACAATATTGTGATAGAAGTTATAGTGGGTACGTCGAGTAATGTTAGATTTATTGTGTGTTTAAACATGCTGGTAGTGGTAGCCTATTGCTGTCAACTAAAATCTATCATACTGTCCTGTGAGTATGTCTTGTTGCGAGCAGGTTATGCTGATAAAGGTAATTTGCTTGTCGCTATAGGCTACATGGAAGTATACGTATTGCTGCCATCCGGAGCATTTAGTAAGGTGTTAGGGGAGCTTGCTGGGCCATAAGTGTTAGAAACGGAGTATTCCAGTGTGCTTGCAAAACAGTATAGTGATAGTATATTTAAAGCAAAATAAGCAAACCTGTAACTAGTTACGTTATAGCTGTTCAAGATTGAATAACTTAGTTGGCTAATATAGCAAGTATCACGTAAGGGGCAGTGGCTGATTATTATAAGCGGGATTGCTGTATTTTTAGCTCAGGTAGCTTGTAGAATAGTCCTCTGTGGCCCCTACACTAATCTGAGCTTAAACAATATTAACTTGGTATGGTTCACGATGAGGTTGGTGCTTGTAGGTTGCCGGGATCCGTAGCCAGCCATCTGTGTCAAGGTTGCAGCGCTGAGTGAGGGTGCAGTGTCCACTTTGCTGCCCATCACCCGCAGGGAAAGGAGGGACAGTCACCCAATATCTGCATGGGGTAAGTGTTGCAGTTGGTGGCCGTGTCTGATGAAGGAGTCTCTGGCAGCGGCACCCCACCATACCCAGCTCCCGGTGTATTCCTGCGCACCTGTTGTCAGTTCCGCTGTAGAGCGCTTCTAGAGCCTCGCTGTAATTGTCTCTGAGGTGGAGTAATCTTCTCTTGGAGGTTAGGGAAGCGTGGAGGGGGTAACCTCGGGGTAATTTGCCTCTAGGGAGTAGGGCGGTACACTGCTGGTCTAGGTCTATGGTGCTTACGTTTCCGCCGGGTCGTCCGCCTTCACCTTCCTGCTACCTTTTTTGTGCCCCGGCCCCTTCCCGGGGTTGTGGTTTGGTGCGCAATTTCGCTCAGTTGCTTTGCAGGTGTGGCCTCTTTGAGAGCATCCCTGCGATGAGCTATCTTGGTCCAGAAGTCGGCCATCAGGCGATCAAGCCGTTCGGAGAGAGAGGGCAGCGGCATGTTTGCTGCGGAGTTGCACGTGGCGTCCGCCATGGCATGAATTGCAATGCAGGTATGGCAATGTTGGTGCCTTGTCACTGGGGTACGGTCAGCGTTTGCCGGGATGTTCCTCAGCGGGGGTGTGACGAAGTGCCCTTTGCCACTTGAAGCCTTGGCTCATGCTTGGGGGATAGGATAAGTCTGCAGTGCTGATGGTGTCGATTGAAGTGCTTGGGAGTCCTCGGCAAGCACTAGGAGAATACATTGATGGAGGTACACGGTCGGAGTGCCAGCGGGTCTGTCACATTTGGTGGCAAGCTGTGGGATGGCGTCCTAATGTGAGGAGAAGCAACTTGGAGACACTGGTAACGTTACGGAGCTACAAGTGAGGGCGACGCTAGCACTTGTGCAGCGCAGCACCCCTGTCTACAGAGGAATCCAGAATGCGCGGATCAGAGCGCTAGTGGCCCAGAGTGGGGGCCGAGCGATCATGACTTATTGCTATGAGGGCGATGCTTACATTGCGGAGGTAAAGAGGCGGCTAGCCGGTTATGGCCAGATCCTTCGGAAGAGGTGATCGTCCGAATCATGCAAGAGTTGGGTGAAGAGAACCAAGCAGCACGGGAATGTGAGTTCAGATTGTGGAGATTGGGGCTGCGGACAACTGGTCTTTGTCTGACCCTTTTTAACTGTCATTTTGTTTTCCTCTGAGGATGAGTTGTTTTGCTCCATGAGTGCTGCTGCTTTTGTGTGCTCATTAAACAGACCTGCTTGACCCTTTCTTGAAGCCTTGGCTCATGCTTGGGGGGTGGGATAAGTCTGCAGTGCTGATGGTGTCGGTTGGAGTGCTTGGAATCCTCGGCAAGCACTAGGAGCATACATTGACGCAGGTACTCGGTCGGAGTGCCAGCGGATCCGTCACAGGGGGTATACGTTGGTTAGGCTGCAGTTGGCCAGAGGACTGTCTGAGTAGCCCTCAAGTCTATCCCTGTGTTGGAGCCATCGATTTTGGTTCATGTTTTTGGTGCTTGTTGCCCCAGTGGTAGCCCTCGGTCTCTGATGATCAGGTGGTATTTGGGGCTATTTGCTGCAATTTTGGATGGATAAGGGAAAATTGTCACAGAGCTCTTGTGGTGTGCGACCGCTCGCATGGCTGCCAGGATCCGCCCCCCCTTTTTTGTTTTTATATTCTTTATTTTTGAGGTGAAGTTAAACATACAGCGAGTGACCGTGACATATGGATAAGATACATTGTGTCTGAATACAGGCTTAGAGTTAATCAATTTAAGATTCTGGTGCTTGCTTACAAGTCCCTACGTAATGCTGCTCCAACCTACGTATCCTCCCTAATACACAAGTATGTCCCGTCGAGGCCCCTGCTCTCTGCCGGAGACCTACGTCTATCCTCTGTCCGTACTCCCGCATCTAATGCTCGCCTCCAAGAATTCCCCAGGGCCGCACTTTCTGTGGAATTCCCTACAGTTCACCCAGTCTCCACTCCTTTAAAAAAATCTTTAAAAACAAAATTCTTCAGGAAAGCATATCATTTAAATTGTTGGCGGATTTTCATTCCCCCCACCCCCACATGACTCCTCTCCTGCAACTGTCAAAAATAATCTACTAAATTCCCAGTGAATATTTTTCTAGCACCTATTTCATTACCCATACTTATACATCTTGTGTCACTATACCTCACTCCCTCTAGCATGTAAGCTCATTGAGCAGGACCCTCAACCGCTATGTTCCTGTGCATCCATTTGTCTGGTTACAGTTACATGTCTTTTAGTCCATTCATTGTACAGCGTTACGGAATTTTGCTGGCGCTATATAAATAATAAAATAATACACATAATGTCATGAGGAACTGCATATATATATATATATATTTTTTTTTATTATTATTATTTAAATTGTGGTACAATAACTAGTAGCAGTGCAAGCGTTTACATCCAGGCTTATACTTTCACTATAAGACGTTCATTATCACGTAAGTTGAAACTGAGACTTGGTACTTAAAGCGACACTGTCATGCCGAATCCTGTTTGTTTTTTTTAACCCCCCTCCGGCCTCCACTACATCTAACTAACACCCTAGTCACCCCCAAATGCCCCTAAGCCCTCCACATTACCTATTTTTCATTCCTTATTTTCTGCCCCGATCTATATCCAGGGCGTCGCCATCTTTGTGTGGGTAGATGAAGTCCCTGTGGGACACGTCATCTGCCCACACTAGATAGACTGTGAGATTCCCGCACATGCCCAGTAAAACACCTGGACATACGAACGGGAATTAAATCTATTCATTCATTCATCAGAGAGAAGAATGAGTGAATAGAAATATCAGCCGAACAAACAAACACTATGTATCAGTGTTCGTTTGTTCGTGCAGTTTATTACAAGGAGGGAGCTACTGGCACGCAGCTCCCTCCTTGTAATATGTAAAGATAGAAGTGACAGGGAGCCACTTCATAAGCCCCCAGTACCCCCTCACTCTATGGGGGTCAATGTGACCCCCATAATAGCACAAGGGAGATTAAAATTTCCCACATGCCCCTACTCGCTATACCGCGAGTAGGGGCATGTCCACTAAACAGTGAGCAGCCTGTGGCTGCTCACTGTAAAAAATAAATAAAAATAAACTATTGGCCCCCAGGGCGGCGGGTGGCGGCAATAATGATAATGAGGGGGGGGGACCTACTGTCGTCGTCCCCACCCCTGGGCGGCGGGTGGGGGCCCTAAGTCAATTCCCCCCACCAAGGTGACTAGGGGTCCCCAAGCCCCTAGTCACCCACCCCCCCACCCAAAAAAAAAGTCCCTACCTACCCCCCTCACCCTAAAAAATAGTAAGGGGGGAATAAAATAACTAACCTGTAAAATAAAATTAAACTTACCATTCGATGTCTTCTTTTTTCTCAAATCTTCATTTTTCAGCCCCAAAAAGTCCAAATAAAAAAACAACATAACCATCGAATTGCAAATAACATAAAAATCCCGAGCGCAAAAAAAAAACCCGACAAAAAAGAAAAAACCCGAGCGCAAAAAAATAATCCATCTTCACCCATGCAGGGCGAGGCAAGGTTTATAAAGCCTTGCCCCGCCCTGCAATTAGGCTAAGAACACTCTGATTGGTGGGTTTAAGCCAATCCGAGTGCTCTTTGTCATTTTACACAGCGTGGGAAAATTCAAAAGAACTTTCCCACGCTGTGTAAAATGACACAGAGCACTGTGATTGGATGGCTTGAAATCCATTATTAGAATGAATAAAACACCGATCTATTCGTGCCGCAAATACAGTTAGATAGTTATATAGCTGAAAAAAGACTTGCCTCCATCAAGTTCAGCCTTCCTCACATTTGTTTTTTGCTGTTGATCCAAAAGAAACCCCTACATACTTAACCCTGAATAGGGCTATAACACATACTATGTTACATTGCTGCCAGCCTCCCCATGTTTGTCTTATTAAGAGTTTATAAGTATGTAGGGGCAGCACCCCATCCTCTCTCATCAGAGAAATTTGCCTATTAGCTGATACCAGCAAGGTGATTTGTATGTTATAGCCCTATTCAGGGTTAAGTATGTAGGGGTTTATAAAATACCCCTTCCTGTCTCATTAGAGATGTTTACACTTTGTCTGATACCAGCAAAGTTTATTGTATGTGTAGAAGCCCTATAAAGGGTTAAATGTGAAAGGGTTTATAAAATATCCCTTCCTGTCTTATTGGAGATTCTTGGCTGATATCAGCATATCTAATGACTAGTGTAGGACTCACCTATTCAGGCTTGCCTTGACGTGGCAGGTGAGCTTATATATTCAAATGGCCATTGGAATAAAACTAAAGAGCCTCCATTTTGTTTAAATGTACATGGGGATTTAGGCCAGAGCGCAGGTAACGCTCTTTGTTTTTACTATATATGAACTGGCTGCCTGGTTAAAGTGGTATTGTCAATTTCAAAAGGGGTTTATGTGATTGCATGCGAGGTTAGAGCCTACAACCCAAATAACTCTTTGAAGCTTGGTCCCCCCCGTCCCTCCTCCAAATTTTAACTTATGGCCCCCACACGCTGCGCATGGGTGGAGGCTAGGGGGAAGGCAGTAGGTCCACTCCTATTGTATCTTGGGGCCCCCACTCTTGGTGCACGAGTGGGGGATAAGTGGGGACACTTTGTCCCCCCTCTTAATTATTTCTAAAGGTGGGCACTTAATTACAGTAGTGAGGGGGGGGGTCTTTTTTAACAACCGTGAGCAGCCACTGGGTCTTTTTAGTAGGTAGGTCCCTAATTCCCACAGTATTAAGGAGTTCTCTACTCGTGGCATGAATAGATCGGTGTTTTATTCATTCAAATTAAATTCCGATCCGAACAAAAGTCCCGAATTGCGTCCTGACACGAATGGACAAAATGCTCTTATTCTGTTAGGACGAGATTCGGTAGTTTTGCCAAATTAATCAGCAGGAGGAAAGTGAGAATTGTGGGAAAATTGCTTTGACCACAGGAAACAGAGTGGACTTTGCTCCCCCTGTGGGTCATAGATGGTCAAGCGTAGGAAAAATACATAAGACAAAATAGTCCCTCCTTTGTCTTATGTTTTAAAGAAAACTAGAGCAGACAGGAAGAAATGAAGAACAGGTCCTGAGAGAAGTGGAAGCGATTGGGGAAAGGTAAGTTCGGCATGACCGTTTGACATGTCATGATTCCCTTTTATTCCAGAAGTTTGGTCCTTAAGGGGTTAAAGGACCACTATAGTGGCAGGAAAACAAACTTGTTTTCCAGACACTATAGGGTTTTTAGGTCCCCACCCTCAGTGACCCACTCCCACTGGGCTGAAGGGGGAGGAAGGGGTTAATCGCTTACCTTTCTCCGGCGCTTGGGAAATCTCCTACCTCTTTTCCGACGTCAGCGCTGCATGCGCAGCAAGAGCCGCGCTCGCATTCAATCAGTCCATAGGAAAGCCTTACTCAATGCTTTCCTATGGACGTCAGCGTCTTCTCACTGTGATTTTCAGTTAGCTGCAGGGTTAACCCTAGATGGACCTGGCACTCAGACGACTTACTTGAACTGAAGTGGTCTGGGTGCCTATAGTGCTTCTTTAAGTTCTGATTTGACTTCTGTTATCTGTGCACCTGTCCGTTTGGGTGATGTAGATTTTTTTTTTTTTTTTTTTGATTCCAATGCACAGAGTTGCTTGTATAATTTTTTTTCCGGAGGTGTTTAAGTGCCCATTTTTGTTTTAAGATTTCTCGTAGAACTGCCCTATAAGCCAACCATAAGGTGTGATTTGAGACAGATTCCCCCTCATTGGTCGCGAAGTAGTCCCTCATTGCCTTACATATGTTTTATTATATCTTAGGGCCTGACTATAATGAATCATTTACTCGCTAAGTGCCTCATCCCCTAGCTGGGTGTTGTACTGTGAACAAGATGTCCAACGAAGCGTGGCTGTATCAAAGCTTTTATATGTGAAGGAGCTTGCTAACTAATGGGAGTTAAACTGCCTTCACTGTGGGACAGCATGGGCAGCTATCTGGGCTTGATCTACAGATGTCATGGGTTGGAAACACGTGCCGGTCCCTGAATAGCGATTAAGAAACATCACCTTCTGTTTACACCTTGTTTCACAACTTCAGATGCTTTATCTGACAGTGGCTATAGTCTCATTTTCCCTTGTGGCATTCCCAATTTTTCTCACCTCTCCGACTCGCATACCAGTGAATTAAGATACGTCTTTGGAGCTCTCCGGTGCAGCAGGTAGACTGTGGGACTGTTAGGCTGCTACAGATGCCACTGGATTTTAATTTCTTCTCACTTTGTCGGAGCTCGGCTCACACTTGTCACAAATTTTCTCCTGTGTCCAGATAGCACGTTTTCTTCAGCCAAGCGTGAAGATGTCAAACGTGATGAATGCAAATTAGGCCGCACTTTACTCCGAAGTCCCTCTGGTGGCCATCTGAGTGACTGCCACTGGAGGTGTTCCTAGCCTCCAAGGTGTAAACAGTTTTTTGTTTTTTTTGTTTTTAAATACAATGTTTAAATGAAAAGGGAACACTTCTGTCACATGCCATTGTTTTTATTTCCTTATTTTTATTTATTTTTATTTTCATGTTGTCTCTTCAAAGTACTATTTAAGTGTTAACCTACACTCAGTCTTATTTTGATTTTGTGGTTTTCAACAGGAAAACTTTGACATTGAGTCTGAGTCAGAAAGCACTATTGTAACAAATCTCACCCAGAAGCTGACTGCAGCCTTGAAAGAATACAACACTGTAACAAAAGAAAAAGCTGTAAGTAGATACTTTTGTGTTTTAATAATGTCATCTACATTTGTGAAACTCCCCAACATACTATGTTTAGTATAAGTAGTTCAGTATTAGAATATGTTTGTACCTAGAGAAATGTTTAGGTGTAAATTAAATTTTCTATTTGAACACAATTTTCTTTGTCTGGATGTTTTTTCCTGTCTTTGTTTTTGTTTCGACCAAATAGTTGTTATTCATTGATATGCAGTTGCAATGCGCTTTACTGGTAAAATAAAACAGAGTTTGTACAACAAAAGTAAACGCTGAATTCTGGCTGAAAAACAGGTTCAGAATTTTTGCAACGCTATTCAAATAATGCAGTTACAAAAACATTCCATGTGTGTCTTTTTTTTTTCATTTCAGCTTTTCCCTGTCAAGCTTGCCAAGGCGAAGGATGTGGCTTTAGCTATAATGCAGCATTCTGCAAATGTAAAAAATGTCCCAAAACCAGTCTCGGCATCAGTCCCAAAACCAGTCTCGGCATCAGTCCCAAAACCAGTCTCGGCATCAGTCCCAAAACCAGTCTCGGCATCAGTCCCAAAACCAGTCTCGGCATCAGTCCCAAAACCCTTTCCAACGTCGGTCCCAACATCCTTTCCAACGTCGGTCCCAACATCCTTTCCAACGTCGGTCCCAACATCCTTTCCAACGTCGGTCCCAACATCCTTTCCAACGTCGGTCCAAACATCCTTTCCAACGTCGGTCCAAACATCCTTTCCAACGTCGGTCCAAACATCCTTTCCAACGTCGGTCCAAACATCCTTTCCAACGTCGGTCCAAACATCCTTTCCAACGTCGGTCCCAACATCAGTCCAAGCATCCTATCCAGCATCCTATCCAGCTTCCTATACAGCATCCTATCCAGCTTCCTACCCAGCATCCTATTCAGCAGCCTTTCCAGCATCCTATCCAACAGCAGTTCCAACAGCAGTCTCAACATCAGTCCAAACACCATTCCTACCATCATTTCCACCACCATTCCCACCACCATTCCTACCACCATTTCCCCCACCATTCCCAACAACAGTCCCAACACCAGCCCCACATAAGCAGAATACACCTGTTGCAAAGCAGAATAATCCTTTTGTAAGACCACAGCTGAACGTGAAGCCTGCAGGTACTTTTCTGCATTTACAAATGTTTTAAAAGCCTATTTAATGTGTATTTTCTTCTATATTTCAAAATATAATGCCTTCAGCATAGTTACATCAAGGTGCTTCAGTATTGTTTTTACATGTTAATACTTTTTTTTTTTTTTTTAACATGAGTGCAACATAAGATACAGTATATAACAAATATTGAGAAATTGATTAAAATAACACATTCAACAGAACCTTTTTTAAGACATTACAGCGTAGGGAAACCTCCAGAGGCCACTCCTCAGGTGGTCACTGGAGGTGCCTCCTGGGGCAGTGCTGCACAATTTGCTGACATAATCAATTCTGATGTCAGCCAAAGAGGTGGATCGGGGCAGAGCCAGTGCCAGCTGCTGGAAGTAAGGTGAGTTTTACTAGCTTCAAGGGGGACAAGGAGGTCACAATGTGCAGCACTGATGTTCAGCGTCTCTACACTGTACAAGGAGATGCTGAACTTTCCCCGTAGAGATGTGTTGATTCAATGCATATCTATGAGGAGATGCTGCTTGGACAGGGCAGTGTTTGGCTCCGCCACTCAGCCTGATGATGTCAGCCAAGGAAGGGGATCAGAGCAGAGGTATCGCCTACTTCTGGAAATAAGGTGAGTTTTACAAGCTTCAAAAGGGACCAGCGGGGCTAGATAGTGATTTTAACAATATCGGGTCATGTGTTATCCTTGACTTGTGTGTGTATATATATGTGTGTATGTATATATGTGTGTGTGTGTGTGTATGTGTGTGTGTATATATATATATATATATATATATATATATATATATATATATATATATATATATATATATATATATATATATATATAAAATACACACACACACACACGGTTGTGCTCAAAAGTTTGCATACCCTGGCAGAAATTAAATTTTGGCATTAATTTTGAAAATATAACTGATCATGAAAATTTTATATATTTTTTTTTTTTTGAAGTATAGTGATCATATGAAGCCATGTTGTTTATCACATAGTAATTTGGCTCATTTTAAAATCATAATGATAACAGAAATCACCCAAATGGTCCTGATCAAAAGTTTACTTACGCTTGAATGTTTGGCCTTGTTACAGAGACACAAGGTGACACATACCAGTTTAAATGGCAATTAAAGGTTAATTTCTCACACCTACGGCTTTTAAAATTGCAATTAGTATCTGAGTATAAATAGGTAATGACAAACGGAAATGGTTAGCTCTTTGTCCCGGGGTATAGAAGATAAATAAAACTTAACTTTTAATATATACAAAAATAATAAAATAGGTGAAGTGCAGAAAGGTATATGTACAAATGAGGACTATCTCAAATGTTGTCACTAGATGGAGACAACACCGGATATATTGGTCTAAGCAAATAAATATTTATCAAGAAAAGGTATAGCAATAAAGAAGACATATATTAGCCCAAACAGATAAAGGTGTGTGTGTGTGTGTGTATATATGTATGTGTGTATATATGTATATATATATATATATATGTGTATATATATATATATTTTCATTCAAAAAGGGCTCTGTGGTCCCACAATTAGTTCACATAAAAGCAGATGACATAACTGCTCTGTATAATATACTTTGTTGCAAGCTATCTTTCTAATGCAACTAGATACAATGACACAAGATACTGTCATGGGGTTTAACTAATATAGAAAATAATAATACTGCTACATATATCCAAAATGTACTGGATATTTGCCAAAGTGCCTAAAAGTAGTAGTGCACTATATGAGGATTAGTAAATAAATAGTAAGGAGCTAGAGTTCGCTAATTTGTGCCTACGTGGGGCACAAAAAGTAGAATAAAGATCTTAGACTAAAGAAAATGATATTCTAGCAAATCGGCTGGTAAGAATCCTATAGTAAACACTATGCTGTGCCTTCAAGGGAACCTAGCAAAAGAACAGAAACTGTCTGTCACTAGCTAGCTATATGCAGCAGAAGGTCTGAAGGTCTCTGAACTCCCAGACGTGACTGTTACTGAAGGATATCGCTCGTGCAAATCAGGGGGTAGCCGCCTGAACGGCGAAACGTACGCCGGGGCTCTGACACCCAGCATAGACTATTCTCTTTTGCACTTGAGATTATTAACGTGCGATCAGGGCTGCACTTAGGCGCCCTGTGCGAAAAATCTTTGCAGCGCACATACTCACAGAGGTACAGACAGACCGTCACATGCAGACAGTCATACACACACACAGTCACACACACACACAGACAGGGCGTTTTAGCCACAAGGCTAACAAGGCATTTGCCTTGGGCGGCATTTTTCAGGGGGCGGCAGAAAACACCGCCCCTAAATGCCCAGGGCAAATGCCTAGTTAGCCTCACGGCTAACAGACGTGCCAGGCGCTGGGTGGGCGGCTGGTGAGGGAGCACTTCCCCTGAGCGGTCAGCTCAGCTCCCTCGAGTGCCACAGAGTGAGGCTGTGAGCCGGGTTGGTGACGTCATATTCCGGCTCCCAGCCTCATTCTGCGGCGCGCGAGGGAGCTGACCGCTCAGGGGAAGTGCTTCCTCGCCAGCCGCACGCCCGCCCAGCCCGGCAACCACTGGACCCCAGGGAGAGAGGGAACCCCCCAGCATTCCCAAAGGTAAGGAGGTTGGGGGGGGGGGGTAAATAAAAAATAAAAATGTGTTAATGTGAGTGTGTTTGTTAATGTGTGTGTTTTGTTAGTGAGTGTGTCTGACTGTGTGTCAGTGAGTGTGTGTTTGTCTGTGAGTGTGTGTGTCAGTGAGTGTGTGTCTGTTAATGTTTGTGTGTGCCTGACTGTGTTTGTCTGTTAGTGTGTATCTGACTGTGCCTGTGAGTGTGTTTGTGTCTGTTAGTGTGAGTGTGTTTGCCTGTGTGTGTCAGTGAGTTTGTGTGTGTTTCTGTTAGCGAGTGTATGCGTATCTGTCAGTGAATGTGTGTGTGTTTATTTAGAAGGCGGGGAAGGGTTTTGGGGTTGGGCTGGCGGCGTGCCTGAGTTTTGTCCTGCCTAGGGCAGCACAAAACCAGGATACACCACTGCACACAGGTACTCACACACAGAGGCAGACAGTCACGCACACACAGGTGCAGACAGTCACACACCCACAGCCCTTAAGCGCCCTGTGCGAAAAATCTTTGCAGCGCACCCTCCCCCCCCCACACACACACACACACACACACACACACGCAGACCTTTACATACATATACACACACACACACACACAAGCAGACAGTCATATATGGTTACCTCTGTCCTTTATGGTCTGGGAGGAGTGAATGCAGTGCAGGCAGCTCCTGGGGTCTGGTTGTTGAGGAAGCAGGGACTTCTTCCTGCTTCCCATGCAGCCGTCATTTTAGCTCCGCCCCTGCCGCAATGTAAACCCCGCCACAATGCTGGGAGGTTTTTTTTCTAAACACGGGTGGAGAATAATGAAATCCCTCCACCCGGGTAGCCGGCCATGTGTGAGCTGTGTCGGCCGCAGGGCGCCCCCTGTTCCACGGTGCCCTCTGCGGCCGCACAGCTCTCACATCCCTAAGGCCGGCCCTGCGTGCAATGTATTATTGACGCTCATAGATTTGCACGAGCGATATCCTTTGGCAAATATGCAGTACATGTTGGATATATGTAGCAGTATTATTATTTTTCCTGCCGTTTTTTTGATGGCAACCACCACAGTGATTATTTACTGGCAGTGCAATAGGGTGATTCTCTACCCCTTTAGCACTCCAGCTATTTAACCATTCTGCTTATTTACGTCCTGTACTCTGTCTCACGAGTCCTAACTTTGGATCTCACCCCTCACGCCACTCAACAGCCGCTGCATACTATATTAGTTAACATACGCTGCTTTTCTATATTAGGTAAACCCCTGACAGTATCTTGTGTCATTGTATCTAGTTGCATTAGAAAGATAGCTTGCAAAAAACTATATTATACAGAGCAGTTACCTCATCTCCTTTTGTGTGAACTAATTGTGGGACCACAGAGCCCTTTTTGATTTTATATATATATATATATATATTATACCAAAAATAAGGCTTGCACTCACGGTCCGTAGTAATGTTAAAAATATATTTCTTCTTTATTCCAATATTCTTAAAACATATCTGTAGTCATCAACGTTTCAGCCATCACTCGTGGCTTTCATCAGGATCAGTTCAATACATTGAACTGATCCTGATGAAAGCCACGAGTGATGGCTGAAACGTTGATGACTACAGATATGTTTTAAGAATATTGGAATAAAGAAGAAATATATTTTTAACATTACTACAGACCGTGAGTGCAAGCCTTATTTTTGGTATATTCTATATTGTTTGGCTATGGCTATTATGCACCCGGCATTTTTTGAATTTTGCAAGTGTGTGTGCAGGGTACCAGTGAAAGATATATATATATAGATATAGATATTTCTAGTGACAACATTTGAGATACCCCGGGACAAAGAGCTAACCATTTCCATTTGTCATTGCCTAATATAACTGGGTTCATTCCCTGCTCTACCAGCCAACATATTGCATTTTCTCCCACCCTTTCTCTTACTCTGTGTATAAATAGTCAATTAGTGTGTTAGCTCTCACGTGGATGCACTGGGCAGGCTAGATACTGAGCCATGGGGAGCAGAAAAGAATGGTCAAAAGACCTGCGTAACCAGGTAATGGAACTTTATAAAGATGGAAAAGGATATAAAAAGATATCCACCAAACGTAGACGGGAACCTCGGATCGCTGGCCCACCCAGGATGATGATCGACGCTCCTACACCCTGGCACGCTGCCCATGCCTATACCATCACAAACCGGGGATGAGGCGGCAGTGGGGACACACATAAGAACCAACTAGATTGGCGGGTAGTCTAAAGTGCTAGGAAGTACAACTGTTGTAGGGAAGCTGGATATAGGAGCTACATCACTAATTCAAGATAAATTGAACACTACTAATGGTATGCTAATACAAGATACCATAGATTACATCATGACATTGCCAATAACATCTAAACAAAATTTGCTTCACCTTGATTCAACATATTTGTGGGTTTGTAACCTTCCCGATATTTATGATACACAGTAGAGAATGTCTTCCCTTAAATGTTTGACTTGCCTCTCAAAGCCTTGCGTGGCTAACTGGTTGTATATTTGCATGCAAAGGACATGTGAGTCCTACCTCTTTATTGCAACTTAAAGGGACACTATAGTCACCCAGACCACTTCAGCTCAATGAAGTGGTCTGAGTGCCGGTTTCCTCAGGTTTTAACCCTGCAAATGCAAACATAGCAGTTTCAGAGAAACTGCTATGTTTACATTGCAGGGTTAAGCCAGCCTCTAGTGGCTGTCTTCCGGACAGCCACTAGAGGCGTATCTGCCACTCTGGAGGCATATTATGCCTCCATCACGCAGAGCGTCAATAGGAAAGCATTGAAAAATGCTTTCCTATTGACAACTTGAATGCGCGCGCGGCACTTGCCGCGCATGCGCATTCGGCTCTGCTGACGGCGGGGGAGGAGAGGTCACCAGCGCCGAGGGAGCCCTGCGCTGGAAAAAGGTAAGTAACTGAAGGGGTTTTAACCCCTTCAGCACCACGGGAGGGGGACTCTGAGGGTTGGGGCACCCTCAGGGCGCTATAGTTTTCCTGACACTATAGTGATTCTTTAACAAGTATCGAGAAGTTCAACGGAAATGTTAATAAAAATGTAATTTACACATAAAATTAAAAATCCAAAGTATTGAAAATGCCAGTCCGTACTGTTAAATCCCTTATTTAGAAGTGAAAAATTCAGGGATGTCTTGATACCAAGCCAAGGTCAGGTAGATCAAAAAAGATTTCAGCCACAACTGCCAGAAGAATTGTTTAGGATACAAAGAAAACCCCACAGGTAGTGGTGAAGAAATACAGGCTGCCCTGGAAAAAGACATTATGGTTGTTTCAAGAACCACAATACGACAATACTTGAACAAAAATGAGCTGCATAGTCGAGTTGCCAGAAAGAAGCCTTTACTGCTCCAATACCACAAAAAGCTGGTTACAATATGCCCGACAACAACCCTAACATGCCTCACAGCTTCTGGCACTCTGTAATTTGCAGTGATAAGACCAAAATAGAGCTTTATAGTCACAACCATAAGGTCTATGTTTGGAAAGGGGTCATTAAGGCCTATAGTTAAAACTATCCCCACTGTGAGCTCAAAGGCAAGGGGAATTTTGTGAAATTTGATGGCAAGATGTAGCATGTTATCAGAAATACTGGCAGACAATTTGCATTCTTCTGCATGAGAAGCTCTTGGACTTTCCAGCATGACAATGACCCTAAGCACAAGGCCACGTTGACCCTCCAGAGGTTATAGCAGAAAAAGGTGAAGGTTCTGGAGTTGACATCAGTCTCCAGACCTTAATATCATCGAGCCACTCTGGTGAGATCTGAAACGTGCTGTTCATACAAGACAACCAGAATTTGCATGACCTAGAGGCATTTTGCCAAGACGAATGGGCAGCTATACCACCTGCAAGAATAAGGGGCTTCGTAGCCAACTATTACAAAAGATTGCATGGTGTCATTGATGCTAAAGGGGACAATACACAGTATTAAGAACTAAGGGTATGCAGACTTTTGAACCGGGGTCATTAAATTTATTTTTTCTGTTGCCATATTTTGTTTTATGATTGTGCCATTCTGTTATATCCTACAGTTGAATATGAATCCCATAAGAAATACAATAAATGTGTTTTGCCTACTCACTTATGTTTTCTTTAAAAATGGCACATATATTACCAATTCTCCAAGGGTATGCAAACTTTTGAGCACAACTATACAAATGAGCTACATGCATGCTTTTTGCCATGAACATAACACATTGTGGGGTTTGTGTAGATGGGGTAACAGAACTTATGTAAATATGGGTATGGGACACAGAAGGAAATTATAGATGGAGGGAGACAAAGTGATGGGGGATGGTGGAGAGAAACACACATACAATAGGTAGATGGGGAAGAGAGACAGAATACATAACCATGCAATCACTGTATGAGCAGTTTCACTAGATGCAAGCTGCATCTAATCTGACAGATGTGGGGGTTTCCTTTTTAAAAACTTTTGCCAAAAACAGTTCAGTACCTTTATTTGACAGTTGCTCAATTTTGTTTTTCAGAAACCACTGTGGCAAATAAGAATTTGGGCATTCTAGGGCCAGCACCAGGTTCCCTCTTTCATCCCATAGGGACACAGCCAGGAGGCAATCAAACAAGCCCTTCATTTGTAACAAATAGCAACAGTTATGTTCAACCAGTCCAAAATGTAAATAACCATGAATCTTTCCTGTCGAATGCTACCGAGATTACTGCTAATTTACCACAACCTGGATCGGTACCTGATAATCAATTAAGCTCAGAGGATTTAACATTTTTCAAGAAATTAAAGACACTGCTGGAAGTACTACCCAATGAAAAACAAAACACAAGAAATAATCAAATGGATTCAAAATTATTCATGTTAAAAGAATTGTTGCTTGATAAGCCACCAAGCATGGACAACACACAATTAAACCACCAACTGATGACACAGATTTCTTCCCTATCACATGATTCTACAAGCACAGACAACAATCAATTGAGACAGCAACTAATGATGCTATTGGCAACAAATGAAATTGATCCAAACTTGAATAATCAGCAAGATTTTACACATACTAATGACAGTTATGAAGACTTTCAATATGCTGCTCCAAGTGAAGACACATTTAACAATATTAATTACCAACAGCCTCTTGATGTTTCCTGTAACACTGTGAGTGTAGATATTGCCTCTGACATTGAACCCTACAAGTCACAAGAAATAGTCACAGAAGTCTATTCTTATGACAGTACATTGGATAATCGTAATGACTTGTCATACAGTGAGCCCTCTGTAACAAAACAAGATTACTCTCCTAATCCTCATGATCAATACATAGATGAACCACGTTCTGGAACTTATACAAGAGTATCCCTTTCTCCCACAATATTAGTACCATCCCATCTGCATGATGATTACAGACAGCAAGACTTGAGTTACAGGAGGAGAGAGGTTTCTGCACGTGATATTTTGTATGAAGAAAGAATGCCTGGGTATCGTTCAAGCAGAGATTTGCTCGATGAGTCAGATCTATCGCGTATACCATATTCTGAAAGGAGGAGAGAACGAAGACTCCCAGAGATAAGGCATAACAGTGAGGAATACCACTTAAGGCCATCTCATTTTTCTGAGAGATACCTTTCAGATCCTGAATTTCACGAATCTGAATTTAGAGGAAGAAGAGTTCTTGAAAGAGATTATTTTCATTCTTCCAAGCGTCCAAGGCTAGACGATATCGGTATGAGTCCTCTAGATTTAAACAGAGAAGGCCTTTCTGCTGAAATTCTGAGGAGAATTCGTGGAAGAGACTTATTTACAGCTTCCGCAATACTGAGTGAATATGCAGAAAAACGCTAATGAAGTAAGTTAATAGTTTTTAGCTATAGTATACATTGCTTCACTTAATTTCATTCTTCATTTTATACTTTCGAAAATGTACTATTTGTTTATGGTGGAGAGGGATATAAGACCTATTCCAAGAAAAGAAAATATTAATTGAAAACATACAAAATTCAATTTACCTTTTTTTTTTTCCTCTTCAATACAGCAGTGAAAGCAAAATCGCTGGCGTAACTTTGCTTCAATACGCCTAAAGTGTGGTGGTAGTAGTAGATGTGAACTAAAGGGACATCTAGGCAGTTTAACAAGTTGAGCTTAAATTAAAGCTAATAAGCGCAAAGATCTCTGGTTATGGTCTTTTAATTTGTGTATTTTTCCTGCAGTGCTCTAAAATGTTTTGCTGATTTCAGCAGTGTAACCCAGTCTCCTTGGCTATCCCCCTTTCAAATGTCAACATGTTCCTGATGCTCAGTCTCTGAAATGTACCTTTTTCAGCCAATAAAAAGAGGCATGTCTTCCGTGGTTTAACCCCTTAAGGACGGCGGGCGTTCTATGCAATACTTTTTTGGGCGGTCCTAAATGCCGGCGGGCGGCATAGAGCGTCCCCACCGTCCAGGGAACTTACCGGGTCCCCACCGATCCCATGCCGTCAGGCAGCCCCCTTCTCACAATCTGGCCCTCCAAGGCCATGTGATCGCTGGGACCTTGCGATCCCATGGCCGTAATAGCTGGCTCATGCAGTGCCTACAATGGTCCTGCCTGAGCTCCCAAGCTGTCCCCCTGCTGCCTGTAAAAAAAAAGTTTTAAAAGTTAATAAAAAAAAAAAGTTTAATAAAGTAAATGAAAGTAAATGAATATGTATATGATTGAAGTACTTTTGTATGCACACACACACAAACTATTATCCTAAGTGTATTTTAAGAATACATGTATAATTATATTATGTATTAATATTAAAATACACTTACAATGACGTTAAATATATATATTTACAATTTTATATATATATATATATATATAAAATAAGAAAATTAAAAAAATAAAAATTATATACCTGTATACTTTCGCTCTAATTGTATTTTGATATTAATATACATATATATTTAAATCAAAATACATTTAGAATGACATTTTAAATACATTTATGTATCTATATATAAATATATATCTATAAATAAAAATATTCCAAAAAAATACCTATTTATATATAAATATATATAAATTCTACATATATATTTATATATTTTTACATGATTAAGTAATTACAATTTGAGAGACTTGCCTGACAACAAGGCAGAAAGAGAGAATATAGTCCAGAGAATATGGTTTGCAAGCCCTATATTTAACCATGTAACTTTCCAAGACACCATAAAACCTGTACATAGGGGGTACTGTTTTACTTGGGAGACTTCTCTGAACACAAATATTAGTGTTTCAAAACCATAAAACATATCACAACAATGATATTGTCTGTGAAAGTGCAGTTTTTTGCATTTTCCACACACAAACGGCACTTTCACTGACTATATAATTGTTGTGATAAGCACTAATATTTGTGTTCAGCGAAGTCTCTCGAGTATAACAGTACCCACCATGTAAATGTCTTATGGTGTTTTCAAAAGTTAGAGTGTAATATAAGACTTGCATTTACATTTTTCACATTAAAATTTGCCAGATTGGTTATGTTGCCTTTTTGACCGTATGGTAGCCCAGGAATGAAAATTACCCCCATGATGGCATACCATTTGCAAAAGTAGACAACCCAAGTTATTGCAAATGAGGTATGTTCAGTCTTTTTAAGCAACCACTTAGTCACAAACACTGGCAAAAATTATTGTTCAAATCTGTTTTTTGCATTTTTCACACACATACAAATTAGAATGCTAAATTTGGCCAGTGGCTACTAAAAAAGACTGGACACACCCCATTTATAATACACCATTTTTACCCCATTTATAATACCTTAGGTTGTCTACTTTTGCAAATGGTATACATTCATGGGGATAATATTCATTCCTGGGCTATCATACAGTCTCAAAGGTAACATAACCAGTCTGGCAAAATTGTGTGTATAAACTAAAAAATGTAATGTGCTAAATTTGACCCTGTAACCTTCCAAAACACTATAAAACCTGTACTTTGGGGGTACTATTTTACTTGTGAGACTTCACTGAATACAAATATGTGCATTTTATTGCAGTAGCAGCTAACAGTATTATGACATTCATAGTTAAAATGCCATGCAGTGCTAAAGAAATAAAAATAAAAAAAATCTTACCTTTTCACTTTTTTTACATTTTATTCATATTAAATTATGTAGAAGTTTGGTCCTTAAGGGATTAATATGAAAGAGGTGAATTACGGTTGGACAGACATAGCGCAGATCCCAGGTTTTGTTTACCTTTTGTTTTGATCACAACTTGTACAACTGGCTCAGTCCTTAAGGGGTTAAAGGGATTCTCCAGTGCCAGGAAAACAAACCTCTTTCCCTGACACTAGAGAATCCTTGAGAGCCCGCCCCCCATCCCATGGTGCTGAAGCGGTTAAAACCCCTTAAGCTATTTACCTGAATCCAGCGCCAATGTACCTCGGCGCTGGGTCAGGCTCAGCCCACGCTTCTCCCCCGCAAACATCTGCTGGCGGGGGAGACCTGATGAGCACGCATTAGACCTCCCCATAGGAACGCATTATTATATCCTTTCATATGGGGAAAATCTGAGGCTATAGGTCTGTGAGGACGTCCAGCATCAGATAACGGACCAAAAGTCCATTTAGATTTTGAAATCGCCCCCAGTGGCTCTGTTAGACAGCCTCAGAGGAACTGCAGTGTTTTACATTTCAGCACTAAGTGCAAAAGGGACACAGCAACCTACAGTGTCCCTTTAAGCACACTGCACCACAGATACAAGGCTAGAGCCCATATGTGCTCCTCTCCCTCCCAGTAATGCAAGTAATACATTCTCTTCCACCCCTTGTCAGCCAATAACCCTTTCCCCTCTAGCCCCTGTTAATTATCCACTCTGTATAGATGGATGGGGATATATATATATAGAGAGATAGAGAGACACACAGACACACACACAAAGGGGATGAGGGGCAACATAGTAATCCATAAGCTAGCCACTTGAAGCTTCGCTACCGAGCACGCTCACACACTGGCTTGCTTCGCGGGTTTGCGAGTCAGGCCTAAGGACGACCTGTGATGTTACTCACTACTGCAGACTGGCACACTACCTGTTGAGTGGGGTACTATCCCTACATTTACTCTTACATTGCTGCTCCCTTTTCTTTACCCTCCCCTCAGGGGCAAACTCGTTGCCTTCTCCCTTTTGGCGTCAGACTCGCATAAAATTTACCTGGTGCATCACATCTTGGCGATGCTCTTTACGGGAAGGTAGGTATTCAAGTCTTTTATCCCACATTACACTATTTATGGTTATGCTTACGATGACCAATTCAATACTTACATCTCCCCATCTGCCCTGCATGGAACCTGCGTGTCTCTTCGTTTACTTGATGAGAACCGTGTTTCTCCATTATGTTTTGTCTTGTTTATTTCACTCTTGCATTACCTGCGTGTACTTCATTATCTTAAATTGGTTCATACATTTTGTGCACTCTTAAATGTAAAACAATATTACAATAAAAATAAATTACATAGTGATACGTGTGTGTGTGTGTGTGTGTGTGTGTAATATATATATATATATATATATATATATATATATATATATATGTGTATGTATATATAGATGTATATATATATATGTGAGAGAGAGAACACAAAGCTCTTTAGGAGTTTGCCTGTCTCTTTACTATATGTGGTGAGAAAATGTATGTGTGTGTGAGAGAGATGTGGTGAAGTTCTAGTGTTTGAATGCTGGGAAGGAGGTTTGAGCAGGCTTGTGGGCATGTGTTGAAGGATGCGAATTGCATCATGAAGCTCCAGCACGCCCACTAAGGCATGTCATTACTCTATGAGAATCATTGGAGCATGGCCATTGGTGGACAGTCCAGCTGAAATACAGGAAGCAGGGGGAAATGACATGATAGCAGAGAAGGATCAGAAAATCTGACCAAATTAAAGATTATAAAAGGTACTTCTAAAAGTCATTTTTACACTATTTAGGGGGGGGGAGCATTTAGTGACAGTGTGTTTACTGTTGGAGAGGGGGGGAGGGGACGACTCAAGGATATGCATTGTTTTTACCTATACAGTTCTTTTAACCCTTTCATGCCGAGAACACACATATTCAATATATATAAATGCAATTAATGAATAGAACTTTTGCTGTCTTGTTAAGACCATATTCATAATAAGCCCTATATATTGTAATTATACTAGGAATTCTATATATCAAAGAAGGGAATATTGTGTTCTGATAAAACAAAAAAAATTCTGTGTTCTGATAAAAAAAAAAGATATTTGCTAAAGCAAAATGAACATAAAAACCTTCTTAATAATCTAACCAATATTATAATTTTTATGAAAATCTTTCGTTATATATTTGCTATTTCATATGCTAGGAAATGTTTCTATCACATCATTTTCAATGTAAAGTTTTCAGGTTTTCTCTTCAAAACTTTCTTTGCATCAATAGAGACATGTATACTCCATGTGTCTTAAACACATGGTTTTTCTGTCATTCCTCCTGGCTAGGGAATTGTTAAAGGAGCACTATAGGGTCAGGAACACAAACATGTATTCCCGACCCTATAGGGTTAAAATCCACCATCTAGCCCCCCTGGTCCCCTTCTGCCTCCTTAAATATAGACATCTTACTTGTATTCAAGTCTGGAGCTGCTTATTTTGTACCTGTTTCCTTTAGACCTTCCCACTGCCTGCGGTCATCAGCAGAAGTAGTAGTCTGATCCAATCACAATGCCTCCCCATAGGATTGGCAGATCAAGGGCAGAGCCAGCACAATTCAAAAACAGCCATGGCCAACAAGCCCTGGCCAATCAGATGAATTGAATCAATGAATCTCTGAGGAAAGTTCAGTGTCTGCATGCAGAGGGAGGAGACACTGAATGTTTGGATGCATTTTAGGCAGTCATGACCCAGGAAGGATCTCAAACAGCCATCTAAGGAGTGGCCAGTGAAGTTATCACTAGGCTGTAATGTAAACACTGCATTTTCTCTGAAAAGATAGTGTTTACAGCAAAAAGCCTGAAGGTAATGATTCTACTCACCAGAACAAATTCAATAAGCTGTAGTTGTTCTGGTGACTATAGTGTCCCTTTAATTTCACCTCTACTTCACTGGGTAAATGGAAAAACATGGCTTCTGGCATCCATTTTGCATTATAATTCTGAATATTAATCATTCATAGTTCTTGCTTGATATAGTTAGTATACCCAACAAAAAAATAATAAAAACAAAATATATATGTGTGTGTGTGTGTGTATGTATATATGTGTGTATGTGTATATATATATGTATATATATATGTATGTATATATGTATGTATATATATATGTATGTATATATATATATATATATATATATATATATATATATAAATAATATCTTGGGGTGTGTGTTAACTAATAGAGAGATCCAATCATCTAAAATAATGAAACAATATATTGACACGAGGACCGGGGAACTCCCATGAGGAACAACAAGGTCATATTACCTTGCCCAGCCAGCCAGCCACGCGAGCCCTCTATGAGCCAATGCAAACCGATCAAGGCAATGGTGACAAAGAATAAAAGTAACCATAAAGTCAGAGAAAGGTGGCTTATCAAGCCAACCGGACAACCCCATTGTTGCCTTCCCTCCATTCTTGGGGTGAGGCAGAGGCCAGGCCTGTTGGAAGAGGGGATTAAAAGAATAGGGAGAGAGGGGAAAAAAAGGATGGGAGGGGAGGTGCAGAATGACGGTCAACAAATTGGGGTAGGGTTGGTGATTCGGGCTGCAGGGTATTTTACTTCTTTGGGTCAAGCTGGTGGGCGGTTGCACAAGAGTCTGTATCTTAGGGGGTGTTGCTGGTGTGTCACCTGTCGTCTGACTTGTTTCCCAGGTATGCGCTCTTTCTCCTATCGTATCCATGTCCTTCGTCATTGCAGAAGGGCCTGAAAGTCTGCTGATTCAGTGGACAATATCCACTTGGTCCAAGTCAACGTTGTATGCTTGTGATCTCCCTTCTGCATGTAGTGTATGTTCCTCCATATGTTGGAACCACAGCGTCAGAGGAGGGAACATATACCTCCTCCAAAAATACGGAATAAGGCTTTTTGTTGAGGATTCGTATGGTCAAGGGTTTTTTGTACACTATAGACCGCAGCTTAGTGTGGAGGAGAAGGAGCGCTAGTGGTGTGAGGAGGAGGAGGGTCCTCCGCGAACCGACACATGATCGTGTTTATTGTCCCCCAGTTAGATCGGATAAGCGGACAGGCCCACCAGATATGCAATATCTCATTTGTGCCTATCTCTCATTTGCATTTCCAGCATGTATCATCTATGGTGGGGCCATATGTGTGTAGTAGTTGGGGGTCTTATACAAGAAGGTCAGCTGTAATTTACAAGCTGTATGCCACTAGAAACGGCACCACTGTTCGGTTCAAAACTGCTTCCCATTTCCCCATTAAGCCTGGGTTGGGGGGATTCTTTTTAGCATAAGAAGCATGTTATAAAGGATAGAGAGACCTTTCTACATGGGGTCTTTATCAATACACATCTTTTCAAAGTTGGTGAGGTCTCTCACCAGCAAGTGATTTGAGGGATATAGGCAATAAATTCAGTGAGTTGTCTGTTGGAAGTGGTGCATGAAGGTTTCCGTGCCTCCAGTCAGCAGGGCTTCAGTGGGTCCTCTATAGTCCGCTCTCTACTTACTTGGAAGACCTGTATCCAGCACATCTTCAACGGCTCTCTCCTTAAGTACCGGGGGGCAAGGGTGGGATTATGGACCCCTCAGGTGAGTACACCATAACACAAAGTGGCCTTAACTACACTATCTGTTTCTAAAACTGCATCGCAAGGTACACCCCTGGGCCTAGGTCATTATAGCACCAGGTACAACATTAATGAAGTACAAAATAAAAAAACCCTAATATCTTATTCACTTCATTGTCGGTGATGAATGTGAAACACAGAGAACACAATCTCATCCTCCTTACTACAACCAAATACTACATACTAATACATCTAATGCATCCTGAAGCCCATGATGCTCCTCATTATAATTCATGACAACCCCTTGCACAGTCTGAGATCAGTTTGCAGTACATGTACATGATAATAGAACACAATGTATGTCATTATACATTACTTTATAATTCCAGGCCCACTTTCAGGGGTCTGTCCCGCTGTCACACGTTTGTTTGTTTTTTACACTTGCCTTTCTCTCTTCTTGTCTTCTCCTTGTCAAAAATTCTTCTTTATTGTGCTCCAAAGCACACTCCTTGGAACGGTTCGTAAACGCGGGAAACTGAAAATGGGAATTCATAAACTGGTAAATGCTTGTATATGAATGTTTGTGAGACCAAGTGAACTTGAGTCTTTTTCTTTTTTGAGCATGCTTTCTGCATGTGTAAGTGTATATCTGTGAAATTGTAATAGTTGATGTGTGCCTGCGAGTTTTCACCAAAACAGCTGCTTGTGCCAGGAGCACACATATTCTAAACTCTCTACTGGGATTATCTCTAAAACAAGTCATTGAGGAACCAACTCGTAAGGAGGCCATACTAGATTTTGTGTTAACAAATGGAGATTTAGTATCAGATATTACTGTAGGTGAAAGTTTAGGATCCAGTGATCATCAGTCATTGTCACACCACAAAAAAACAAAAGTTCGAGTTTTTAGAAAAACAGACTTTTCTAAAATTATAATATGCGTAAAGGAATCCTTGTCAGACTGGAGCAGTTTAAATAGAGTCCAGGAGAAATGGGATTATTTAAAAGTTGCTCTACTGAAAGCAACAGAAAATTCCATTAGGCTTGTCAGGAAGTGCAGAGAAATTAACCCCTTAAAACCGGAGGACGTACAATTACGCCCTATTATAGGCGGCTCTAAACGCCGCCGGGCGTAATTGTACGCCCTCCGGTTTTTGTTAACTTACCCGGTCGCCGGCGGTCCCACGCCAGCGATCGCGGTGGGGGGGACTCCCAGGGAGCCTCCCCGCGGCAGATCCTTCTCCGGTGCTCCCCGGCCATGTGAGAGTGGGGTCCTAGCGAGGACCCCACAATCACATGGCCGGGTAGGCTGCCTCCTGCATTGCCAGCAGGGGGGCTGCCTGTAATGACAGGTGGTCCCCCTGCTGGCTGGAAATAAAATTAAAATTAAATTTATTGGTGTAAAAAAAATAAAAATATATACTTAGATCATATGTATATATTGTGTGTATATATATATATACACATATACATACACACACGTACACCGTCTAGGTGTATTTTACTATTAATATATATATAATTATATATATATATATATTAATATCAAATTACACGTAGACTGATATTGATTAAATATATATATAATTATTGTTATATATATTTATATATAATATTAAAAAAAATGTAAATACGTTAAAAAATAAAATTAAAAAAATAATTAAAAATAAATAATTAAAAAATATATAGATGTGTGTTATTTCGTTCTGTTTTGTGAAATTAATATATATATATATATATATATCAAAATACACGTAGAACTAAATAATATATATATCTATATACATAAATATATACGTATATATCACTATATATATACCTATATATAAATAAAAATATTTTTTAAAAATTATATAGATATATACATATATATACACATACGTATATATATACATATATTAATTCTACATATATATTTATGTAATATTTTTACATAATTAGGTATCTTAATTAATTACAATTAGCGGGACCTGCCTGACAACCCATGCCGAAAGTAAAGGGAATTTAATTTGCTAGCACTATATTTAACCCTATAACTTTCCAAGACACCATAAAACCTGTACATGGGGGGTACTGTTCTACTCGGGAGACTTCGCTGAACACAAATATTAGTGTTTCAAAACAGTAAAATGTATTACAACGATGATATCGCCAGTAAAAGTGAAGTTTTTTGCATTTTTCACGCACAAACAGCATTACACGGACAATATTATTGCTGTGATACTTTTTACTGTTTTGAAACACAAATATTTGTGTTCAGCGAAGTCTCCCGAGTACAACAGTACCCCTCATGTACAGGTTTTATGGTGTTTTCAAAAGTTACAGCGTCAAATATAAGGCTTGTGTTTCATTTTTTTCACATTAAAATTCGCCAGATTGGTTACGTTGCCTTTGAGACCCTATGGTAGCCCAAGAATGAAAATTACCCCTATGATGGCATACCATTTGCAATAGTAGACAACCCAAGGTATTGCAAACAGGGTATGTCCAGTCTTTTTTAGTAGCCACTTAGTCACTACTATTACTATTGCAAATGGTATGCCATTATGGGTGTAAATTTCATTCCCGGGCTACTATACAGTCTCAAAGGCAACGTAACCAATCTGGCAAATTTCAATTTCAAATGTAACGTGCTATATTTGACCCTGTAACTTCCCAAAACGCCATAAAACCTGTACATAGGGGGTACTGTCTTACACGTGAGACTTTACTGAATATAAATATGTGTATTTTATTGCAGTAAAAGCAAACAGTATTATGACATTGACCGTTAAAATGTCATGTAGAACTAAAAAAATCCAAAAAAACTATTTTCTCCCATTTTTTTCATATTAAATTATGTTTCATAGCTAAATATTTGATATTAAATGAAAGCCCTGTTTCCCCTGAATAAAATGATATATAATAAGGGTGGGTGCATTTACTATGAAAGAGGTGTATTACGGTTGGACAGACATGTAGCGCAAATGCCAGGTTTTGTTTTGTTCACAATGTGTACATTTGGCTCCGTCCTTAAGGGGTTAAGAAACCACTGTGGTACTCAGCAGAAGTGGCCAAAATAGTAGAAAAAATAAATTGAAAAAATAAGCATTTAGTAATTATTTTAAAAAATAAAAGGTGAGGAAGACAGATCTATAAGATTAGGCAGAAAGGCTAAGCAAGTTATAAAAGCCTCCAAAGCACACACAGAAGAGAGAATAGCACAGTCAGTATAAAGGGGGATAAAACATTTTTTAGATACATAAATGAGAAAGGGAAAGTAAAACAAGTATTGGGTAGATTAAAACAAAGGAAAGAAGATATGTAGAAGAGGTTAACGGTCTGGCTGATTGTCTCAATTCATATTTTTGTCCAGTGTTTATAGGTGAAAATGAAGGAGAGGTACTTCAGTTAGAGGGACACAACAGTCACTAAAACAATTTTAGCTTATTGAAGCAGTTTTGGTGTATAGATCATGCCCCTGCAGTCTCAATGCTCAATTCTCTGCCATTTAGGAGTTAAATCACTTTGTTTATGAACTCTGTTCACACCTCCCTGCATGTGATTTGCACAGCCTCCCTAAACACTTCCTCTAAAGAGTAATCTACAATTTATCCTTCCTTTATTTAAAGTTCTGTTTCATTTAGATTTTCTTATCCCCTGCTATGTTAATAGCTTGCTAGACCCTGTAAGAGCCTCCTGTATGTGATTAAAGTTCAATTTACAGAGAAAGAGATACACTTGTTTAAGGTAAATTACATCTGATTGAAAATGAAAACATTTTTTTTTCATTCAAGCTGTGTCAATCAGAGCCAGGGGAGGTGTGACAAGGGCTGCATAAACAGAAACAAAGTGATTTAACTCCTATATGGCAATGAATTGAGCAATGAGAGGCATGATCTACACACTAAAACTACTTCATTAAGCTAAAGTTGTTTAGGTGACTATAGTGTTCCTTTAAGAAAAAGCACAAATGTGTAATTTGTTACATGTGAGTTTACAGAGGAAGAGGTTCTATTTAAACAGTCAAAAGTAAAGACAAATAAGTTGATGGGGCCTGATGCAATACACCCAAAGTTATTAAAAGAACTTAGTGGTGTACCAGCAAAACCATTAACAGATTTATTTAACCAATCATTGTAAACAGGAGTAGTCCCAAAAGATTGGAAATTAGCAAATGTTGTACCCATTCACAAGAAAGGTAGTAGGGAGGAGTCTGGCAACTATAGGCCAGTAAGCCTTACTTCAGTAGTGGGGGAAGTGATGGAAACCATGTTAATGGATAGGATTGTTGAACATCTAAAATCACATGGATTTCAAGATCCGAGACAACATGGGTTTACTCCGGGGAGATCATGCCAAACTAATCTTATTGATTTTTTTTAATGGGTAACTAAAATAATAGATCAGGGTGGTACAGTAGACATTGCTTACCTAGATTTCATTATTGGTTTTGGCACTGTTCCGTAGAAGGCTTATCAATAAACTGCAATCTTTGTTTGGATTCCAATATTGTTGAATGGGTTAGGCAGTGGCTAAATGACATGCGACAGAGGGTTGTAGTCAACGGAGAATATTCAAAGCAAGGTCTAGTTACCAGTGGGGTACCTCAGGGATCTGTACTTGGACCCATTCTCTTTACTATTTTTATTAGTGATATTGCAGAAGGGCTTGATGGTAAGGGGTATGCCTTTTTGCTGATGATACTAAAATTTGCAACATGGTTGATGTTCCAGGAGGGGTTAGCCAAATGGCAAATGATTTAGGTAAACTAGAAAAATGGTCAGAGCTGTGGCAACTGACATTTAATGTGGATAAGTGCAAGATAATGCATCTTGGGCGTATAAACCCTAGGGCAGAGTATAGAATATTTGATACCTTACTAGCCTCAACATCTGAGGAAAGGGATTTATGAGTAATTATTTCAGATGACTATAAAAGGTTGGTAGACAATCTAATAGAGCAGTAGGAAATGCTTGGTTGTATAGTGTGAAGTATTAGTAGTAGAAAGAGGGAAGTGCTCATGCCATTATACAGAACACTGGTGAGACCTCACTTGGAGTATTGTACAGAGTACTGGAAACCGTATCTTCAGAAGGATATTGATACTTTAGAAAGAGTTCAGAGAAGGGCTACTAAACTGGTTCATGGATTGCAGGATAAAACTTACCAGGAAAGGTTTAAGGATCTTAACATGTATAGGTTGGAGGAAAGACGAGACGGGGGGATATGATAGAAACATTTAAATACATGAAGGGAATCAACACAGTAAAGGATGAGACTATATTTTTAAAGAAGAAAAACTATCAACAAGAGGATGTAGTCTTAAAATAGAGGGGCAAAGGTTTAGAAATAATTTCAGGAAGGATTACTTTACAGAAAGGGTAGTGGACGCATGGAATAGTCTTCCAGCTGAAGTGGTAAAGGTTAACACAGTAAGGGAGTGTAAGGATGCATGGGATAGGCATAAGGCTAGCCTAGCTATAAGATAAGGCCAGGGACTAATGAAAGTATTTAGAAAATTGGGCAGACTAGATGGGCCGAATGGTTCTTATCTGCCGTCACATTTAATGTTTGCCTTAATTATTCATTATACCATTATCCTTTTAATATTAAGTGATATAGGCACCCAGACCACTTCAGCTTAATGAAGTGGTCTGGGTGCCAGGTCCATCTAGGATTAACCCTGCCTGCTATAAACATTGCAGTTTCAGAGAAAGTCTAGTGGCTGTCTCATTGATTTTCACAGTGAGAAGATGCCAGCGTGGGGGCACCCTCAGGGCACTATAGTGCAAGGAAAAAGAGTTTGTTTTCCTGGCACTATAGTGGTCCTTTAAATAGTTTTATTTATTGTAAAAGCCATTTGACGTAAATAGTCAAACTTCCTGTAACGCTTAATGTGTGACTGTAATAAGTTATTGTAATAAAAAATAAAACCGGTGGGGGTGGGGCCTGACTTCCAAGATGGCTGGACATAATCTTTAGCAGCATCTGCTGCTATCAGCCTTTTCCACTGAAAACCAATTTAAATCAAAGAATGGGGACTCTTACCCCCACTGCAGGAGCAGTTTCAATACGTGCTGTTCTGGTAACCTCGTGGTGACCCAAAGATGGCTCAATGAAGCACTCACCAACTCAAGCAGGTTTGGAAAACATCGAGGCCAAGTTTGATCAGCTATGCCTGCAGTTCTAGACTTGAATTTCTTGCTGCTCTCCTGTCACACCGCTGATTCCAGCTGCTACTCCGGCTCGCTATTTTTCTTGTGGGGTGTGAGCCCATGTGGTGCTACATCCACCCAGCCGTCCACAACCCACAGGAGTGCTTTCTATCCCGGAGACCCAGAGGGTCCTGCCACGTGGATAGAGAGAATCCCTTGATTAATTTGAGGTGCAGCCTCAAATTAAGGCCTAGTTTCAAGGGGGTGAGGAGGCCCGGCATAACAGTTTGACTTTGCGACTTCTGTGTAAAGCTTGCTGTAATTATGTAAACAGGATGAGGGGTGAAGCAATTGCCTTCTTTGAGACGCATCATCTATTATCCTATGTGTGGTATCGGATGACTGGATGAGGCTAGCTTCTACACTAGAGCAATTAGTTCCTAATACTGCAGTGATTTATGTTATGTTTTTGTCTTATGACTCTAATTGTGTTTTTCCCACCCAGGATCAAATTAGTCCAAATCTCTTGTTTTAGCAACACTTCTACTAAGTTTAACGGTAGTTTAGAAAGTCTTCTCTACCAACAAGGTGAAAATCACTCTGTCTAGATTAATTATCTAACCTGTTAAATTTTTGGGAGAAATGTCCTGTTTATTCAGTCCCCCATGTAGTCCTCTACTGTATAACCACTGTAAAGTGATTAAGGAAACCCCTTGCATGGGGAACCACATAAATACTGGAGCTGTGAATAAAATCATCAGTTGACTCCCAGAACTGTGTTTCGTCCGGTTATTGGGGGATTTGGGATATTGCTTTCATTTCCAGCGCTTCACTTGGATTATTTTCTGTACCAGCGGAGATATTGGGATTTAACATTGCAGCTCCGCTACAGTTTGCAAATGCTGTTGTGGCATAGCAGAATTGTTAGTATTCATTTGCATTACAAAAAAAAAGTCAAAAACATGTGGGCAGTCAGTACAACATATATATTTTGCAAGAATCTGGCACAAAAATGCGCACGTGTTAACTAGGATTTTGAGGGGACTTCTAAAGCCTAGATGGAAGGGTCAAAAATACTTCCACTGATATACATAGTTTTCAACCTCCATTAATTTGGATGTCCTAATTAACAGCTCCATATAGTTCTGCCAGTGAAAACCTGCAGAATTTATATGCTTTCAAAAAGGAAAGAGTAGGTCTGCCTTGATAGTGAGTTGTTCTGTTGTTTGTTACCCATGACAGTGACTTGTTCTGTTGTTCGTTCAGGAAGACAATATAGAAAGATCCAGGTTAAGAGGAATAGCATATGATATTTTAAACCTACCATTTCCTTCTGATAAACCCTGGGTGTCGATGAAAGGGCATTCGATGCCACATCAATTTAATACTTTTAACATCCTTGAAGGCAATTGCCAGACTTCCACACTAGTAAGTACTATGGCAGTAGCCAGGTCTCCTCAACTATTTTAGTATAAAGGGGGACACTGTAGCGAACAAAAATTGGAGAGGTGCCCAGACCACAGATTACTTAACTAATAAAGGTAAATTTTTTTAACTATCTGTTAAACGTAGAGAAACAAATGAATAATTTTTTTTTTTTAAAAAGGGATAGTTTTTAATCTATTATGAACCAAAGTATTTACAAGTGTGAATGGAGACAATGAAAACAAAGTTTAGTAAATAGCAAATAAAAAATAATTAAAAATTGTGTGTATTGGAGTGAAAGTCTTAATATTTGTGAGGACAGAGCCTCAATCAAATTGTAGTGGAGTACTTGACATGGAGGCAATAATGGCTCTGTATCTGCCCAATAAAACTGACTCAGTGTGCAGGCTTAAAAAGACTACATGGAAAAGAAAAGAAAAACTGTAAGTAGACGTAAGGTAAATGTGCCTTAGCATACAATGATCGGTACTCGGATAGTCTATTACTATAAAGACTGGCTACAGAGTATTAATCCTGAATGAAGCGCTGTGCCTCCTCCGTCCACTGAACCGTATTGGGTAGTCTATATTGAAGAGACTAGCTTGCTAAGAGATACTTCCGAACAGAGATCTGCTCTAAAACTAGAGTAACTTAATATTTCTTAAATGAAGCACTCCGGCTCATCCGTCTGCTGTCGTATTAAGACAGGCTATGTCTGAGGCTTACTTGCCAAGAGGTACTCCAAACAAAGATTAGCTTGCCCTATCCTTGAATAGTATTTAGAAGGTAGACATCATAATTCTAAATTCCCCCACTGAAAAAATGACTCAAAAACCATGGTGCTCAGTGCTATCAACTAATGCTGTGCTAAAAGTGAAAGTCAGCCTTTCCCATGTAGGCTTTTCTCAATATATTATAAGGTGAGGGTTCAGCTGTACTCTAATAGTAGTTTATCACTGCCTTATAACGTACAGCTATCTCTACATATATGGATCTACTCTGTAGGTTAGCTCATCTCAATAGACTGTGTATGTTGATAGAATATTTGACATAAATGTGAGGTCCACAATACAGGATGTTACTTTTTTCAATCAAGCAATAACTGAGTCTATCCTTCTCTGTTCATTTGAATATTTAAGTTACATACAGACTTTATAAGGACTTTTGCTACCTTTTTGAATAATTTTGGTTCCATCTATAGTAAATATATTTCTTGGGGTCAGGAGCTACAATAAAATCTATATATACTATTTTTAGTATTTAATTGACAGCCTATCACGCCCCTTATCTCGTCTTTATTCAATTTCCCCCTGGGTGGTTACTATAGAGTCTATATCTCTTTATAGCTCTTTTTAATATGTATATACAATATATGTTTTTTCTTCCAGTTAATAAATAAAATTTACTCTATTATATGCTTTACATATATCAAGCAACCTTTTTGTGTGCCCAAAGTGACCTTGTCCCTTGGACATACACTTTATTATAAAACTTAGGGTTACCCTCTGCTCAGGTTTGCTTATACACACTGTAGTCCCTGTGTGGGACACTTCGTTTTTTTATTAATAAAAATATACTTAGTATGATATAGATATAATATACGCCCGGGGGGAGGGGGGGCCAGAGCCAGCGCCCCTGCGAGACGGTCGCATCCTCAGCAAGCTCCGAGCCACCGGCTGATTAAACGGCAAATATACCGACCCACTGGGCACATACAAAGCCAAAGCCGAGCTCCACTGGGTCCAGTGAACATGGGGCGCCGCTCAAAAAAGCAGCAAGCGGATCCCAGGATCGGCTGCCGAGATATAGGAAGCTTATTCAGACAGCCGCAGCACCCCATGCAGCCCAAAATGGCGCCGACCGCGGCCTACTCCACGGCTTCGTCGGAAGCTGAGAGCCACCAGAGGATGATTTCCCTGCCACAATACCAACCACGCTGCCCACATAATCACGGTATGTGGGACTTGGGGATGCTGCTCCCTCGACTAAGGCAAATATTAAAGCCTTATTGCAGGACCTTAAGGCCATGTTCCAAGCTGACATAGCAGTGGTGAGAGAGGACGTCGCCAAGGTGACAGGCAGTGGAAGGGGAGCTGGGAGGTACACATTTGGCACAATCAGCCACAGATACTGCGCTCCATACCCTGCAAAAGAAATGTGGTGAAATGAGCCAGCGACTGGCAAGTCTAGAGGACAGGGCCAAAGCTTGCAATATAACGATACAAGGCATACCTGAATCCATCTCACCACACTGCTAACGCTTAAGCAAGCCAAGCAAGCTGCAACTGACCAATGCCATCGATTGCCCAAGGTGCCCCCAGAGGCCCCTAGGGACGTGCTCCTGCAATTTCAAAGGGACTCTGACAAGTCTGCAGTCCTGGGAACCACGAGAGTATCTCCCTCTCTGTCTTTTGAGGGCTCGCAGCTGTCCTTCTACAAGGACCTTTCAAGAGCAACCATGCAATGGAGGCAATCACTCCGCTCCACTACAAAGCTTCTGAGAGAGGCTGAAATCCCGTACAAATGGGGCCCATACCACCTAGTGGCAGAGAAAAGCGGTAAGAAGTTCCCACTCTTGCAACTCCAAGAGGCACCTGCCTTCCTCCAAGCACTGGGAGTCTCAACGGAAACCTTATCACCACGGAACAGAAGAACACGGGCAGTAGAGGAAATACCTCCATTTGTCCCAAGGCATGCACTGGCTGGGTCGGCGGACCCTCCAGCTTGACACCGTCTGAACTATCTGTTTCCTTCATGTCATAATTGACAGTTATAGAATTTCTTTCTCCTGAAGTTTTGTTATTAAGTTCTGTTATTATTTGTCTGGCTCCGTAGGAAAATTTGCTAAGCCGTAGCACCACCAAAAATCCCTCCCCCCCACTTTCTTACCCCTATTAATGCCACGCTTGTACCAGCCTTTGTTTAAGCTCTTGGCCCACACACAGCGCAACATAAATCCTCATGATGCAACCCGACAACAGATAGCGCCTTAACCCCTTAAGGACACAGCTTCAGAAGCTTGACTTACGCTTAATGACACAAGCAATTTTTTCATTTTCTTGCTGTTTGCGTTCAACTGCAATTTGCATCTCTCTCATTTATTGCACCGACACATATTATATACTGTTTTTTAAAGGACAGAAAGGGCTTTAATTTGATATAACATATATATATATATATATGCTTACTTATTATAAAAAAAATACAGAAAAATGCAAAAAAAATGAAAAATATTGTTTTTTTTTTACAGTTTTTGCAATAATAATGTGTGCATAATTAGTGCAGGTTAAGGAAAGTAATTAAAAATAAATTTATTTGTTCTGATTTACAGAATATATAATGTGTCTGGGATTTTAAGTTTTTTTTGGTAGTTACAGGTCACAAAGCACAAGGAGTAAAATAAAATTTTAATGTGGAGCGATTTTAGAATTTGGTATGTTTGTCTTGTAAGCTTAATAGCCATAAAAGAAAACAAAATTGCCACACAAAAGTATATATTTATATAAAGTAGACATCACGGGCTATTTACCTAAGGTTGTTTTGACACTTTCTACGTAGCCATATTACCGCCAACCTCTGCTAAATATTGGAGTAAAATTGTGTTCTTTTTGGTTTTTGGCACACAAACTTATAACAGAGAAATTCTCGTGTATATTTTGTAAAGTTGGTGTGTGCTATTCCTGTACAAAGTTTTATTTTGTGTTCAGTTACATCTGCTGAGTAAAATGACACCCCCATTGTATGTCTTTTGCACTATTTCGTGAAGTTACAGTGCCATACAGGATACCTGTCCTTTTCAGTATTCACAGTAGAATTTTGAGAGATGAATTTAATGAGCCTTAGCTTCCATTTGGGGTATTATAACAGTTTGACTGTTCAAAAAACCCCCACAAAGGCCTACCATTTGTAAAAGTAGACACTCCAGGGTATCTTATAAGGTGCATATTGTGCCTTAACATGCCCCCATTTTTTCACCAATATATGCCAAAGTATGTGGTAAAAAAAAATTTTGTGCATTTTTTACATACGGATTGCATTTTTGCTGGGCGTTTTGTATATTTCATATGTGCCACTAAGTTCAAACCCCCCAAATTATGCTCAGCTAAGTCTTCTGAGTAAAATGACACCCCATATGAATGTCTTTGGCACTATTTCGTGAAGCTACAGTGCCATATAGGAGACCTGTCCTTTACAGTATTCACAGTAGAATTTTGAGAGATGGATTTAATGAGCCTTAGCTTCCATTTGGGGTATTATAACAGTTTGACTGTTCAAAAAACCCCCACAAAGGCCTACCATTTGTAAAAGTAGACACTCCAGGGTATCTCATAAGGTGCATATTGTGCCTTAACATACCCCCATTTTTTCACCAATATATGCCAAAGTATGTGGTAAAAAAATTATTTTGTGCATTTTTTACATACGGATTGCATTTTTGCTGGGCGTTTTGTATATTTCATATGTGCCACTAAGTTCAAACCTCCCAAATTATGCTCAGCTAAGTCTTTTGAGTAAAAATACACCCCCAATGAATGTCTTTGTCACTATTTTGTGAAGCTACAGTGCCATATAGGAGAACAAGCCATATCCGTTTTTACCAAACTTTGAATTTTGACGCTGGGCCTATGTGCAATTTCCAAGCATCTTCGCAGGTTTTAAATTCAATCTACCCCACAAAGGCCTACCATTTCTTAAAGTAGACACCCCAGGGTGTTTCAAAAGGTATAGTTTGAACCTTAGCGTGGGATCATTTTTCCGCTAGCTTGTACCAGATGTAGTGGTAATAAGCATTTTTTCTGCCTTTTGACATACAAAGTGAGTTTGCACAGTATATTTTGCAAACCTTATGTGTGCTACGACTGTATAATACTTCATATGTTGCTCAGCTATGTCGGCTGAGTACAGCAATACCCCCGTATGTACCTTTGCCAGGTATATGTGGATGCTAAAGGGGCGCATTTGAGACGCAGCCATTCAGTTTTTTTCTAACTTTGAAGTTTTACGCTGTGTCCATGTTCCAATTTGGAATAGTTTAGACGGTTGGTTATTGAAACTTCCCCACAAACACATACTATTTATTAAAGAATACACCCTGGGGTAATTCAAAAGGCATATTTTGAACCTTGGCGTGGGATAATTTTTTCTCTAGTTTGTTCCAGGTGTAGTGGTAATGAGCGTTTTTAAAATGTATTTTTTTACTTTTTATAACTTTTTTACTTTTAAAAACTAGTTTTTAAACTTTTGTTTTGCTTATAAATTTTTTTTAAACTTTCCTAAACTTTCTTAAAACTTTTTTACAGATTTAACATTTTTCTAAGCTATTTTTTTTACTGTTAACCCCTAACTAGCAGTACGCAGCACTAACAGTAAATTCCCCATTTTCCCATAACTCCCACCCACCCCAGCTAGCAAAATATATAGTTATAAAATATTTAAATTAATTAATTAAATAAATTGAACCCCTGAGGGTTAAAAAAATAAATAAAAGTTAATCCTCAGGGGTTAAAAAAAATTAGATCACAGTATAATACTGTGATCTCTATTTGATCGCTGTAGGCAGTGATCGACTGGCAGGGAAGGGGTTAATTTTTATTTGGACTAGGTAAAGTGTGTTTTTTTGTTTTTATTACTTAAATGTTATTAAAACATTTTTTTAAGCTTAATTTTTAACTTTTTAAAGTTTCTTTTAAAACTTTTTTTTAACGTTAACCCCTAGTTAGCCTAACGCCAAATCCCCCAATTCCCCACTAACTTCCACCTACCCCAGCTATCTAAATATATAATTTAAAAATAAGTTAATTAATTAATTTAATTAATTTAACCCCTGAGGGTTAAAAAAAAAAGAATTAACCCTCAGGGGTTAAAAAAAAAAATCAGATCATAGTAAAATGTAATCCCTGCCAATTGATCACTGTAGTCAGTGATCAATTGGCAGGGAAGGGGTTAATTTTTTATTAAAATGGGTAAGGGGGGGGACACTTTAAATAAACTTTATTTTTTTAAACAGCAGGGGGCAGGATCAGCACTGATCCGGCTCCCTGCACTTCACACAGAACCCGGAAGTGCAGGGAGCCGGTAGGTAAGTATTCAGAGCACATGTGCTCGCTCCGACTTGTGGTCAGAGCGAGCACATGTGCTGGGCAGCTTGACCGGGTGCTCCCGGTATGCCTCCAATGCAGAGGCATACCGGGAGCACCATTAACCCCGCGATCGCCGCGATAGCTGCGATCCGGGGTTAATTTTACCGCGTGACGGACAAGGTCCGTCACCCGTCGTTAAGGGTCTCCCCTGTGTGACGGACCTCGTCCGTCACCCGTCCTGAAGGGGTTAAGGACGGAGCCAAATGTACAAGTTGTGATCAGAATAAAATGTAAACAAACCACTGAATTTGACTCTGTCTGTTCAACTATAATTTACCTCTTTCATACTAAGTGCACCCACACTTATTATATATCGGTTTGTTCAGGGGAAACAGGGCTTTCATTCCATTCATATATAGAACTCCATTTTATATGAATAAAATCTAAAAAAAGTTTTAAAAAATTAAGAAATTTTGATATTTTTCAATTTCTGCATGTCAATTTAACTGATAATGTCACAATACTGTTTGTTTTACTGCAATAAAACATACATATTTGTATTCAGAAATGTCTCATGAGTAAAACAGTAACCCCCATGTATAGGTTTTATGGTGTTTTGGAAAGTTACATGGTCAAGGTCAGGGAATCCAGGGAAATCAAGCAAACAAACTGCAAAAGTACCATACAGAGTGATTTAGTTCAGCTCTGTATGGTAGACTTTGAAACAGTCTGTTATGCAGAGGGCGGGTAGGGATGGACAGGAGGGGCAATAATAACTGGAGTCCTTTCGGACTCCTCTTTTACAGCAAATACGGCATTTTCGATGGGGTGACCTTTTACAGGGTGTGGGGGGTATTCGGGAAGGGAAATGTTTGCTGAAAAGTCGTTGGACATCTTCTGATTCCAAAGGAGGGTTAGGATTTGGGGTCTGGGCAAATATAATTTGAGACAAAATTTGGACCATAAACTCTAGAAATGGGCATGGTCTACCTATGGCTTCCTTTTTATAAAGCACATAGGCATTGAAAATTGCAATCTGGTTTATGTAAATTGCAATTTTCTTGTACCAGGTCCTACTCTTCCGGTTCACCAGATAGGGCTGTATGCACTGATCAGCCAAGTCTACTCCCCCCATAAACTTGCTGTAGTCAACAATGCACTTCGGCTTCTCCAGCTGCTCAGTTCCACCTCTCACAGACACTGGCACTGAAGTTTTGTTGTGCATTGTAGACAACATGTACACATCTTTCCTATCGGTGAAGCGAAGGGCATGCAACTCATCCTGGCAAAGCGCTGAAAGGGAGCCTCTACTGCATCTACCTCTTGCCAGGGTTTGGGGGAAACCTCTACGATTCTTACGCACTGTGCCACAGGGTACGTTCTCAAAGCAAAATAGAGTTTTAAATAACTCTATGCTTGTGTAATAGTTGTCAACCCATAGCATGTATCCCTTATTTAACAAGGGAAGGATTAGGTCCCATACTATCTTGCCACATGTACCCACAGAAACAGGGCATCCTGGTGGGTCAAGATGGCTATCCTTCCCCTGATAAATACGAAACGCCCATGTATATCCAGATTTTGATTCACACAATTTATAACATTTTACTCTGTATCGGGACCGTTTAGAAGGGATACTGTTTAAAAAGTAATCTACCCTTAAATTTCATTAAGGACTCATCTATACAAATATTTTCTTCAGGGACATAATTTTGGGAGAATTTGGGGCCGAATTTTGTACAGCCTGTCAAACAATGGGTCGTTTCTTGGGGGGCACAGTGTATTGTCGTTAAAGTGGAGGAAACGCAGCAGGGAAAAGAGGGGTAGCCAGGATGGGGTGCTTGTACCAGTAGGACCTGATACTCGGCTTTTTGATAATGCCCATAACTAGTTAGGGCCCAAAATTTGCACATTTCTGCGAGATCCGTGGGGTGCCACATATTACGCCGATTGTAATGTGACCCCGGATTCGCAGTCAGATATTGGTTGGCAAATAAATTGGTTTGCTCAACCAATAACTGAAATACTTCCTCTGACATGAACAAATCAAAATATTTTAGGGGCTCTCAAGCATAACAGTGATGCCAGGGGTTGCCGTAAATGGGGGAATATCTGGGGCCATCAGGTTTGGGGGCACTCAGTCTCCTTCTGGCATTGGGCTTGCTGAGCGTCCTCTTGTTGTTGGTGGTGGTGGGGCACCATCACTAGAGGAGTCAGTCATAGCCTCAATGTCAGAGGCAGTGATAGTGTCACAGTCTTGCAGAGTGTCACTATCACTGCCTGCCAGAATGGCGTACGCCTCCTCGGCCGAGTAGCAACATGCCATTCTAGGGGGTCTACTGAATAATTAATCCAAAAAATCTAAGGGGGAAATTACAAAATTCCTACCTGCCTAACACCCTACTACCCACCCTCAAAAACTCACAAAAAATAAAATAAATGTACTGATCGCAGTTTAGGCTGCTGCGACCAGTACAGAAAGGTATAATTATTTTATTTTGTTTTTTTAATAAAAATAACCCCCCCAAAAAAGTCAGCCTGATCAGAGAGCCTTCTGATCACAGTGGATCACTGGTGCAATACTGTACAGTACAGTGATCACAGCAGCGGGGAAAGGTTAAGGGTGATTTGGGTTGCTGCGGCTGACAAAGGCTGACAAATATTTTTTGACCCTAAAAAAATAAAAATAATAGTACAAATGTACTAAAATCCCTAAACAGGCTGATCACAGTGTTAAATGCTGTGACCAGCACTGGAAGGGTTTATTTTATACAGTTCTTTCTCCTACAGGGCTCTCCAGCAACGATCTCTCTGCCTCTCTCTCTCAGATCGAAGTGAGGTGAGGAGAGGGGCAGAGACAATGTGTCAGCCAGTGATTTAAAATCATTGGCTATAACATTGTAACAGTGATCGCAGTTAATGGCTGTCACTGCGATCACAAACTGCAGATCACCACGGATTGGCCATAGGGGACCTGCCTGGGTTGCCAGGCAGGTCCCCCCACCGTGATCTGCAGTTTGGGAGGGATCAGGGGAACCTAGGTGGTCTTAAACGCTGCGGCGTGCAATGCCACCGTGAAGGCGTTTAAGCCCATTAACACCGGGACGGCATAGCACACCGTAACAGCGTTAATGGGTTAAACGCAGAGGATGTAATGCTTATTATTTACAGTTATTTTTATCTTTTTTTTTCAAGTTGACCGTTAAGCTCATAATTCTTACACCTAAAAAACCTCATGTCGCATATACCAACATGATGTTAGGTGGCTACGCATTAATGGCTGCTGTTGTAATCTATAACCTGCTTAAACTCTGTTCCAACTGCTTATGACACTGTAATGCAATCTAAACTATGTACATATGCGATGTGAACAAAAATAAAGAATTACAAAAAATATATATATATATATATATATATAAATATATATATATATACACCCTGTTCCAAATTATTATGCAAATTATATTTTTCTAATTTACCTAAATAATTGATGTAAATAACAGTCAGCATAATTATCATGTTATCAACTAATAAGAGTACAATTCAAATTTTATTGAACAAACCTAATGATAGTATTTTTTTTTAAAACATAAACTTACAATGCATTGTTCCAAATTATTACGCACAGCAAGGTTCAAAACACTTTATAGGTTGTAAAGAACTGAAAATTGTCATTTGTTGTGTTTGCGGAATATTTACTGAAATCAAAAGCTATTTCAATCAAACGTATAACAACATTTTAACTTTTTAAACATTTTAACAGGTCACGTTACATTTTAACATAGGACCCCTTATTTGATAGCAGCTTCACAAGTCTTGCATCCATTGAACTTGTGAGTTTTTGGACAGTTTCTACTTTAATTTGTTTGCAAGATGTCAGAATAGCTTCCCAGAGCTGCTGTTTGGATGTAAACTGCCTCCCACCCTCATAGATCTTTTGCTTGAGGATGCTCCAAAGGTTCTCAATAGGATTGAGGTCAGGGGAGGATGGAGGCCACACCTTGACTTTCTCTCCATTTATCACCATAGCAGCCATTGATGCAGAGGTATTATTTGCAGCATGAGATGGTGCATTGTCATGCATGAAGATGATTTTATTGCAGAAAAAATAGTTCTTCCTTCTGTACCAGGGAAGAAAGTGGTCAGTCAGAAACCCCACATACTTTGCAGAGGTCATCTTTACACCTTTCGGGGATCCTAAAGGGGCCGACCAGTTCTCTTCCCATGATTCCGGCCCAAAACATGATTCCACCACTGCCTTGCTGACGTTGCAGCCTTGTTGGAACAGGGTGGCCGTCCACCAACCATCCACTACTCTGAAACTGCTATGCTTATAGAAAAAAGGGTAAAACCTAGCTGGACCCGGCACCCAGACCACTTCATTAAGCTAAAGTGGTCTGGGTGCCTATAGTGGTCCTTTAAGCATAATTCCATTATATATCTTGATGTATTAATGATTTCTGCTTTGTTCAAAACAATAAAAAGATAACTAAATAAATCTTTATCAAATGCTCACATTGACTGTGTTGGAATTTCACTGAAATCCTTATGCAGTCAAAAGATATGACAAAGTAGGGACTACTTTGTGTTAGTATTTTTCCTACACCTGACAAAAGACAGAGCGCTAACTTTGTCCAGTTTTGCCATTTCCTCAGCCGTCACCATTGATAGCTGTAGGGTTTCTGGTGAGTATAATCATTCCCTTCAGGCTTTTTGCTGTAAACACTGTCTTTCAAGACAAAATTCAGTGTTTACATTACACGGGCCACTCCTCAGATGGCTACTAGGGGTGCTTCCTGGAGAGGTGTGCAGCACTGACATTCAGTGTCTCCACCTTCTGCATGGAGACACTGAACTTTCCTAATAGAGATACATTGATTCAATGCATCTCAATGAGGAGATGCTGATTGGCCAGGGCTGTGTTTGGCTTGTGCTGGTTCTACCCCTGCTATGCTCTTGACATCTCAGCAAATCCAGTGATTTACTATGTGAAAGCATTGTGATTGGCTCAGAACACCACTTCTTATGTCAGTCAAGCAGGGTTATCCGGGGCAGAGCCAGCAGCAGCAGACTTGATTTAAGATTTTGCTATATTTAGGGGCAAGTGGGGGGCCAGGGTGGCTTTAACACTAAAGGGTCAGGAATACATGTTTGTGTTCTCCCCCTTCTCTACCACACAGATTTTTATGTTTGTACTGCTTACATGGATTTGAAGTGTTCATGGCACCTGGATACTGTATGTGCAGCTTTTTCCTTTGAAACACTGAAAACATAGAGGTTAACCCCTTAGCTGCCGGACATGTAACTCCACCTCTTGCTGTATCAGTTGCCAGCCCAGAAAAAGTCTGTGTAAAATTTGTCAGCATGCTAGTGCCAGTGAGTCAATGGCGGTACCTTTATGAAAAGTTTTTTTTTTTGTTTAGATTAACCCTTTGAATTTCAGTAAACACAATTAAAATTTGTTTATATATAATTATTTTTTGTTTCCCATTCTAGACTCAAAAAAAAAGACTGATTCTGATAAACTGCTAGAAGATTAAGCAAAATCCTGGAAATGTATCATCAATATTGGAGTCTTGGAATCCTGTGTATATATTTTGCATACTGGTTGTTCACAGAGGAAATATTTACTGTTTTGTGTTACCTTAAATGCAGCATTTCTTTTTACTGTTTTTAAACACCCTAATGGATAACATAGTGTATGTAAACGTGAATAAAAAAGGTTGCCCAAACACAGAGCTGTGTATTTTGTTATGTAGTAACAGTCAGCAACATATGGTTAGAATGTCTCTGCAGTGATGGTCTAGGTCAGAACTAACTTGTGAAGGCCTCCTTTTTATCTCCTAGAAGTTAATTACCTAGTTTTAGACAACCTCAGCCAGGTGTTACAGCTGGAATTGATGACAAGGCAATTAAGCAATAGACATTGCCAAATTTCAAGGGAACTGAAGAAGGGAGGCACTCGAGCAAAACTGAATTAATTATTGGTAATGGCAGGATCCAGACCATATCTTGAAATCACATGCATGGTCATAGACGTCTATAAGGAAATAAGAATTTGTAGCAAGTACTGATGTCCTGCCTTGAGAAGAACAATTAAAGCATTAAAAATCACTACACCTCCATCCTCCCCCGTCCCCTCTCCAGGATGGGCTCAGCACTCACACTCCCATCTTATTCCTGCCCCGGTGCAACTTTGTACCTTCAAAAAAAGTGCACTCTGAGGACTTTTCTTGGTGCAATCACTACACCCTTCCTGCCACCTGTTACCCCCTGGGGACAGGGGTATTGAGCATAGTTGTCATCTGCCCACTACTGAACATACCTTTAGGCCATGGTTCACGATTCACTCCATAAGACTTATGGCTTGTTATATTCCTGGTTACCGGTTATGTCATTTTTTTCATTAGTGCTACTCTTATAACTAACTATTAGGCTCCTTCTAACCCTCATGTTGGCACCGTAGATTAATTTCTTCTTGTGTGATCCTCGTGACACAAGTCCTTTCTTATTCCTGGACTGTGACCAGGTAATGTCCAGACATATAACAACAAAGAAAGTGCAATATATACAGTGAAGGCAATATGAGTGTGATATGTCACCTGAGTGGGAGACTCCTTATACCACTCAAACATAAACACAAATGCAATACATACAGTAGGTGGATCACACTCCTAGAGATCTACAAGGAATAAAAGACAATATAGTGTAGTATTATCAGCAAATAAATGTCCAAATGAATGTAGAGAAGATCAGGTACTCACAAACCAAGAGCCAAATATAGACATGTGGCTCTCATGGAACCAGCACTGTGACCATTAATTAGCATGTCCCTCTCCTTCTTGAGATCTTCTGATGACAAGTATGGTGAAGAAAAAATGACTGTAAACACTTACTTGCTTCAGTAAAATGTTTATTAATCCAAAAAGTAAAACAGGAATGTCAGGACAAAGGTTACCCAAATAAATGTCTTAAAAAAGCCTACAGAAGAGCTCTAGAGGTGGATAGGGGTACACTACTCACCACCAAGCAACCTGAGGAACTGCCTAAACATCAAGCCCAACCACGCATGATAGCTACTTATGATGCTGGGTGGGAGAAAGTTAGGAATGGCATACAAAAATTCTGGCCCCTACTACTGGAAGATCTTCATCTTAAATGGATTCTAGGTCCAAAAGTAAAGATTACTGCACGGAGGGGAAAAAATCTCAGGGACCTCCTAGTCCCAAGCCACTTCCAAGTCCAACACCCAACTAGACACACCTGGGTGAATATCCCAGTTATAGGATCAATGTGGACACTGTGTCACATGTAAATATATTAAACGAGACTCTAAAGCAGTCATGGACAGCGACGGTAAACAGTGTTTCAACATTAAATCATTCTTTAACTGTAAAACGACTTGGATTGTCTACTTACTTACATGTGACTGTAAATTACAATATGTAGGCAAAACCTTCAGAGCTATTAAGGAACGTATTAAGGAACATGTCAGGTCACCCAAAGTGACCACTTACACTCCCATTGGTCGCCATCTAAAACAGCACCATTCTGGCAACTCACAAGGACTTCGATTTTGTGGGCTTGAACTCGTAAGGAGAGACAAACAAAGGGGAAACTACGATAGATTCCTGAGACAAAGGGAAAGTTACTGGATCTATCAACTTAAAACCCTCCAACCTAAAGGTCTAAATTAAGGTTTTTCATTTGCACCATTCATCTGATTGATCCTTTCATCATTTGAGCCACCTTTTGCCCACTTTAAAGATGTTCTACCATTATCTGCATATGTCTCACTATGTCCAATGTGCTGAATGGGGTCATCTATATTGATCTATTTCTGTATCATATGATCACGGGATTACATATTATAATCTTTGGATTTATCCATATCACTTTGGGTCACCCCTACCCTACATTACTCTCTACACTCTCTTATAACTGTCATTTATATCTCTACGTTTATAGTAACTTCAAACACATTTTTTACTGAACTAACTCTTCAGTTAAACTCCTTACATTAAATTGATTCCTTCTAAGGACAAATTAAGGTTCATACTGTTCTCATTACTATGCATGAAAGCTATTCTTCGTAATCATTTGAGAACCCTTGTCCGTTAATTCTCTTTTCACTATCCGAATATTTCACTCTATATTTATACCCCAACTAATAAGGATACTCTTTTGCCATTATGTTTGGCAAACTGTAAAGGTTTATTTAGTGATTAACATTTAACTACTCTTGCCATTATACTTGGCGACTTAGTGTTTAGTATTTAACTCCTATTAAAGTCTAATGCTCTAAGAGGATATTCAAAGAAGATATAGTCCTAATCTGGTTACTTAGGAGTTAATACACTACTTTTTATCACGCCCTCCGTTCCATCAATGAACACGCCCCCTCATCAATTTGATTCACGGATGCCACATGACGTCACGCTTGATGGGCGTACCCCATTGTGGGTTTATAAAGAGGCGTGTGTAAGCCCGCAGTCAGCTTTTGACAAGGCGAAAGGGGTTGCAGAAATGCGTGTTAAGCCAGTTCTTCCCGTACTGCGGATGTTTTATTATTTTAAATTTAGACCATTAGAGTCTTTCATCTCTCTATCTATTTGATAGAACCTCTAAAAGGGTTTAGTTAGTGTTAGTTTTTTCTTTGCTATCTACCTTTAGGGAAACCCTTCCCCCAAATCGCCTATAGTACTAGTCATACTTGTCTGCGGACGCATATTGGCTTCTATACGGTGGGACTTGGGTGCTCTGGGGTCTAATTGCACGTATCCGAGATCTTCAAATATATGTCTAGATCTTAAGAAGGATTTTTTTGGCTGAACAGCCAGTGCTAGTTTATTCTTCTCCCCTCAATATCCCACAGTACTACAGGGAGCTAGATATGAAGGCTTTAAGCCACTTTCTATTCAGCTATATCTGCCTCTAGACGTACATCGGCTTCTGTATGTTGGGATTTGGGGGTTCTGGCGGCATTTAACGCTTCACTATCCGAGATACTTAGATATACGTCTCGGTCCCAAGCAGGATCTATTGTCTACAAAGTCCATACACTTTTAGCAGCTTTTGCCTACTAAATTATAATTTTGCAATTTGCCTGCTTGAGGGGCACCTGCCTCTAGACGAATACCAGCTATTTAATGGTGAATCTATGGTTGTTACCGGGTATCATACTTGTGGCTTACAGGTCTTTTCTCTAACATTCTCGATAGAATTCAGGGACTATCACCACATACTGCCACTAATACCCGTTCACCTAACATTGTCTTTGTGTATCTTTGAGGGTTAATAATGGCTAAATCTCCTCACTTTAACGTAGCCAATCTATATACCCCTCTGTTGTAGATCCTACTAACGATTTATTTATATTCTCTACTTTTTTTGCAACACTTTGCAACATACTATGCAGAGCTAGATACTGGATACATCGGATCTATAACAATGTATATACGTTTTGTCTTTTTTAAGTTTCGTTATTTATCATCTATTTAGTTAGTACACATTCTTTTCACTTTTATTTTCTATTTTTGTTCCTTATGAGGGACCATTAAAGTTCAAATAGTTTTTACTTTTTTGCTCTATAATTACACTTGACACTTGTCCAGTTACTCTAAGAGCTACCCTCTTTTCAAAGGATACTAGGTCTATTAAGAGGCGGGTTTTACCTACCACCTTCTAATCTCTTTTTTTCCTTTTCATCTTGCTTTGGGGTTCATGCTCTGTTGGATCCTACAACCACTGGCGGAGTGGTTTACCCCATTCCTAACCACCGTTGTACTCTATAGTCACCAAACACCTGCAGCTTAATGTAGTTGTTCTGGTGAGTATAGTCAGTCCCTGCAAGCTTTTTGTTGTAAACACAATTTTTTCAGAGAAAAGGCAGTGTTTACATTAAAGTGTAGGTACTCCTTAAGTGGCCACTCCTGTTGAGGTGGGCCTCGTCCGATTTCCCCACAGCCTGATTCTGATGATATCAGCCAAAGGCCTGCAAAGTGTCTACAAAAGAGTTCCATATCCAGCATACTCCAGTCAACTTGGTAGTTGAATTGGGCCAGTGATGCAGAAGCCTTTGCGGAGAAAGAACTGCGGTAGTCGTAAAAAGACGTGCCACCATACTTGTGCCCTAAGTCCACCAGCTTGTGGAGGTAAAGATCAAACTCTTCCCTCCTGTCGGGATAAACTGCACACACCAAATCCCTATAGATACCAAAAAAGCCATAACAAATTCAGGTATGGACAGTTTGCAATTCAGCCTGGGATCCCTGGATTTCAACACTACAGACACATAACCGTATGCATATGTTTTGTTTTCCAGGACATTGAGAGGCAATGAGGAGCGAGATCAAATTCACATCTTTTCCTTCTAAGATGTCCTTTTTTATGTTTGCTGGTAACAAGTGTGCAGGGTTAATGATATGTGGGTTTTTTGGACCATTTGGGGTATTACCAGATTGGGAGCTGGGTAGAATAGCAGAATCATAATTAACCAGTGCTGATGGGGAATTCAACTGGCTTCCTGAGTCCATCCTATCCAGTTTGTCATTAATACTACCTAAGGAGGATAGAACCGGGGACAATACAGCCTGAAGATCAGAAGCCTGACCGCTTCTAGACCCTTCTCCAGCCCCAGTGTTATTTGTCTGGGTATTAAATAGCCCATATATGGTCCAGGATCTGAGGGATGAAGGGCTTGCGGTGTCACCACCCCGAGATGGAGTTACAGATCTGGCTGGTGTACTGGGGGATGGATAGTTCTTCCCCGCATTCAGGTAGTTGTGACATGCTACAAATGAGAATTGAAGGTCATACGGGGCCTTCTTTTTATACTGGCTGGCTAGCTAATGCCAAGCGACGAAAATATTATCTATTCACGTGACAGGTGAAGCCCTGCTAATTGCCAAGCGGCTTGAGAGGCACTATCTATGAATTGGCTCGAGTGGAATACGTGGCCACTGACATTGTGGTGGGATGATGGCCTCTCGGTGACTTGTAAAAGAATAAGACAGAATGGAAGTTACAAGTGAGACCCTCTCTATGCAACCAAGCAAGGCGACTAACTATGCGTTGGCCCGAGGGGCTACCGTACCTCCGGGTTCAGGATGGGTGATGGCCTCACGGGACCACTGAGCTAAGGTCTAGAAGGTGTGGAAATATCATTCTTAGAGGCTTCCTACCATTATAAGCCAGCATAAGGAAGGTTAATGACATACCTGCTGAATTTACTGAAAAGGAGCAGGACCTGATGAAACTGGCCATCTGTAATAACCCATGAGAGTAACCGTGAGTTGCAGAACCACATCATGAAGTACCCTTAACAACCTCTACTAAAAAGATACCTACCGGTATACTACTTGAAGAAAGTGGACCGGCACTAAAAGACTAGGAATGCGGCTAGGATGGCCTAGTACCTTGTAATGTAGAAAAATTACATATAAGGACCAGGCCCTAAGAGACCAGAAGTGGCCATAATAACCGTAATCACTAACCTATATACATGGTGAAACAGCAAATGGTATGAGAATTGAAGCTCAATTGTTGAATGCTTTTGAACTGAAACATAAGATGTCTATAATCAAACTTATGAACATAATGATAATACACCATTTTTGAAATTAGCACTGAATACATAAAACACTGAGATCAGATATCACTGAATTAAACGTAAATACAAGACTACCTAATAAGCGACATACCTAATACGTAATACTGTTAATGTACTGAAACAACACAATTAGCAGACAATATTTACATAACTACTTGTCATAACCAAAATGACCACTGGAGGTTGCCATGTAACACATAGAAAACCCACATAAGCCTGTTAAAGTCTATGTAAACACCATGCGGTGGCTAAGTTTTGTATATAACCGAAACACTCCCTAACCCTGAACCATACGAATGAAGATTTTTAAACTGTACGGGACATTGTTCGTACGCCTGCTCCCGAACGCCCAACTGGCTAGAAATAGCTGAGAAACAACCACGTGAACCAAAGCGTTCATATGGTCGCGAACAGAAACGAACAGGGATGCCTGCTTGAGAGTCAGAGCCGACCCAGAAGGACGTAAGCACCTGCGACATAAGCGTGACGGGCGGCCTAACTTACAGTTTTACCGGGCACAGCCTCTAGCAACCACCGCAGTGGTACAGTTTCCTCTCAGGATTCAGAAGTCAATATTTTTTTATTGCGGTATGTTAGTCCTGAATCGTATAATCTCACCGCTGCTCTTTTCTAAACCCAATTTATAAAACAATGTCCAGTAATCCAGACCACTTGGCTTGCCATTTGGAAATGAGAAAAAACATTAAAATCTCCATTTCTTAACTATAAAAGCTATGGTCTAATATAACTCTTGAATCTACCCAACTCCCACCTACCAATTCTTTAAATTATGTTCTCATCTAAACCTTGTTTAGCAGCTTCTGTAGATGCACCTATTCTAAAAGAATGTGAAGAGAACTTAGGCTGTCCCAACCTTAGATCCTTCATTCATAAATCTGAAACTTTATGGTTAGGCTACTGAAAATTCACCACAGGGTCTCATAAACCTTACGCTGCCATGGACTTATGCACGTTTCAGCTTTCCTGGTCTCTGTGTAAACTCAGCTGCTGGGAATACTTAAAGAAGTCACACCAGTTCAGATGGATTATCAAATAAGCATTCAAAGATTTATTGCGTCGTACGTTGTACAACACTACAGAATTTGCTGGCACTATATACAGTTGCAAGAAAAAGTATGTGAACCCTTTGGAATGATATGGATTTCTGCACAAATTGGTCACAAAATGTGATCTGATCATCATCCAAGTCACAACAATAGACAATCACAGTCTGTTTAAACTAATAACACACAAAGAATGAAATGTTGCCATGTTTTTATTTAACACACCATGTAAACATTCACAGTGCAGGTGGAAAAAGTATGTGAACCCTTGGATTTAATAACTGGTTGAACCTCCTGATTTGCTGCTTAGGTAGTAAACCTGCGATTACCTGACATAGGTGCCTAGCATATTGTGCGTAAGCTTAAGCATACAAACTAAACTAAGCTACTGCGTATAGATATTTCTTAAGATAACGTATTCTGCGCTTGTCATGGTACAGGTGTAGAGATTAAAAGTGAAATCGGGCTTAGCGTTGAACTCGCTAGGTCGATGAGACATACTGTGTTTCTCCGAAAATAAGACCGGGTCTTATATTAATTTTAGTCACAAAAAACACACTAGGGCTTGTTTTCAGGGTAGGGCTTAGAGCCAGTCTGTCAGCCGGTGTCCGCGCTATGTAACCCCCCCCAGAGACCCTCCCCTCCCCCTCCCTGTAATATTCTCCCCTCCATCCCTCCCTGTAATACTCTCCCCCCTCCCTCCCTGTAATATTATCTCCCCCCTCCCTCCCTGTAATATTATCCCCCCTCCCTCCCTGTAATACTCTCCCCCCTCCCTCCCTGTAATATTCTCCCCTCCTCCCTCCCTGTAATATTCTCCCCTCCCTGTAATATTATCCCTCCCTCCCTCCCTCTAATATCCCCCCTCCCTCCTGTAATACTCTCCCTCCTCCCCTGTAATATTCTCCCCTCCTCCCTGTAATACTCTCCCCCTCCCTCCCTGTATTACTCTCCCCTGTAATACTCTCCCCCTCTCCCCTGTAATACCTCCTGTAATATTCTCCCTCCCTCCCTCCTGTAATACTCCCCCTCCCTCCCTGTAATATTATCCTCCTCCCTCCCCTGTAATACTTTCCCCCCTCCAATCTTCTCCTCACCTCCCCTGTAGTGTGGCCGAGCTCCTATGCGGTCCGCGACCCGGCCGGACTGACAGGAAGTGCACACCCAGTGTGCACTTCCTGTCAGTCCGGGCGAGTCGCGGACCGGAAAGGAGCTCAGCCACGCTACAGGGGAGGTGAGGTGAGGCAGTGCGGCAGCTGTCTGAGCGCTCTATAGAGCGCTCAGGCGGCTGAGGCATTTAAAGGGCCGGCAGCCGCCGGCCCTGCCTAGGTCTTATTTTCGGGGTAGGGCTTATATTGCAGCCCACCCCGATAATCCAGCTAGGGCTTATTTTCGGGGTAGGTCTTATTTTCGGGGAAACACGGTATAGCGTGTAAAGTAGATGAACTATGTGCGATTATAGCTCGCTAAGGTTCTATTACGTCCTGCTAAATGTATACTGTGCCAGCCCTCTATATATATAACAAGCCTAACAAAAGGCAAATTTTTGAGGTATTAATGGATCATTTTTTACGCAGATATAAGTGTCAGTTTAATTATACGGTAAGACCATTATGCATATAGTACACTGGGGAAGTGTGTCCACCAGGCAGAAGTCCATCAGAGAGCGTCAATTTAAACTGGGGAGAATGGGACCCTTAAGTTTCACAGCAGGGAGCTTTTACTAGTAGTGTTGTGAGGTAGGGAGTCTGTGTTCAGCCGATACCTCTGTTGGGGAAGGTGGCGCTGTCGGTCTGGAATATCCACAGGGGAGCAGTGTGGTGCGGGTGAGTGACGGCCGTCCTCTGGCCCCAGGTCAGCAGGAAGACCTGCACCTGTGATCCACTGACTCGGTTTCTTAAAGAGGCTGGGCCATCCCTTCGTCGGGCTCTTGGGTGGTCTGTGTGGTCCAGCCGGGGGAAGAGACAAGGGATGGGAGATCGGCCGTTTCTCCCGTCCCGAGGCGTCACAATTGCTCTGCGATGCTTTGAACGGCCGGCATCCCGGATTTCCGTACCGGAACACTCCAGCCATCGTCTGCGACATTTAAGTCCATTTTTGGGTCAGCCCATATAACAAATAGGGCAGCCATGATAAAAGCAACCATGGAATTCAGAAGCTGTAGGTTTACCATTGATCAGAGCGTAACCATGCAAAAAGTAATTACCAACAACTTTTTCACCACCCTGTAAGGCAGTGGTTCTCAAACCAGTCCTCAAGACCCACCAACAGTTCAGGTTTTGTTAGTAAAAATAGAAATACCACTGGTCTGGTCTGGACTGGTTTGAGAACCACTGCTGTAAGGCATGTTGTATGGTGACTTTCTCTGTATGTTCAACATACATCAGCCACTGGATAGATGCTGTAGAAAAACACTTCTGAGTTTTATGGTAATTGTCAGAGGGGATAATTGCTGTGGTGTTCTTAGGCAGAAATTTGAATCTGTACATGGCAATTGAAAACAGAGGCTGGGGTCAGGAGCTGGAAAGGGTCAATATATTCTATGACAACGTCAGGACCACGGGCACCCTTAATGGTTCTTTCTTTTCTTGTCATTTCTATAACACTCACTCTGTAGCAGATGAATGCCTCTCTCAGGATATTAACATCCTCAGTAGAATATTTTTTAAGTTCAATTGGAAAGTTGAATTCACAGTGTTGGGTTGACTTATTCCAGTCCATGAAATTTGTTTTTTCATCAGGCATCATCTGTTCAACACCATAACAGTCAACAGAGGGCATTGGTCCAATATCATTTTGATTCTCCTCTGTGTTAAAAAAAAGTGTGGAAAATAACCTTTACAACCTTCGAAACCCATCGCATGCGGTAGCTTGCTCAATTTCATGGGTAGGAAATTTAATGAGTCAACAAACTGGATACCAAAATCAGATACAGTAACAGTGAGTAATTTACCACCTTGAGCCAGTAATTTTACCTCAATTTTCTCCTTAAGTAGTAGGTTCACCACAAAGTAGGAATAATAACAACAGGCGTTATGCGCTATAAATGTGTAGCCACTAAAAGGGGTATCAATACATTTTCGAACAAAGTCCACCACACATGAAGCACCCTGAAACTCCCAACTTTTTTTTTAGTTGTCAGTAAGGCACAGTAGTGGCGAATGGTCATCACATTCTAACAGCTTAGATAAAATTTGGTATGTGTATGCCTGTCTCCTGCATGCATTCAAAATCATAAAAAATGAATTTTTCTTTGGTTTCATCAGGTTTCTATTTTTGCACGTAACAAACATGATCATCTGGCCACTGGTTCATAACACACCTGACACTTAAAACCTTTACACTCACGATTTTCCATCACACCATAACACCCACACGAATCACAATAGGTTTTGTTTTTACAGTATATTTTACCAGCGTTGGCAAGCTCATACATCAATATAAGTGAGGGCACACGCATAAATTGGTAATCTGTTACCATTTCAGGATCCTGTACACATAAACTCAATGGTTAGATGTCTGTAATAAAATAAATAATACAGATCATAGCGTAATATGTAACAGAAAATACAATCTTATAAAAAACAATTGGTCAAACTCACATGATGCTGAGCCTATTATTTGCAGGCTCAGACTTTCAGGCTCTTCAGTTTTTCTAACCTCCCGATATCTGCTTCCACGCTCTCCTCTCCCTTAAGAATATAATTTCCAGGCTTGGGTAGATTTAAAAATGTTTTATTGGGCAAAAAATATCTGGAGGTAATAAAATACAATATACTAAAAATAAAACAGTAGAATGGCACAACGCGTTTCAACTTAAATCAGTCTTTTTCAAATGCATACTGTTCTGCTTGCTCGTTTCTTCTTTTAAACGTCGGTCCGGTCATTTCCTGCGCGTACTTTGAGTTCACTTCTGGGTTCATAAGTTCATCTGACGTCACATCTGCCCTCCGTCTTCCGGCGCTCGGCAAAAACGTGGAACATCTTTTTATCCCACTAGATTAGTGACCAGAAGCTACATTTTTTAGATTTGGAAATATACATTGAAAATGAGACAATCAAGAGCAAAACTTTTTTTTAAACAAGTAGATGTTTTATCAACCTGAAGAGCTGTCATTTTAAACCATGGCTACAAAATATCTAAAAAGGAAAAAAATTTACAATTAAAATGGAATTGTAGCGATGCCAAGATTTTTAATGACCAAGCAACACTTTAAAAGAAACAGTTTACACAAAAGGGGTATGATAAAGATAATCTAGATTATGAAAGCTCAAATGTTCAAAAACTAGAACGGAAAGAGTAAATTAAATATACGACTAACGAAGAGAAGACAGATGACAATATTCCCCTTATTTTTAATTATAATTCCAGACATAGAGAATTAAGGAAATTAATAAATAAGCATTGGCATGTTTTACAAAAAGATTCAGGTTTAAAAGATTTTATAGGACCAAAACCAAAATTTATTTTTAGGGGGGCAAGAAATTTTAAACAGTTTTTAACTTCAAGTTTTTTGGATCAACCCTCAAAACCCATCAATAGCAGTTTTATGAATACAAGGGGTTTCTTTTACTGTGGAACATGCATGGGTTGTAAAACGATGAATAGGAGAACTAACAAAATCCAAAGTTTTCAATCTTTCCAAAATGGTATGTGTATGCCTGTCTCCTGCATGCATAAAAAAATGCATTTGTCTGTGGGATCATCAGGTTTCTATTTTTGCAAGTAACAAACATGATCATCTGGCCACAGGTTCATAACACACCTGACACTTAAAACCTTCACACTCATGATTTTCCATCACACCATAACACCCACACGAATCACAATAGGTTTTGTTTTTACAGGATATTTTACCAGCGTTAGCAAGCTCATAGTGTAAATACATCAATATATACTTTTTAATATGAATAAAGAGTACAAAATAAGTCTCATCACATGAGACACAAAATGTGCGGTATTTCTCCTGTCCTGCCCATGTGGGTATCAATATGTAGGGAGAACCACCAGACATCTAAAGGTCAGGATTAGAGAACATATAGGAAATATAAGACAATTTGAGAATCACAATGTCTCTAAACACTTTGCAGATTTCCGCGCTAAATGTTTACAATTCTGTGCAATAGAAAAAGTGTCCACATTGGAGGGGTGGTGACATTAATTTTAATCTGAATAAAAAGGAAATGGAGTGGATTTTTAATCTCAACACCATTACTCCTAAAGGGTTAAATGTTGAATTTTTTTTTTTTTATATTAACAGCACTGTAATTTTTTAAATAAAACAAGTTAACCTACACGAAACCTAAACAGAAACCTGGAGATTAGGGTGAGATTCGTATGACTGGTTTTCTAGATCAGGTTTGGGATGTGTTATGCATGTTTAGGGTGTATGCATGATTATTCCATGTGGAACTTTGGATATTCAAGTGGGAGGATGTTAGACTAGTGAAGTGTCTTGTCAGGTGAGTTAGTGAGCTTGTGGCTTGGGATAGCATGGAGGTGCTGTTCCTGACAGTGGTGCCTGGTGTTTCCTCTCTGAATAATATGAGATGGGGAAAGATGAGATGTGCCTCTAACCGCAGGAGGGATGGCAGGTAAATAAAATTGCTGTGGTCAAGGCCCGGATGAGAAGAGTTGTAGTGCTAGGGAAAGCCACAGCTCCCTCGCTTTGCTTCGGTGATATCCCGTTGTGCCCTGGGTGTGTTAATTCGTAAGTGGTGGCCTGTGTGTGTCCCTTTTGGGGTTGTTGTCTCTGTTAACTTGTTGCGTATTGTTAGTTTGTGGATTATTTATGTATTTAGTTTTTATATTATGTTCCATTTTTATTTCATTTTTTTGTAATTTTTCGTTATTTTATAATTTTTCTTTGTGTTTGTGTCGTGATATCTGTTGTAACTTGTGGGCACAGTGCTGTATGTTAAAGCTTGGTAGGGAGGTACTGGGGGTGTAGCGAGTTGTTCCTCCCGGCCAGGAGAAAACAGTGTATGGGCAGCTGGGGGGTCCTGGGAAAGTAGGTTAGCGGAACCAGGCCGCATGGGCTGGGGTCCCGGGGGTTGTTGTGCTTCCATGGGCAATTACTGGTGTCATAGGCCCTTGTATCTTCACCAGTAACCTGTGTGTGTGGCCGGGGTATCCCCCTGGGTAAGGCCTGATTATATCTTGAGCCAGAGGTTTTTACACTGGCCCATCAGTAGCTTAGACAGCAAGGTTTTATCTCGTGCCCCATGGGTCCCATGCCTCCCCCCCCTCCACCGCATGAAAAACATTTACATTGGATTTGTCAACCTTAATATACAGCACCTTGTATATATTCCCCTCTCCTCCACCCTCCCCCCCCAGGGAGACTTAGCTGTCTCAGTTGTGGCTTGTATCTTTGAGCCAGTGTCTCTCGTGGGTCACCGGTTCAGAGTATCAGTCCTGTTTGCCTTTTTAGGCATTGTGGCTGGCTGCTGCCGTGATTGTATACCAGTCTCTTGGAAGAGCTGTGAGACTCTGGCGCGCTGGTCATGGCAAGTCAAAATCTGGTGGGGGGGGGGGAGGGGGGTGATGGAGAGGTCTCGGAGAAACTTTGTTGGGTCGTTTCCCAGCAAGCAATTGTGTGTTCTTCCAGCTTTGAACGGATGTCCCCAGGTGAAGCAGATCTCATGTTGGCGAAGTAGGTCTGCCAATGGGCTCCAGTCCATCGTCTCTGGAGTGTGCCCAGTGCTAATTCCTGGAAGAGGGAAAGGGCCTTGTACACAAAAGGAGTTGCCATCATGAGAATTGGCTGATCTCTATACCCAAGAGTTAACTGATTCGCATTAGGAGGAACTGTTCTAAGGACGCAGACTCTCAAGGTCAGGCAAAATATTTTTGCAATAAATTGATGTCAAAGAAATATGAAAAAGGGCTCTAAAGTGGGAAACAACAAAAATTGGAGAATTGAATAGGAAAGAGTTAATAAAAAGATGACTATAAATATGCTTTTATTACCCAATTTAATACACAACATCATGAAATAAGGAAAACTCTAAATAAACAATGGGATATTTTATTAAGGGACCCAATCCTAGGGAAAGTACTTCCAAAAAAGGCACATATGATTTTTAAAATGTGATATATTTGGAAAGCAGTACATGGGCCGAACCTGTAGAAAATTGAACGAATTTTAGAACATTAAAATAGTATTAGATTTTTTTTTTTTAACAAACATAGTCCCCATCCACTGCAATGCATGTGCTAAATTTAGTTGGAAAGATTAATACGTGGGTTTGGAAAAAATAGAGAATTATTGGAGAGGTGGAAACATAATAAAAAAGTTAGCACAACGTGAAACGTATTGGATCAATACGCTAAAAACTCTCTGTAAAGGATTTCCATATACTTACCTGTGTGCCTTCAGTTATATCCTCTCCCTGCTGTTTAAAGGCTTGTAATCAGTTCGTTTTATTATGTAGGTGAATAAATGTATTCGTCTACCGAACAGAGACCACCCTGGGTAGCAATCAGCATTAGAATGTGGAGAAAACCGCAACTTAATTGCTCCTAGGTGGCCGCCATTCGGCATTCGAACACGTGGCGAGAACAAAGGATGGAGACCATCTTAAAACTCACGAATGCGGTCAACGGGGCTTACGCGTGAATTGCCTGGAACTATTTTCGGCACGGCAATCATGCGAATGCCCGGTCCTCATGGAAGTCCTGGATGAATACGTTCCCCTCCACAAATCAAACTGGCATTCGGTAGATAGAACCTACCGAACGAGGGGGACATTCGCATGTAACCAGCTGCACCATACGAACGGTGGTTTTCGTGTAGTTAGACGCGAACGGAGACCGGCTCTTGCTACTAATTTCATGGAACTCTAAATCGGATACCTCCACATGGCGAGCCTATCAAACTTCTACACGATGCGACACGGAAACTACTGAACAGAAATTCGTGAGATTTGGATATGTGACTACCAGTATCCTCAGCTACCCAGGGATGATAAAATTATAGTTGTATGTATTATAAAAAGTACTTTTCTGAAATTGTTAAAAATTATAATGTTTCTGGCCAGCAGATAATTGAGCTTTGTATATTGCTGAAACTCAATTATCTAGCCTGGCCCAGAGGAGGAGATTGTTACTGTTTAAATTGAATGCCTGTTGCTTTCAGTAAATCAGTCTTGTTCCAGCATTAAGCTTTGGTTCATGTGTGGATTATTCGGCGATTCCATTGATATTTTTTCTTGTGGAGTATTGGGTGATTGTCTTTTATGGGAAGAAAGGAATGCTTGACGGTGATACCGTATACTACCGTCACACTCTCCAACCAAGGGGACTAAATATAGATATAGACCTTTGGTGCTTTTTAGATTAGGTCTTTCCCTTTCTTTTTTCTTTTTTTAGGTTGTATACATTTTTCTTAGTTTAGATTTTATTGTGTCAATGAACTCTTTCTGCATGGTATAAACTTTGGGGCTATTCCCACATTATCATGTATAGAACAACTCTGTATGGGATAAAAAGGTTTTGGAACTGGAAAAAAGTTTTGATTCATTTTTTTAATGTAGAATTATCATTAAATTAGTTTTTTCCTTTAGGTATATTTATATCTTACTTTATCCATATAATAACAATACTGAGTATACAGTTCCTTCTCTATCCATATAGTAACAGTATGAAGTATACAGTTTCCATGTACTCCCATCAGGACTGTTCCAGATTGACATTTTATAATGAGATGTATTCATATGTATTTTAACACGTGAGGTTAAACTAGCTTTTTTTATAAAGACTATGGTCAGTTGTCGATTAATCTTTTCTCCCTACCCCTTTCCTATATTTTCTGTTCGGCCACCCACTCATTACAAGTATTGTTTCCGAACTATATCGGACTTCCTTGAAGTGGAACGCATGCGCCACTATGAGACTCCGTCACGCACGGGACACAATGACATCAGAAGGACAAAAGTGGGAAGTAATCACGGTTAGATAGCGATCAGCCGGAGAAGGACAAAAGTGTCACGTATCCATCTGCACGTAAAAATTTGGTTAATGGCATTTACTGTCAACACAGGAAAAGTTGTGCCAAGCAGAAACCAAATCCACAGGAGGGTTTGTGCTGAGCAGCAATTATCTAAATGGGAACTTGGTAACTGCCTTTGGGGTCAAAGGCCGGTTATAGCCTATCAGATCTAGAGGAGGGGTATTTAGGCCAAGTTCTCACCCTGCTCAGTGCCCTGTCATGATTTCCCTTGTGGTTGTCCGAGTGCACATTATTGATTCTGGTTATTCTGGTATTTTGACTTTGGCATTGATTTTGACTTCCCTGTTTTCTGGCATCCCTGACCCCTGGCTTTTCCTTATCGTTGTGTCTCTTTCAGTATCCCTTAACCTCGGCTATTCCTGACTATTCTTTGGTACGCTAGTCCAGCCATTCTAAGGTCCGTTATACGTTACCTATTAGTAATGAATGAAACTCCGACCCTATTCGTGCTGTGGCTGCATCTTGCAGCCGCTTAGTAGATAACTCCCTAATTCCCACGTTATTAGGGATCTACTACCAAAAGGCTGAAAGACCTAAATTGATCTTTCAGCCAAATACTACTATACTATACCGCGAGTAGGGGCATGTCTAGTAAACAGACACGTGCTGGATCATACTCTAATCCTGACAAAGAAATTAAAGGAAGGATATTTGGACTGATTGTGGGGTGTATATATGTGGGAGGGAAAGGAGGGAGGTTTTTTTTATGTATTTGGCACTTATCTCCAAATGAGAACCAGTCCCTGAGAGGGATGAAACACATAGGATTTGATTTTACCTTGATTGATGCCAGTTGTTCTTTACTTCTGTGTAAGTAAATTTTGTATTGCACATTTGATCTATACAGTCACCTTATTTGGTTGCACTTTATCTTTTATATGAGACCCACAACATACATACCAAAGATTTCTGAAGGCTCTTTATTTGGTTTCAAAGTGTGAGTGACCCATTATCACTTAAATATTTACCATATTGGGTTCCACAATGTTCTACTATTTTTGTCTCCCATTGTTATTACTGACTAAACTATTACCCAAATAGGCAGCGTCAATTCCTATAAATATCTCATTGGTTAGATGTTAGTCTCCTCTTCAGTTAACATACTGTCCAACAATTTTTATCGTAAACTAGGTGCTCAGTAAAGGAAGAAAGACTATACAAGAATGGATTTTGCATTTAATGTTAATACCAATCATAGACTATGGGATGTAATAAATGCATTTGCACCGCAAAGACATTATGGGGACCAAAAGCACTTCATCTAAATTAAGTGTTTTTTTTGGTTTTTTTTATGTTTATTGTTTTTATTATTTTTGGATAGCGTTACAAAGAAATTTTTCATATACAAACATACATTGTTTAAATGCCGAAATGTGCAAATTATAATTATCCATTTGAGATCATCTGTCTGGTTACAAATCCAAAATCCTGACTCGATATAACATAGGGTAAACAGGTTTAAAGTATTTAAACATATTTGTTTTGAATATTTTTATTGTGTGCACAATATAAAGTCATACATCAAATGGGTTTGTAGTAAGGCAAGTGATTGCCCACGCAGGGGCTCAGATATCAGTTTAACATTGCTCATACATTTAGTTGCCTGCGTAGAAGCTGATTTGTCCTAACCTGAGTTTTTGTTCACTGGTGGTCGCTTTGTGTTGTATGCTCTTATGTACCGTGTTGCCTTATTGGTTCAGTTATTGCGTTAGGTAAGTGTTTCATGTTAAGTGGTGTATGCCAGTGCTGCGTGTTTGCTAGTTGGTGAATGCACGTTGTCTCTCCTGTAGAGGCATATTAAACAGCATGCTAAGTAGTGTCAGGCATGAAGCAACATTCTAAGTTACACATACTCTTTCAATTTTCAGCATAAGGAGCATATTTGTTTGCAGACTGCTGCCTTAGTAGATAACAGGAGTACACATTGTCTCCTGTGTAGAGACATATTAATCAGCTTGCCAAGTATAGTCAGGCATTACGCAACCATCTAAGGTACAAAAACTTTTTCAATTTTCAGCATTTGGAGCATATTTGTTTGCAGTCTGCTGCCTTAGTATGTAACAGAGCTATTTAGATATTAGGTTTACAGTAATACGTGTGAGTTAATCAGCTAGTTGATTAGAGTCAGACTTTTAGTAACAATCTAAGCTACAATAACTTTTTCAACTGTCAGCATAGGGAGCATCATTTACCCAATGTAGATACGGACTGAATGCAGCTGTTAAGGCATTAGTGTGAGCTATCCCTTTTCGCATCGAAAAAACATTAACTATGGACATGAATAAAAGCCCCTAAGCAATCTTTATGTATAACTAAGCTTATGTGAGGGACTTCTCAAGTGTCCAGAATTGCATATGAGTATGTTTATAGGAGTAGTCCCGGAAGTTTCAGCGGTGTATGTTGGGCTGAATTATAGAGTGGTAAGCTATCTGCATACCGGGTCGGTGAGGTCCTTTAGGACGCCAGTCGTCCATCTGTCCTCCTCCAGGACTCAGTCCCCTGCGGAGCGCTCCATGATGCCGTGGGCACTCGGGGTCCAGGCCAGGCCCTGAGACCCCCCACAAAAGTCCCAGTACCCGCTGTCCCCTGCACCTCCCCCGCATCACTTGCGCTGCCCGGTGACACCTGGTCCCACGCGTCTCACCCAGTACAGGCCTCACACTTAGAGCCGATGCGCCTCCTCCCTCGCGGCCACCGGTATACCGGAGGGGTTTAGTGCCTTCTGGCCCCACAGGGCTCACTGCGCCAGGGACATCCTTCTCCGGGCCACCCAGAAACCCAGATGCAGGGCCCAGTATCGTCACCAGGGGGCAGGTCGTCTGGGGTGTCCGTCCGTGAGCCGGCAGCCTTCTGGGCCCCTCGTACCTCATACAGAAGCTGCCACTCAGATGTAGGTAGATTTTTCCGTGCTCGTCTTTCCGTCCGCCCTTATCTGCTGGCGGGCTGTTCCTCCGTTGTTCATGCAGTGAGCAGCCTCCGCTTATTCGGGGTCTGTGTGCTCCCTTCCTCGGGCTCTCCCTCCGTGTAGTTGACAGTTGCTGCTGGCTTGCTGCTGCACACACAGCTTTAGCCAGTGTAGGCAGGTATTGCACACCCCACGCAGGGACTCCCGTCGTGGTATGGGTCACCGCCATGCGGCCGGGATAACCCCCACCGGCCGGGGGGGGGGGCAGGGCCGCGCCCCGGGCCGGGGGTGCTGATGGGACCGTCCATGCGGTTTCTTTCCAGCATATGTGTTTCGGGTCCGCGGCCCTCTGTAATCACAGGCCGCGTGTTGTGGCCGCGGTCAGGTGCTCTGCCGCGTGTAGGCCGGGCTTGCCCTCCATTGCCCGTCGGGCTTGTGTTGTGCTGGCGTCTACGGTGCGCTAAGGTTGCCCCCTGTCAGTTATTGTCGGGTTATCCGACTTCTTTGCGGTCTGGGGCGGCTTTTTGTGCCTTTCTTCTCCGGCAATGCTGGAGCCCCTGTACAGTGCGTCCGGACGGCCCGGCGGCCCGGCCCCGCCCCTATTTAAACATATTTGTATAGATAAACTTCGAAAGATGCTTTTGTGTTATCCAATAAAACTTTCTCTCTTAAATTTGCGAGTTGTCTTTTGCTTTTTTTTTTTGTTGTATATATTTATTGTCAGGTTCTTAAGGTTATGTTACAAAGTATAGAAGGTACAGTGATAAAGTATACGTTGTAAAGTATATAAGGTACAATGATAAAGAATATGAGCGAGTAGTGCATAGCACATGTGATATGTACCGGCAGTGGCATTATGTTCCCGTTTGTTTTGTACATTACGAATGCGGTGGTCAGCAGTTTCGTGTTGGCAAATGATTTTAACTGTATAACAGGGACTAGTAGGTCCCAACTTCTCAGCCAGGTCTGTGGCCAGCGTGCTGCTACGTCTGGGGAGGGAGGGGGGAGGGGGGGAGGTAAGGCGGGTGCTAATTACCGCTGAATAGTCACGAGGAGGGCCCTGAACCGTCTGGGTTCTCATAAGGTTGTGGTTTTGCCTATGTATTTTGACCAAGGTTCCCATGTGGCGACATAGTGGGCGTAATTATCGTTTAGTGAGGCTGTCAGTTCCTCCATAATCCGTATCGATTCTACCTTCTGGAACCAATCCCTCATTGATGGGGCCTTAGTGGCCTTCCACTGTATCGGTATGAGGAGATTGGCCGCCGTTTGGTGATGGGGTCTGAGAATAATAAGAAGAGCATTGTCTCCAGTTTGAGTGGTACGTCCCTCCTTGTAATATTGTTGATTATCTCCCGTACTCTCTTCCAATAGGGTTGTATGGTTGGACAATGCCACCAGATGTGAGCTGTTGTCCCTCCTGTTTGCCCACATCTCCAACAAATATCTAGTGTGTGTGTGGGAATATATGTTGGAGTTTGGTGGGCGAATAGTGCCACCTTGATATTCTCTTGTACGTGCTTTCTTGAATAGCGGTGCTAACTGAAGATCTCTGAATGCTCTGGAAAATGGTGCCCCATTCCCCCTGTGTAATGTTAGTAGAGAGTTCCCTATTCCATGTTTGGGTGTACTGTGGCAGGTGTCCTTTCAGCTCTCCTTGGAGCAACTTATAGAATATCGATAGATGTTTGTTTTTGAGAGATTGGGACGTGCAATATATTTCATATGGTGTGAACGACCGGGATCCTGTTGGTAGTGTTCGCGTGGATCGTATGAAGTGGGTCAGTTGTGCATATCGAAAAGTCTGGAGTGTCGTGGGCTGGTCTACTCCCATTAGGGCGTCGAGCGGTTTGACTGAGCTTCCCTCTAAGACTGAGTGCAGTCTCAGATAGGGCGTCTTTTGGGGTAGCTTTAGGAAGTCAAATGAGTGGTTCGGTAGCCCTGGCTGGCACAATGGGTTTCCTGTCAGGGGGCATAGGGGGGACGGGTGGGGGGATATTGAGGTCCCCTGTCTCATGTGTTTCCAGGTTTTGAGTGTGGGTGTAATGGTGGGATGGCTGAACTGGTGTGGGGTTAAGAATGGAGAGCCAGAGCTGTGCCACGGAATCCCGTGGAGCGGGGTTGTGAAGAAAGATTTCTCCAGTTGCACCCATTGTAGCTGCGGGCACGGGTTGGCCCATTCATAAATCCTAGTGAGTATGGTCGCTGCGTGATAGAGCTCTATGTGTGGCATCCACAGGCCGCCTTGGCTTTTGGGTTTCGTGAGCGTGGTGAAGGCTATCCTGGGATGTTTGGTTGCCCATATAAATTTGGTGAAAAGGTGCCTGAGTTTGAGGAAGAATGATTTGGGGATGTGGATTGGAAGTGTTTGCAAAAGGTACAACAGTCTTGGGAGCGTATTCATTTTTAGAATGTTGATGCGGCACAGCCATCCGAATTGGGGCTTGTGCCATTTGGTCAGATCTGTTTCAATCTGTTGAAGGAGTGGGAGGAAATTTATATTATAAGTGGCTGCGAGATTATGTGGTAGGTGAACCCCTAAATATTTGATATCCGTTTCGGCCCACGAGAATGGGTACTTCCTTCTTCAGTGTGAATTGCAGTGGTTGGGAAATTTCCAAAGGCAGGATTTCGCTCTTGGAGAAGTTAACCTGGAAATTGGATATCTGATTATAGGCAGCTATTTCCCCCAGAAGCGGTTGCATGGAGGTGCCGTGTGAGGTTAGCGTAAAGAGTAGATCATCAGCGAATGCTGAGATCTTGTATTCCTGATGTCCCACCTGGAAGCCTGTGATGTCTGTGTTGTCCCTAATCCCCTGAAGGAATGGTTCCATCGTGATGATGAAGAGGAGCGGGGACAGGGGGCACCCCTGTCTCGTGCCGTTTCGTATGTGCACTGGGTCTGACAGTTGTCCGTTGATTTTAAGTTTGGCCGTGGGGGCAGAGTATACTGCACTGAGCCAATTGTCCCAGTTTGGCCCAAAGCCCATGGCTTGCATTGTGGCTCTGAGGAGGGACCAGTCCACCCGGTCGAATGCTTTTTCAGCATTGACCGAGAGCAAGAGGCTGGGTAGGCATTGGGAGTGAGACAGATGGATGATGTTTAAGAGCTTCGTTGTGTTATGTTTTGCCTCCCGTCTCGGGACAAAGCCCGCTTGGTCAGTGTGTATGAGTTCGGGTAGCAGGGGCGCAACTGGTTTGCAAGAATTTTAGTAAAAATTTTAAGGTCCACATTAATTAGAAATATTGGGCGATAGCTGCCACAACTTGTGGGGTCTTTTCCTGGCTTTGGTAATAGTGTGATATGTGCCTCTAAAGCTGGGGCCGGTAGACTTGGGGCGTTGGTGAGGGAGTTAAAAGCTTCTAGGAAGGGGTCTGCCAGTTATGTTTTTGAATGTTTTAAAGTATTTGGCCGTGTAACCATCTGGGCCTGGGCTTTTCCGCAGAGGTAGCGAGCCCACTACTCCCAAGAATTCGTCTCTCGTCAGAGGACCGTCTAGGGTTTGTAGCGCTCAACCAGGGATCTTGTGACGCACCCTGGGGGTTAGGAAGAGTTCAATGTCCACTGCCGACGGGGGGGGGGAGGGAGGGGGTGCTCCTAAGGTTGTATAGCTCTGAGTAGAATTTATGAAATGCTTCCATTATGTCAGGTAGGGCGTGTGAGATGCCCTTGTCTGGGTGTTTATCCTTCGCTATGAATGTTGTTTGCCTACTTTGTTTTAGCGCAGAGGCTAAGAGACGGCCGCACTTGCCACTGTAGTAAAAATAGGAGTGTTTGGTGCGTAGTAGTGTGCGTTGGACCTGTGTGTTTAACAGTTGTTGTAGCTCTGTGCGTTTCGCGAGCAGTGCCTTATATGTCTGGAATGAGTCTTTTTTTTTGTGGTGGATTGCCTCTAGAGCCCGTATATCCTCTGTGAGGGATTTAATTTGACTCTCTTTTTTTTTTGTGTGGATGCGATGGCTATGAGCTGTCCCCGTAACACACACTTATGTGCTTCCCATGTCACGGGGGGGAGGTCTGCGGTGAGGTGTTTTCTTTGAAGTACTGTTGAATGGAGTCGTGTATCTTTTTTATCACTACTTTGTCATTTAGTAGTAAGTCATTTAATTTCCATTGGTAGGTTGTCAGGGTATTTATATCGGCAGACATTTTTGTGCTATGATAGAAATTAAAAGTGTATATTCTGAGTCACTCTGAACAGACCAGACTCCATTTTATTATTTTCAAGTTAACAAAGAGACACGAAATTTCTATCCTTTCTGTAAAACTAACCACTTTCCCAGAGCTAAAGGAATGCATAGTATATACAAACCAAGTGATAAGGAGAACGGGGGTTGGATAGACTGTCTAAATGCTAATGGAATAGATGCATATCTAAACACAGACATTTGTGACAGAGGAGATTAAATAATAAAATTTTACTTTCCATATGTACAAGATCCCATTGTAAGTTACGGGTCAAAACTTAGTTATAACTGTCATATTAGAAATTATAGCAGAATTTGCCAGACACATAGTCTGGACAAAACTTAAAGAAACTGTTTGATCTGACAGAAAACTAAATTATGGCAACCATATAGATAAGCCAAAATGACATCAAAATAGCCACCAGGAAAAGTTAACTCTTTCCTGGCTAGGTATGTTTAGTGGGACGAGACTGCCCTCTATAGACCAAATACTTAAATTGTCAAAAGGAAGGTAAGCACACCTCTAGTGTTTCTATTGGTCTATTAACTAATGACTTACAGAGAGTCTGGCCCTTTAAAAGTTAAGACAAAAAGAGAAGGAGGAATTGGAAGTTTGGGGACTCCAACTCGGACATGCAGAGAAACCCAGGACAACATCTGAGACTAACACTCAACTCACAAACTCTTTGACACTTTCTAACCAACACTACTTTTCACTATTACCCACGCACCTCCATGCAGAGAGACATCCAAACAAGTTCCTGAGACTACCAATTTGATGAAAATATCTACCCAACTGGTAATTATACTGGTTTCATTTAATTAATTAAATTAATTAAAATTTACTAATAGCATGATATATGACTGGATAAATCACGGTCAGATTTCCAAATTAAGAAATCTTAGTTAACTAAAGAATATATAGTTATAAACTTTTCATTCTGCAGGTGGAATTAAGAATAATTATATATTAATGTGATATTATCACGTGTTAGCAAACCGCTGTTTTTATCCAGGTGTATTGATTTGCTCTAAAATAAGATAAGATAAGATATCTTTTAGACAAATTAAATTCGGCTTTTGTAAAAATCTGGTAGATTATTCTTATTGGATGGTTCCAGGAAATGAGTAATGAACTGGTTTAAATGTTATTTTATTTAAAATTACATAAGAGTAGATCTTAATTACCTAGGAGATCTAGCCAGCATTGAAAGGGTTATTCAGTTGATCTAACTGTTAGCCAGGGTTTTATGGCCCTTCGCTGTGAAAAGCTTCGCTTCCTATGTCTGTAAGGATACCTCATAAATCGTGTAAGTCTTGACAGAAAATGCTGTTTAGCCATTGAAACGTGTATAGCCATTCCTTTTGTATTGCATATCATTTGATACTGGATATTCATTGATTATTGTCACGCATGTTACATATTATTATTAATTGATTTGTTATTATAAAATAAATCTATTTTTATAACATTGTGATTTTATCTATAAGAAATACCTTTCACTTAACACGATAACGATCTTTGGGATCTAAGAATTGAATTAGTGGGCAATTCTCACTGTTTACCATTATTATCCCATAAATATCCCCAAAGAGGATATGTGGATGGCAAGACACAGGGGTGCATGGTCAGACCATGTGATAGGGCTGTAGGAGCATGATGACACTAAATGTAAGAACCTATGTGGTTGAAAGAACATGTCTAACCTGGAGTATGTATGGGTTGCGTGGGAGTAGTAGGAGTAGTCCTTCCTATTGGGGTGGCTTAGTCTCCAGCATTCATATAGCTGAGCGCTGTCCAGGAGACGGGAGAAGTGTTTGTGGAGAGAGTCGCATCTGTTGGGGGTGGCCGATGTGGTGTCTAAAGCAGAGTCTAGGGACAGGTTGCAGTCTCCCCCCATTATGAGTATACCCTCTGCAAAAGTGTCTATCCAACGTAGGCATTTTTTAAGGGTCTTGCATTGGCCTGTATTAGGCAGGTACATATTAACAAAGGTGATTTTATTTTGTCCCATGGTCCCCTTTACTAGCAGTAACCTCCCTGAGTCGTCTGTTTTCTGGTCTATGAGCGTAAAAGGTACCTGGGCGGATAATAATATGGCCACTCCCCTAGTTTTTTTCTGAGCGAAATGTCCAAAATAGCTTGTGGGATATCTACTGTTTCTCAAATTGGGGGCTTTGTCTTTTTTGAAGTGGGTTTCTTGGAGGAACGCTACGTCTGCGTGCAGTCTATGTAGCTCTTTGAGGGCTAGGGATCTTTTCTCAGGGGAGTTTAACCCCTTTACATTGAGGGTGATTATGCGTAGGGTAGTCATTGTCTGTCTGTTACCTTGGAGTTATCTAGGGCAGGCGTCGTGCCTCCGCCCAGCGCTTGGCCACAGACCTGTCTGTACAAAGATCTTTAGAAATTCACAAGTAAAAATGCACTAAAACAAGACAAATAATTCAACTTCAATGATCAATCAATGAGTAACACAAACTTGAATTGTAACTTGCACCTGTGTCAGGTGCGTGAATACCTATGGTAACTGTCTCGGCCGAGATGGTCTGTCTCTCCGAGAACCTGTCACCGTGGTGTAGGCCCTATGGGCCTAGGTTCAGTTATCTGCTGGTATAGGCATGCGTATAGACATGCCTATACTTTTCAGTGTATTATCCTGTGTATTATCCTGGGGGGGGGGGGTGGTTGACCGCAAGTCTACTGTGTGTTAGGAAGAGGGGTCCGGTTGGTCGCTATCCCAATCGGAGTGGGCTCTGCTGGAAGTGGTCTATGTTGCATTATGGGCTATTGGGCCTGGTGTGGTGGGTCTTTTGTGTAGTCTCTGGAGTTAAGAGCGAAAGTCTATAGGCTTTCCCTTCCCCGCTGCCTTGTCGCCTGGCCATGGGCCTATGTTGTCATGTGATAGCCCTCGAGTGGGCGGTAAGTACCTTGGGGGGGGAGAATGTCTTCGAGAGGCTCTATGGTGGTCCTCGATAAATATATATATATTTTTTTTTTGTTCCTTCTCCCCTCTTTCTCCCCTGATACCTTCGGGTGTAACAGCATCGGTTCCAAAACTCATGGTTATGGTAGGCAACTGGCTGGCGGGGCAGGAGTCGTGTGGCACATTTTGGCACGGTTCTTCTATTTCGTCTATGGGTTCGATTACGTCCCTATCTTAGGGTCCCTGTAAGGTGGGCCTAGGAGTGTAGAGCAAAGAGTGGGGGGGAAGCTTATATAAATGGTCCTTTAGTTTTACGTGGCTGTGGATATCGTTAATCTATCCTGCTTGTGAAGTTGGGCTGTCGGGCACTGTGGCGGTCTGCCCTGTGGGGTACTTATATATAATTGCGTTCAGATGTAGGAACCTAGGATTGATGGGGGGTGAGTGTAACATAGTCAAATGATATACATATTACCCGCCCTTGTGATAGTCTTTCGTATGTGTCTGTGGTTCTCCCTTGTCGTCCGCCTGTGCCTTGGAGGATAAATAAGAAAGTCCCGGTGTTGTGTGAGGTGATGTCTCTGTAGTTTTGTCCGGTTTCTTCTTCTTTTAGATCTGAGGTAAGTCCAAGACATCCCGTGATAAGTTGTTTTGTTTTTTTTTCGCTTTGTGTCCATCTCCTTGGTAGTGCTCACATGAAAAAGTCAATCATCTTCGAGTCCCGATTCTTTTAGGCCTATGTCTCGAATTAGAGCACCTTTGATCATGGGTGGCTGTGGTACCTTTGGCGCTCGGGTATTCTGCTGTCTTGGGTGGTTTACTGGGCTATTGTCGTCTTGTGGATGACGGTCTTAGGTCTCCGTGTAGCATGCTATCAGTGCCTTCTGTGTGTCTCTTCCTCGTTTCCTGCTGTCCGCTGGGGCGCTAGGGTGCCGGAGGCAGCCCATAAGGTGGCATCGGCCGTACCAGTCGCTGATGTGTGTCATAGGGAGGTCCAAAGCTCTCTGGAATACTGGGACATCTTGTATGGTGTGGATGCTGTGTTGGTTGCCATTGATCGTGGTGCTTAGAGCAAACGGGAATCCCCACCTGTATCTGATGTTCCTCATCCTCAGCTGGTCTGTGATGGGTTTCAATGATCGTCTGGCTTGAAGTGTAAGCCACGAGAGGTCTGGGTATATACTGATTGGGTCACTGTGAAATAGTAGCGGCTGGTTGGAATTCCGTAGTGCTGCCAGTGCTGCCAGAATATCTTCTTTGCACCTGTAGTAGTGTAGCCTGCATATTACATCTCTAGGCCTGTCTGTGTTCAGGCCCCTGGGTCGCAGGGCTCTATGGGCTCTGTCAAATATTATGGTAGAGTCAGGCGCTCTGTCAAGGATTAGATTGAAAAGCTCAGTTAGCACTGCTATAATGTCTTCCTTGTTATTTTCAGGGATGCCTCTCACTCTCGGGTTATTCCTCCTTCCCCTATTATCCAGATCATATAGGGAACGTTGTATCTCTGTTAGCTGGGTAGTGTGAGCTTTCACATTGTCTTGGAAGGATTGTATTTGTATTTGGGTGACATCCCTGTCTTCTTCAAGTGACCCAATCCTATCCCCCATGTGGCACATGTCTGCCCCTATGGCGTCAAGTTTGCTTTGGAAGGACATCTCCAACTTACCCAGCATGTTCGCCAGGTCTTGCTTGGATGGCATGTTGAGGAGGAGGTCCCTGATTTCCGTGTCCCCGGGCACTCCGGACATTTCGGAGTCTGCTGGGCTGGATGGCGGGGAGTTGTGGTGAGGTGAGTCCGGCGCCATGTTTGGGCCTATCCCGCCTGGCTGGAGTTCCGCATTGTCGCAGAAATATTTGGTGAGGGCCCCTGGTTTCCCCGTCGGCTGCTTACCGGAGGGGTGAGGGGTGGATGCTGCTCTCTTTGGGTGTCCCATCTTTAGTTTATGCGCCCGATGTTCGCGGATTCACTCCTTTAGGAGAGGAGCTTGTTTAGCTTGCGGCCATCTCGTTCCGTGGTTGGCTCCGCCCCCTAAATTAAGTGATTTTTGGTGCATGGACTTTGCCCCTTTTTTCCTCATTAAGACCTTTATGAAGTTGTTTACATTAGGCATCATCACAACCAACATAAGATAACAGTAGTGGACTGACCAAAGTTGTTATTACTGATAACTTCACAGAAAGTGGAGTGGCTGCTCCAAAGTAATCCAAACACCAACACTATAACTTACAATTTTTTTTATATATATATATATATATATATGTATATATATATATATATATATTACATTAAAGTGTTTAACTCATAATTCTGTATAATCTGTGTTTCCTCCAATATAATTACAATTCCCATAATTGTGATATGTCAAAACAAATAAATTGTCTAACTCTCAAATACAGATGTATGCTGTAACATTCTGGTCTAGCTCATGTCCATTTCTCTGGAAAACTCACACAACCTGAGAAGTATATTCTTATTCGAGAAACCAGGGGGCTAGCTGCACTCACCTGAACATGTATAAATAGGGTGCTGCTGGGAGCCTTTTTTATTGTATATTCTTATTTAGCTGTCTCTACCCTAGTTTAATCCGTTCCACTTCCTTCTCCATACTTTACACCAATCACTTCAAAAAGTAGGTTGCTCAAGCAGTTTTCTTCTCTAGAGCTCTATATATGTGGAATAACCTGTCAAAAAATATCAAATCCAACTCCCACTCATTTTTTAATTTATAATTGTATTTATTTATGTGTAGCAATGTATATGAATGTGCTATCCAAGATATACTTGAAGAGATGAGAAATGTAAAAGTAAACTTTCTAGGTAAAACATTTTTATTAATAAAGTATATCTATTGTGTCAAGACCGTCCACCCTAGTATCGGTGTGTGGATAATTAATAGTGGTTTCTGTGAAAAGTGTAAAATATAATACAGGATATATAATTCAATTATGTTAATGTGTGTTTTGATAACTTCGTAATTCTGACATTCTTGGGGTGCTAACAAATAAAAACACAATTTTTATTTGCTATTCTTATTTGACCAAGCATCACGATAAGCAGGACTAAAAAAATTCAGAGCTACTTTTAATTTGCATAATAATAATAATTTATATTGCAGAATGGCCTTAAAAAATTATCATGTATAACACATATTAGCTTGTTTCCTTTTGCTAAACATTTTGCAAATATAACTCTATGAAACTCAGAATAGTCAAATGTTTCAAGCAATCGAAGACATTCACTAAACCTTGAATTTGGAAACAGAGAATGGAGTTTTAAAATGTTGGAAGAAAATAAAAATAAAAAGCTGGATAATTTTTAAATTTGGCCATTCGGTATACACACATCCAAATTAATGTTCAATTTCAAACTGAAGCATCAGCTTGAGAAAGGATCTCTGCAAATAATTCGAGGTCTACATCTGAAACAAGAAACAAAAAAATTAGTGGTAGAACAGATCAAGCAACAAGTTGTAAATGCAAAGTAAACAGTAAGCATAAAAAACAGTGAGTTGAAAATATATATATTTTTTCTACGTTTAGGATGTTTTGTGCCACAGTCCATGCATGGTTCCAATCGATAATCTATATAAGTCCCTGCTTTCTAAGCAACGCTTATTCCAGGAAATAACTGATCAGTGGATCAATGTAATTAAAGCGGCACTGTCATGCCAAACTTACCTTTCCCCAATCGATTCCTCTTCTCTCCCTATCTCAGGATCTGTTCTTCATTTCTTCCTGTCCGCTCTAGTTTTCTTTAAAAATGAAGACAAAGTAGGGACTATTTCTCTTCTGGAGGTTTCCTACGCATGACCAGCGGAGGAGCAAAGTGTGCTTCGTTTCCGGTGGTCAGAGCAATTTTCCCATGATCCTTAGCTTTCCTCCCTGTTCCCACGATGCCTCCTGTCAGTATTGCCGAACGTCCTGTCACTTAGACAGAACGCTGGCAAAACTGCCGAATTGCATCCTAACAGAATGAGAACAGTTTCTATATTATTGTTAGAATGCAATTCGGGACTTTGTTTGGATCGCAATTTCATTTCAATGAATGAAACTCTGATCCTATTCGTGCTGTGGCTGCATCTTGCAGCTGCTTAGTAGATAGCTCCCTAATACCGTGGGAATTAGGAAGTTATCTACCAAAAGGCTGAAAGACCTTAATTGGTCTTTTAGCCACAAACTACTATACTATACCGCGAGTAGGGGCATGTCTAGTAAACAGTGAGCAGCCAGTGGCTGCTCACTGTAAAAAAATAAAAAAAATAAAACAAAAAACCTATTGCCCCACCCCTGAATGGGAGCGATCCCTAAATAACAACGAGGGGGGGATCTATTGTCCTCCTCTCCAGCTCCTACCCCTGCGCGGCTGGTTGGGGCCCTAAATAAGAATGTGGGGGGACAACCTACTGTCCCCCCCCCGGCCCACACCCCTGAGCGTTGGGTGGGGGCCATAAATAAGAATGTGGGGGGGGACTTACTGTCCTCCCCCCAGCCCCCACCCCTGCGCGGCGGGTGGGGGCCATAAATAACCCTTAGGGGGGGTCCTAAATGAAAATCCCCCCCCCCTTCCAAGGTGACTAGGGATCCCCAAGACCCTTGTCACCTCCCCACCCAATAAAAGCTATCCCCTACCTACCCCCTCACCCTAAAAATAGTGAGGGGGAAATACCATTTGAGGTCTTCTTTCTTCTAAAATCATTTTCAGCCCCCAAAAAAGGTAAAATAAAAAACCATCATACCTGTCGAACTTAAAATAAAAAAATCTGCGTGCAAAAAAAAAAAAACCTGACGTAAAAGGAAAAAACCTGACGCAAAAAAAATAAATAATACATATTCACCTATAGAGGGCTCCGCGCAGACTGAGCTCTGCAGGGCGGGGGGAAGGCTTATAAAACCTTGCCCCTCCCTGCAATTAGCCTAAAAACACTCTGATTGGTTGGTTTAAGCAGTAGGTAGGACAGTAGGTTCCCCTCCTCATTGTTATGTAGGGCCTCCACCCGCTGCGCAGGGGTGGGGGCCAGGGGGGAGGACAATAGGTCCCCCCTCATTTTTTTTAAGAGCTCCCACCCGCCGCTCAGTTCCCCCCCTATTTTACTTTATGGCCCCCACCCACCGCTCGGGTGGGGGCCGGACAGCAGGTCCACCTCTTATTGTTATTTAGGGCCCCCACATGCCGCGCAGGGGTGGGGGCCCGGGGGGAGGACAGCAGGTCCCCCCATTCTTATTTAGGGCTCCCACCCACCGCTCAGGGGTGGGGACTGGGGGGGTGGGGAACAATAGGTCTCCCTCCCTTATTTTACTTTAGGGCCCCCACCCGCCGTGAGGGAGTGGGAGCTGTGAGGGGGGGTGGGAAATCGTTTTTTTTTTACAGTGAGCACTGTTTACTAGACATGCCCCTACTCACGGTATAGCGAGTAGGAGCTGAATTTACTAGTACTAAGTAATCTTTACTTAGTATTAGTAAATGTGGCTGAAAGACCAATTTAGGTCTTTTAGCCTTTTGGTAGATAGCTCCCTAATACCATTAGAGAGTTATCTACTAAGTGGCGGCAAAATGCAGCCACAGCACGAAGGGACCCTACCCATTCAGGGGTGGGGGCCGTGGGGGGTGGGGCAATAGTTTTTTTTTAATTTGTATTTTTTTTACAGTGAGCAGCCACTGGCTGCTCACTGTTTACTAGACATGCCCCTACTCGCGGTATAGTATAGTAGTATGTGGCTGAAAGATCAATTTAGGTCTTTCAGCCTTTTGGTAGATAGCTCCCTAATACCGTGGGAATTAGGGAGTTATCTACTAAGCGGCTGCAAGATGCAGCCACAGCACGAATAGGGTCGGCGTTTCATTCATTCGAATGAAATTGCGATCCGAACAAAGTCCGGAATTGCTTTCTAACACGAATGAAGAAACTGTTCTCATTCTGTTAGGATGCAATTCGACAGTTTTGCTGGCATTCTGTCTAAGTGACAGGACGTTCGGCAATACTGACAGGAGGCATCGTGGGAACAGGGAGGAAAGCTAAGGATCATGGGAAAATTGCTCTGACCACCGGAAACGAAGCACACTTTGCTCCTCCGCTGGTCATGCGTAGGAAACCTCCAGAAGAGAAATAGTCCCTACTTTGTCTTCATTTTTAAAGAAAACTAGAGCGGACAGGAAGAAATGAAGAACAGATCCTGAGATAGGGAGAGAAGAGGAATCGATTGGGGAAAGGTAAATTCAGCATGACAGTGCTGCTTTAATATAGTCCACATGTCAAATACTTATATTTTCTCCGTGCGTTATAAAGGTCTGTCAATTTATTAATCACTTCATTGACTGAAATGTGACAATTCTACATTAGTATTTCCCAAAGTCATTATTTTATTAATTGGTTGAAAATCTCCAAGTACCATAACCACTAAATGAGGTCTGCTGGGCTCCTGCAACCACCTATTCTCTAGCCCAGGGCTTCCCAAACTTTTATGGGAAGAGACCCACTTTTCAAAACGGTAATTTTTCGAGACCTACTTGCTTTTGATGCATATTTTAAAAAGTGAACACCATGGCAATCAGCTTTAGAGGCATACAATTGGCACACCATGACAATTACTTTTAGAGGCATACAATTGGACACCATGGTAAACAGCTTTAGAGGCATACAGTTGGCACACCATGACAATTACTTTTAGAGGCATACAATTGGCACACCATGGCAAACAGCTTTAGAGGCATACAGTTGGCACACCATAGCAATCAGCTTTAGATGCATACAATTGGCACACCGTGGCAATCAGTTTTAGAAGCATAAAATTGGCACACCATGGCAATCTGCTTTAGATGCATACAATTGGCACACCATGGCAATCCGCTTTATATGCGCACAATTGGCACACCACGGCAATCAGCTTTAGATGCATAAAATTGGTACATCATGGCAATCAGTTTTAGATGTATAAACTTGGCACATCATGGCAACGTTAGGTGCATAAACTTGGCAATCATGGGGATCAGCTTTAGATGCATACAATTGGCACAGCGTGGCAATCCACTTTAGATGCATTCAACTGGCACACCATGGCAATCAGCTTTATATGCACACAATTGGCACACCATGGCAATCACCTTTAGAT